TCACAAATAAGCTCCCAAAACTCGTCAGCTTCCTCGGCCGTCACATTCTCTGCCCGCATCACCTCAAGAATCGCTTCCTTTGTTTCAGCGGACCCGGCGGAAATCCCCATGGCTCCACAAATTTCAAGGAGGTCCTGCACCAGGTACTGCTCCATCGCGATCTCGTCCCTCGTGATGCTCTACTATTGATATTCACCGTACTCTAAAGCTAATCTCATGGTCTAGAGCACGTGAATATTGAATTATAACCAATAAAAAACACAAAACACTCTCCTAACATCTGCCTGTGCTAGAGAGGTCTGGCGAAATGAACAGTAAACGTTGGGGCACTCACCCACCCAACAAGTAGCCGACGATGGTCCAACTCGGGGCTGCCCGGTCGAACAGTATCAGGCTTCAGGGATCCGGTCCAACTTGCCAATGTTGAGATCCGGGGTTGCTTGTCCCAGCTTGACGAACGGTCGAGAACAGGGTAGCGTATCGCAGCGTAGCCAAACGCTATCACGGCGTCGTCCTCGTGCTCAGAGATCCGATCCAACTTTCAGCCGTTGAGATCGGGGGTAGCGGGTCCCCAGAAGCAGCAAACGTTGAGGACAGGGGTAGCGTATCCCGTACTGCCAACCACTGTTATGAATTGCTCTGTCGCGATGGTAGCGGTGGCGAAGAGCGGCAAGCCGTCGAGCGGACTTCGATGAAGCCTTAGCCCGAAGGTGAAACAGGAGGCAATCCGTTTGGAAAAACCATGCAACAAAAGTAGCGTTTACTATCGCAGGTTTAACGAGCCGATTCTCGGTGGAGCGAACGTGAATGTAACTCCGTGAACACTGTATCACGAAAGAAGAGAAACAACAAAGAACACCAAATTCGCAACTGTGCACCCGTTCGGTCACATACATCTAGAACAATAACGTGGTGACAATGATAAATAACTAGGGTGCGTTGTTTTCTTTATCTTTATATTTTCCCGGAAACTCATCGTAAACACTGCTGCGAATTTTTTCCTCCATTGCTTGTTTGTCAGTGCTGCCATGTAAAATACATATGCAACGACATTTTCATCGTTCATGTGATTTTGCCGCATCCGTTGTAGATAAGCAATGCAGATGGCGGGAGATACAAACGTTTCGCAGAAAACAACAAACAAACAAAACGAAAACAAAATACACCATACGTCGTTCATGTTCAGTGTACGTACGCTAATTGTGACGCGTCAGAACTTTTAATCCTCACGTACGTAAATATACTGCGCATATTATCCTAGGACACCTTTTGTTCAATTTGCTACTGCCCAGTGGTTGATAAAACGTTTCTTTGTGCTTTAGTACTCCACGGGGTCATTATCTGCGCTTGTGTATGCCAGACACCATTGGTTGTCAAGTAACAAGTCATACGAAGGACTCGGAAGCGAGCTCTTTTGCAAACCGCCTACTTTTGTAGGGCTATAGCGAAAAACGATACGATCGATCGATACGGCGAAAAGCAGACGATGAAATTCTCGAAATTACTGGGCGATTTATGCACACCCTGCTGTGCCGTCGCTGGTTAGTTTTCCAGTAGCTCAACGGGTGCCCACAACGGGGTTCTTCTGGGGAGACGTAGAGACGAAAATACCCGAGGCCCGCGTGGTTTCATTTAGACACACGCTAAAAACCTCGGGTGGTTGCAATTTCCGGAGCCCTCCACTACCTTGTCTCTCATAATTATATCGTGGTTTTGGCGCATTATTTAAACCACAACTACTATTATTATTAGGCCCATTGTCTGACAGTCAATTTGCCTTTAGCCGTATCATTCCTTGACGTGTAGCATTTTGAGATATAACAGGTTGAAAATAAACACCACTACTACTACTACTACTACTACTACTACTACTGCTGCTGCTGCCTCTACTACTACTACTACTACTACTACTACTACTGCTACTACTACTACTACTACCACTACTACTACTACTACTTTAGATGAGCATTTTACTTGTTCCTTAAAAGGTTTGCAAACGAAGTCTACAAAGGCGAGCTGTTCGAAAGCTGCGCAGTACGAACCTTTTAGCGGCTTCTTGAACTACCTGTACACAACAACGACAGAGACCCGTAAACCGCCGAGTTTTGTTTACACCAGCCTAAAACGCGATGCGCACACTCGAGCACGTTCCCAGAGTCATTTAACTTCACTGTGCCGCGTATTGTTGCAAAAATCATCTTGCTGAAAGCACTGTTCGATGACCTTCGCGACCTGTCCCGTTCTGGAAGCCGCACCAAGTTGTAATTTATGTCTGCTCGAAATTGATATAATCGATAACTAATTGCCCGTGTATAAGAATTATTTTTATAGAAGACAAAAACAATTGATTGATTTGATTGATATGTGGGGTTTAACGTCCCAAAACCACTATATGATTACGACAGACGCCGTAGTGGAGGGCTCCGGAAATTTAGACCACCTGGGGTTCTTCAACGTGCACCCAAATCTGAGCACACGGGCCTACAAAATTTTCGCCTCCATCGGAAATGCAGCCGCCGCAGCCGGGATCCGAGCCCGCGCCCTGCGGGTCAGCAGCCGAGTACCTTAGCCACTAGACCACCGCGGCGGGGCAAGACATAAACAAAGCACGTCTGTCTTCGGAATGAATAGGTATTTTGTTCATGAGAATTAATGACAAATATATATATCAACATATTACCACCTTCTCCTTCTTGCAGCAGCATACCAGCTGCTTGGAGATGAAGTTGTGCGAACTTGATACAATGGCAGACAGTCCGTCATGGCTCCCGCCTGAGGAAATATGCGACTCTGCGGTACACAGTGAACTTAGCAGAATTCACGCAATGACTACTCGTTCTAAGCAAGGCAACCAACATTTCGAGCAATAATTTTTTGTAACTCTCAAAAACTCGCCTGACCGTATGTTAGCCATCTTAGTTAGTGAACATAACCTAATTGGAAGTGCACACAGGTCAACAGAATAGCTAAAGGTAGGTACTTTGGATAGATAACACATAGCAATGCTTACTAGGCAAAAAAAAAGAATCTGCAGTATTTAGCAATATATACTGCGAAACAGATAAGCAGGTACGTATTTATAACAGCTTTACGAAAATCTGTGCACCCTACATCACGAAGGTGTCATTTATTGCTGTGGACATTTTACCTCGTACCTAAGTGCCCCGCATTCAGCAAGCGAATTAACCTCATGGATTGCATCCTTATCCATATGCCAGTGGTCTGTCAGAAGCCCATTTAATTAATGTTACCTGCTTTGTTAAAATACCATTTCACGCAGTTTTCTCCACATGTTTATAATTTAGCTATAAACGACTGCATTCCCCACACTCCAAATAGCAGCGCAATGAAATAAAGACTTTGCACCATAAACAAGAGGTACCAGCTTGATTGCTCGCCGTTTCCACTTTGCAGTTGCTGTTAAAAACTAAATTAATTAACTGCGGTGTTCCCCAAGGTTCTATATTAGGTCCGTTGTTATTTCTACTATTCATAAATGACTTACCTAATACGCTTACGTTTTCTAAGTGTTTGCTGTATGCTGACGACACGACCATTTACTCACCACATAAATCGCTCACCGCACTTCAAGACACACTTAATGCAGATCTTAACAACGTGCATTCATGGTGTAGAAATAACAAACTTCAGATTAATCCTACTAAAACAACTTTCGTACTCTTTCATAGCCCACAAACTGTGGTTTCTTTCTCCATAACTGTCTTGCTGGATAATTATACTTTACTGGCATCTGACAATGTTAAATTCCTTGGTGTTACTCTCGATGAACATCTTAAATACAATAGTCATGCCAATTCACTTATAAAAAGGGTTTCATTTGGTATCAGCATTATCATTACAACACGTGCATTTTTTCAACCTCATGTTCTCATCTCACTTTATCATGCTTATATTAATAGCCATTTATCATACTGCTTATCATCATGGGGTAACACATACGCCATTCATCTCAAACCGCTTCAACGTCTTCAAAACAGGGCGATCAAGTTAATGACTTTTAGCCCATTCCGTTGCCATTCTCTACCTATCTATCAACATCTTCGAATCCTACCCATTCAACAATTGTTTTATCATAGATTATCGCTCATCACATACCGTCTCATTCATCGCGAAATATCACTTGATAACATTCCTTTCCATATCTTCGTCAACAACAATAATACCAGGTTTTCAGAGCGCAATAACTGCCTTTTACCTAAAATCAGATCAAACTATGGCAGATACACAGCACGCTTCTTTTGTGTTCATCTTTGGAATATATCCCTCTTCATGTTAAGTCGTCTCATTCATTGCAGTCTTTTAAACATAACATGAAAAGCATACTGTTAATTGAGCCCCTTGTTCATTTGTAATAAAACATTTTCATTATTACCTCTACGTTTTCAATTCCTGCTTTTACGTATTCTTGTAGTTTTGTATAATGTTGTTCTGGTAAATTAACTTTTTCGATTTGACTATTTATTGTTCTGTGTTGAAGGCACTTTTTATTTTTGTTCGCACTTGTAGCTTTTGCTGCTGTTACTTACCTTTTATGTACCCCATTAACGATAGGAGGTCCCCCTGACAGTTTCTTACTTTGGGACCTCCTGACGCTGTATATATTATGTGAGCTCATTTTTTTTTTGTACTCATGTACTCAGCAATGAATAAACTTGAACTTGAACTGTTGACAGCTTACTTCCCAACAAGTATCTGTAGCCAGAAATAGCTGCCCCATGCGTCACACAGGTAGCGCATGACATAATTGGCAACCTGCACATCACATAGAACTGCTGCCGATATTCGAGTCCAATTACTCACCTGAAATGACAACCTGGCAACTCCAGCAGTGCACTGAGTAGGTGAGAGAAGGCTTCCAAAACTGCTCCTATAAATATTCAAGCCACTCTAAAAGCTTGTGTTGGTTTTGACTGCTCTATTAATGCTCCATAATTTTGATCAAACATAGCAGATGGCAGTTAACAATGTAGTGGAAAGGCTACAACAGTACTTCTTTTATTTGAGGTGGGTCAAGCAGGTACGTACATACGTGGGATGTACTGAAAAACAAAACAGATAGAGAATTGCAAACTATGTCCTAAGCTTTAGACAAAAATAAGCCAAGGGAAGTTCTTAGGCCGCATCAAGATACTGGCAATGCCTCACCATGAAGATCCCTAATTTAAATATCGTGACAGTTATCTGCAACTGGAATAAGCATAGAACTGGTTATATCCTGTGATCATCAATTAAGTATTGCATACACAATGTCACAAATTGAATAATAAAATGGTAGCAAGTAAACAACTGTTTAAAAAACAAACAAAAACAGTGAGAGCACATGGTCATCGTAAATTAATGGACAACTGTTACAAGAAACCCGTTTTCACTTGTGCATAGTTATTCAGTTTGATGTGCCGTATAGGTCATGAAGCCGGCAAGATGTGCTAAGAGTTACACTCTGAAACAATTAACATGTCTTTGGTTAGGAAGGTTAGATTTTGGTGCCCAAATCCAAAAATAAACTGATGCATCGATGGATAAGTGTCCACGGCATAAATATAACCTCACGTAAAAATTACAGTCTACTATAACAAAAATAAACATGCACAATATACTCTGATGCTCCTTCTCAAGCAGCCAAGTACAAAACGGGCAGCATAGACTTCTAGTTATTAACAACAGAAAGTCTGGGCAGACCACGGCATCAACAAAAAATACATTTTCATTTAGTAAAGAAGTTTCTATGTGTTACACTGGCAGAACACTAACTGTACTACTTGACTTCAGCCAGAATATGTACCTAAGTTGCGAAGAAGATATGTTCTGGTGACGCATGTGGTCATTCGGCTTCCTTCTGTGCTTAATTGCATTCGACTACTGAGGCAAGCAATGTTAAACATCAAAACAACACTGCCATAACTAGCAGCTTTGTTCTGCAAAGTACAGGGGTAAAGAAAGGCTCCAATGCAAGCATCCCTCAAGACCCAGCTGCCTAGAACTGCATGTCATATTACTGACGCATAGTAAACTACCTTTTCTTATAGTCAGAGAGTGAATGCCAACTGTTTAACAACTTTTAAAGCACATTCCTTCTTACACATGCCTGCTGGTTGAGAAATAACACGAGTGTCGAGTTGCACTAGTAAAGCAAACCTTTCCTAACTCAGTTCGTGCAAATCCAGTAAGAGACCTTGAAACGAGATCAACTTGTAACACAACAGAAAGCAAATTTCTAACAAAGAGGATCCCAGGGCATGCTAAGTTACAATTATGTTTGCTCATAATTTATTGTCAGATTATTATAATCGTGCGGCACATCTATTGAGTTGGAAGACACAGTTTGTAAAAAATGCATCAAGTTTTATCCACTGCATCAGCATGTCAGGAAACGTAAAAAAACAGATATCAAAGAATGGTTGTCAACAAAAAGTGTCGCAAAGCCTCCCTGATAAGCAGATGTAATTGGCTCCAGTGTCTTATTTCCAGGTCGACCTCCAGATAAAGCACGATACTACAAAGTAGCAACATACTTCAAGTAGCCTTGAAGTATGTTCGGTCAGTTTTCTTTCCTTTTCATCAATCTTTTTTCACCATGCAGATTTCATCTAAACTCTCCTCATAATATGATTTAGCACCAGACTCATCACTGCACACATCAAAATCTAAGCATCAGCATGTCAACACTGTTGGACAGATGAGTCAGTTCATAACAAACTTAGTAAAAATAAATAAAAACAGGTGCCACAGTAAAAACAACCAGTCAGGTTGAGGTATTGAAGCGGTTAAAAAAAGTCTTTCACAGTCTGGGGTCCTTGAACAAGAGAGCTAGGAGGTCTTGGCTGTCAAATGATGTATTGTCCCATGGTCTTCCAACTTCTTCAGGTTATCCAGACTCTCCCACCATTTAAAAAGAAAGTTATCCAGCACGAGCTTGAACCACGGCGTTATTGACTGGCCCCGTACTTCAAGCAAGGCTGTAAGCAAGTTAAAATGAATGTTGGGTGCGCTCAATAAAATTTCGATGTAGTTTCAAAGTTAATATGGTTAATAAGACACTTTCAGACAAATATAACCCAATAGCATTTTTTTTTTTCAAGCATCATCTTAACACAGTGCACCTTTTTAGCACTCCGAGTGTACCAAGGAAAAACTAGAGAATACCAGCAAAGCTGAGAATATGCAGCTGTTTGATCAGGTGAAAACGTGAAGCTTTATAATGGAAGATGAAAAATTTCCTTATCCCACTGTAGCCTTTTTCTACTATCCTCTCTTATAAGCTTTTTCTGTATTATGCTGACAAGGGAAGCAATCAACAGCTGGAGCTTCACTAGATCATTCCTCAGACCACTAGTCAAGTTCATAGTTTCAGAATATGTGGGCCATACTAGAAGTGATACTTAGACAAATTTTGATGTGTGCTGGTCAATTAGCAGGTGAATAAAAAAAGACCAACACATATTTAGTTTTTAGTTATTTGCAAGCCATTACATGCAGTGCTAACAATGCTTCTGCAGTGTTCTAGGGAGCAGATATTTCCTACATGGTGGGCATGGATCAGGCACGTCATCATCTGTACATGACCATTGTCACGTGCGGTTTTCCGTCATCATCACTTGTGGGGATTCGTCTTAATCTTGTCCTGTGCCTTGGATGCAATCAGTTCACTATTTCTTCAATGTGTATCAAAGATGCATCACAACTTCTACGTCATAATATAAACAATATAACAGTCCCGCTATGTGTGATGCATACCCTAAGTTTGAACTGTGAAGGTCATTATGCACTTTGAAAATAATTAATGAAAGTGAATGATCATTCGTTTTTTCTTCCAAACTGCAGTTCAATTTTAATGCTGTCAGTACGGCATCCTTCATGTTTGTTACCCGAGAAAATGATAGAGGACAGGTCTGCTTCCTGGGAGCCAGTAATAGACATACAAAAGATTTGTGCTCACATATGAAGTTCGAGATGTCTTCCCTTGATATGTAGAGGTAGTCCTTGACTTCGTTCGGATTGGCCTTGATGGCGACATCCTTGTGCACAAAGAGGATGTAGTCGACCTCGTTTTCGCCCCACGTGGAATCCGAAGGAGCCTTGTAGAGGATGCGGGTGAGGTACCGTATCTCATCCACAGGCACCTAGGAATACAAGAGTACACGCTCGTCAATATTTCAACAACACTGAGCTGCGTATAAATGCAAATCCCCACTATCAACAGCACTGTTGTGATAGGTACAGTTAAACCTTTACATAGTGAACTTCAATATCACGAAATTCTCAACAAAATAAGGTAACAGTTTATAGTTCTACATTTATAAAACATAGTTTTAACCTGAATATAACAAAGCATGATTATCAACGTACACGTACTTAAATGGGCTAGTTGGTTCCGCATATTGATGACGTAGGTGCGCTTTGAAGATGCGCAAAGAGAAGAAACAGGATGCACACAGCGCAATCTCCATCTTGTTACAAAGATGAGAGTGCATACATGTGCTGAAGCACGTGACACACGACTTGCGCATTACAAATTATTGAGCATTCAAGAGCTGTATCTCTTTCTTAGATAATGACTATGGAGAAATGCTTATACATGATTTTGCGCATTCCCAAATCGTTCTGGCTTCTACTACAAGTCTTGCAGATTGATTATGGTTTGGCTCATTCGAAACTCATAAAAAGAATAATTGCTAACACGTGCCTAAATAACACACTTGAGAAATCATGCCCTCATCTTGTAAATCAACATTTTTTTAGAACAAGTAGGTTGTATACAAGCATCAAGCTACCCTGACCATGTGTTAGTGTCGGTATCCAAGGTGCTTGAAAAAGAATAGTGAAGCCATCTATTTATCAGAATAATGATAAGATTAACAGGAGTAGCTGTCATTTATACAGTCGTCGTGTTTCAAACAATCTGAAGAAAGCTGCTCAGAAGGTGGATGTAAACGTAGTATTTTCTGCGCCGCAAAAAATTATCCAGGTTGTGCGAATTGTTAGAGACTCGCTTCAGTAAGTAGCCTGTCGGCAAAGCTAAACATAAAGTAAAATTTGTTTTGTGCACCAAGAGGGTATCATGTACAATGTCCCACTTTCTTGTAGAAAGATATACATAGAGAAAACTAGACAACACCTAAACGAATGTCTGAAGGAATAAATAGTAATGTCGAGAATGGTTTCAACGATCATCTCACAACCCACTGCCTAGTGCTCGTCCAACCTAAAATTTGATCAGTGCACCACTAACATCCCACAACCATAATCAACTCACAGTAAAGCCACAACCATGCAACTCACAGTAAAGCCAAATCTATTTGGGAATGCACAGAATCATAAGTAAACATTGCTTCGTAGTCGTTATCAAAGAAAGATATGCAGTTTTGAATGCTTCATCATTTGTAATGTGGAGGCCCTGTATCGCGTGCTACAGCGTACACTCCTTAAACGGAACCTTAGAAGGACCACAAAAAAAGTATGTTTAATTTAGCAGGAGTTCCATCTACTTAGAGATTAACAAGGGTGCAGAATACCAAAAAGAAATCAATCTTGTCATAAGCAGTTATTCCATTTAAGCCGCAGTTCCATTGAAGAGATCAACCAAGAGTCTACTACATATGTGCTGCCCTTCCCTTTCTAACAAACAAGTCGACAGCTGCGCTGCATGCCCCATTTCTCCCCTATCCGCATCTTCCGAGTGAACCCATATCATCGACATAATTACCAGTGATTCAATTAAAAAATTTCACCAGCAGTCAAAAGGAAGACTGGTGCAATAAACTAAAGCTTCTGCTGGCGCTACTGCTCACACGGTTAAATTACATGCAGGTCTTCATAACGCTTTTTTCAAACTACGCACGGTGCCACAGAGGGCAGACCGGTATCCTTTCTTGCAGCGACCGAGGATCGCATCACACGCTCTACGCAATGTCATCATAGAACATTTCAAGTTAACACAGCTCCATGTCTTGCTAGGTGCGTGGCAGAGTTTGTCTTGTGATTGTTATCACATGAAAAGTAACAAGCACAAGTAGGTGCAATTAGCAGTAATAGATGCTATGAGTTCTCAATTATCTTGCTAGTGTTCTTGGCAGGCAAGAGAAAGGATGTCGCCGCCTGTTTAAGGATATTGCAGAACTTGTTCTCAATTATCCTGCATTCAAAGGAAGATATTCTAGACTCTAAGAGGCACACGACAAATTTTCTTTATTCGGATTCTTTATTTGAAGTATACCTGCAGCGCCCGAAGGCCTTATAGCAGGGGGGTTACAGATTCGAAAAAAACAAATTTTCATTTACAGCAGACACTTGTACACTTGTGAGCCCATTCCACTCATGTATTGTTCTGACAAAAAAAGAATTTGCAAAAATTCCAGTCCTGGGACGGTATTCCCTCAGTTTAAAAGGATGATCAATTCGATTTGACAAATAATACGGCGTCTGTAAGTACATATCTTTATTGATTTCAGTTTTATTATTAAATATTAGATATAAAAGTTTTAATCGCAATTTTCTTCTATGCGATAAAAGCAGCTCCCAATTCAATTCTTGTTTCATAGCGGTAGAGCTTTCCCGCCATTGATACCGTCCCAGGACGAACCTTGCCGCCCTGTTCTGTATTTTTTCTATCTTATCACTAAGATATACCTGCACCGGATCCCACACAGCGCAGGCGTACTCTAAGACTGGTCGTACACACGTCAAATACGCACATTCTTTAAGTCGCTGATGCGAACATCGTAAGTTACGCTGAATAAAATTTAACACCCTCGCAGCTTTCGCGACAACATAATCAACATGTACATTCCATGAACAGTCAGAAGAAAAGAACACACCCAGGTATTTGTAAGTTGTCTTCGTGGTAACTGGCACACCATTTATACAATATCTAAATTCTATCTTCTTCGTCTTCTTTGAAAAACAAAGGTTAATGCACTTATTAAAATTTAAAGACATTTTCCACGTTGTACACCAGTCATGAATACGCACCAAGTCATTTTGAAGTTGGGAGGAATCCTGCTCACTCTTAATTTTTTGGTAGACTATACAGTCATCGGCAAAAAGCCGGATAGACGATGAGATACCAACCGAAATATCATTGATATAAATTAAAAACAACAAAGGACCCAAGACGGAGCCCTGTGGCACACCTGATGTCACGTCAACATAACTGGATGCTTTTCCATTCAAAACAACACATTGGCGATGATGCTTTAAATAATTTTCTATCCAGATTATCACATTTAGGTCTAAATTAAATAACTTAAGTTTTTGCAAAAGGAGCGCATGCAAAACCGAATCAAAAGCTTTTTGGAAATCAAGAAAAATACAGTCAATTTGCCCATTTTCGTCAATACTAGAGAATAAATCATGATATAATTCAACCAGCTGCGTGGTACAAGATAGTCCTTTACGGAATCCATGCTGATTTTCTATTAACAATTTGTGGTGCGTTATATGTCGCATTATTTCCTTGTGCAAGATGTGCTCAAGTACTTTGCAGGCAATTGATGTTAATGAAATTGGTCTATAGTTGATAGCTTCCTTTTTGGGTCCACCTTTGTGGATCGGCACAACGTGGGCCATCTTCCAGTCATCTGGTAAGACACCAGTAGATAAAGACTTCGAGTAAATTAAATGATGATACATAGAAACAGGAGAAGCACAATGTTTGTAAACACGCAGAGGAATGCCGTCAGGACCATTCGCTTTTGTTTCATTGAGATTACTGAGAAAGGCTGAATGCCGTCCACGCTAAGCTCAATAGGCTGCATTAAGGGTATGGGATATACACATGGGATATCACAGTATTCATCAGTCTTTGGCGAAAATACAGAGCGAAAATATTCATTAAGGCAGTTCACCTTGTCTATATCTTTCGAGAACACTTGATTATTATATTGGATTTCATTAATACGGGTAGCATCCGACCCGCAACATTTTAAGTACCGCCAGAACATTTTGGGATTTGTTTTCATTTCTTCGTTTAGCCTATTTAAGTAGCCCGCCTTTGCGTTTTTTGCCATAACTTTGTATTCACGCGTTAGGGCGCTTAACCTGTCGAAGTGTTTTTTTGCCTTCATTCTTTTGAAGCTACGGTATACTCGCTAGTATACCGTAGCTTCAGTATAAATTTATAGTATAAATGTATAGTAAAAGCAATTGGAACTAAGTGGCACATTCATCAGAAATAATGTTTTTTCAGAGAGTGCGTTGCTGCAACAAACATTGTGTAGGAAACCAATTTTGGGGAACTAGTTGCAGTTAAGTGCCGCAATACTACGGTGCCATAAAATTAACTTATTTAAAGGGCAAGTAAACAGGATCTGACATTTTTTTATTACACTCTGCAGACAAGCTTGCTAATTCATACAGTGCACTGTGGCTATCACATTTTGTGAATATTACAGCGCCGCAAAGACCATTTATTTTGAAGAACAATTTCTGCTCTTCTTTCCTAGGCCTGTACAACCCTTCTCGTATGCACAGTGGTGAAATCTTGCCCATGAGCAACATTAAGCACCATTGAAATTGTCGATAGGCCCTATGCACTACAAAACACCACCTTAGCCCAGCATTAGTGCAGTTTTGGCTGCGCATTTTGCATTTTGATTTTCTTGTGCTGCCTTCTGCTGTTTTGTAGAGCCAAACGCTACCGGGACTAACAGTGTCACAAGAATGAAAGCCTTCAAAAGAAGGGGCATCTTGCTACTTTATCGCCTGGGAAGAGTCCATACCTCACCAGAGCCTTGTACTTCTCGCATCGTGCTCCCCACTCCGCAACGCCACCCTGATTTGTGTGCATGTGGAGGGGAGACTTGCTTGATCATTGGCTGCGTGCTGACGATGTATCGCTAATGTCATGTTACATTGACTGAAGTGGGTATAATTGTGACAAAGGGCTACACATCTCCACAGCAAGACAAGGGTGGGAAGGACAAGTGTGAAACCAAAACTGGCAAAAGTAGGTCGTTCCAAACCCTGTAACTTCCTTATTACAGCACTTTTTCACCAAGTTTTTGTAGCAGCACGTTCACATAGCATAAGCGCACAGTTATTTCCCGATTAGACATTTTGACTGAGATTGTGCACTGGCCCTGTAAGCATTGTGTGGCTATTCTGTGACAGCTATGTTGTTTCCCAAGTGCTAGATAGCCTGTTCAGGTTACTAGCATATTATATATAACAATTCGTTCACTGATAAGTACTACTTCAGTGCCTGTGCACTGCCATCAATGTACACATGCACTATTCTTATTTTTCATATGAAACAAGCTGAGCAACACAGGTAGTGCCTCCTTTGTCCAATTTGTGCCTGTTCAGCTTTATTTTGATTACTGTGGTTCAGTGCAATGAATTCCTACCAACTAACTGAGCTTTCTGTTCTGCTATCATGCAAAACACAACATCAGTAATAGTGCTTTTCTTATTGTGTCTTACAAATTTTATAATATTTCTCAGCTGTAAAAAATGCGCACACCTTCTGGCTGGTGTTACAATCCATTACCAATCCACCTTTTCCACAATGCTGCAGCTCATGCACCCTTTCCTAGCAGAAAAGTGGTGAAACGCCTCCAGATCTTGGAGGCCCTTGTTCTGGCAATGCCAATTCAGAAATGCCAGTTCAGCGATGTCAGTTATAGCAATGACAAGTAAGAAAATGTCTCCCCCACAGTTGACAATTTTTAGCCTGATTACCTGGCAATACATAAAAATTTGAGACAAAGAGATCAAAAGAAGTTGTCCATCACCTCTTTGGGATCAATTCCAAGCTCTATGAAAAGCCTACGCTGTGCAGCCTTCTTGACACCAAGAGCATTTGCTTCTTCTAGCTCATCCGGAATGTGCAGAGGATGGCTGCAACAGGTGTTTGTGAAGCGACCTGCAAATCAAGTGATCCAGGCACTGAGGAGTTATATCCTACTGAAACAACAGTAATGATATCTCCAGTTAATAAAGAAATTTTTGAGAACCGGCAAAACATTAGAATTTTGCAAAAGTGATCCATTGAAGGCAGCAAGAACTTTTTAATCCCTCAACTTGAAGCCCTTTTCCAAATAAATATGAAGTAACGTCGGTATCAAGAGTTCATTGCCTCACGAATAGATTTTTGAAAAAAATCTCGAATTTATTAAGAATGAGTGAAGTTACATGGATTTGATGCAACTTTTAAAAGCTTTGTGTTGTACCAATGAGCGCGCTGGAAGCTACACAGGAAGTGACGGCATGAGAAAATTAAGTCACGTAAGCACGTGTCACGACCTCAAGCGTGCATGACGAAACGCATTCACTCTTTCCCGTTTTGACTAATGTGCACGAGTGTGGCTTACTGTGTAATGCTCGCAGACTATGGTGCGCAGTGCTGCCATGTGGTGGCACCTAATGGCAAGAAGTACATCTGCTACAAATGCTGCTCTTGATTCATGTCAGCTAATGGCCAGCCAATGGCATGCTATCTGTTGTTCGACATTAAGCAGCAGCCGCTGGCAGCTCTGAAGAGAGTGATCTCAAGCCTCTGTATGAATAGAGATCACCTGAGAAAACAAACTTTATGATCTGCTTGTAAAAATATTTTGCGCAAAACTCCATCATTTTGCGTTTATCAAGACCCGGGTGGCTTACCTGGAAAGGTAATCTTTGCATCTGACCGCTGTTGTAACAGTAGCTCATTTTTCGAATTGAATAAAAATACGCTGAAGGCCCTGTGCAAAAATCCTGGAGTGGGAGGAAAGAAGAAAGAATGAAAACAGTGCCACCAGCAAGTCTGCCTAGAAGATAAATTTTCTGCAGGACTGCATCAAACATCACAATGGAGTTGCAGGTAAGCTTAACAAAATATTGTAAAACAGGCTTAACTGCAGCATCACTATCATTTTGTGAGGTATGTACTGACCTATTTGACACATTGCCTCAGTCATGCCAACATACCATGGTGGAAATGCACATTATTGGGGTCTGTTTTGATCCATACCGAATATTTGTTAGCTGAACTGAACAACATTTATGCAATCATAAAAGGTGAAAAGTGAAGGCGCAGGGCCGCAAGGCAATGTTGAACCAGCATCGTCGTGATTATGAAAATACAGACATGCTTTCTATTTTATTGAACAGGCAAAAAGCACACTATTCAAGTATACTTTGGAGGCAATTATGCAAGGCATTGCACATGCAATCTGATAAAGTCGCTATGATAATGTGACTACACAAGGATCTCTTTCAAACAAGTTTGTTACCATATGGAGTCAATGTAAGGCCTTCGATTTTTCTTTTTTTTATATATATATATATATAAAGCATTATAGTTTCCTCTCTAATATAGTTTTTCTGCAATGGTAAAAGCAAGTCACTGCATATGTCGAGCACATACCCTTGTTGATATTCTCCATCAAGTGACAATCTTTCTTGCTGCATGATCCAATTGGGCGATCTTGCTCGTCGACTAGAATGCACTGCTCTTCCAACAGTTGAACTTGCGTAGGGTCAAACAGGTCCAAATTGACTGCCTCACTGGCAGGCTTGGTCGTGGCTGCCCGGGCTAGGTTTGCCGCAGCCATGGCCTTTTTTGAGATTCCCACTTGTGGCCGCAGAAGTTTCCTGCAAAAGTCAAGATGCGACTGGACTGGATTGACGAATCAGTGTACGAGAAGATCCCTGCACTTAAAAAAGAGACGTTAGCATGAAACGGCTGGTGTTACTTCATATTCATTATTTTCTGCTTCTGTAACAGCCCTGCAACTGTTTTTATAGCTTTTCCATGCATAGAGAGGATTACTCAGTGTAGAACAGGTGCACAGTATAATTTTCTGTTTGAGCTAGGTTAAAAATGCCAAAACTGCATTTTCATTTTCTTTACATTGTTTGTCAGAAGGGAATAGGTATTTATCTTTTCATCATCTCATAAGCACAATGGTAAAGTGCATACATCATGTTAACAAATTAATGCATATGCTGCACACCTATTCGACCCAACACGGCTAAGCAGCATACCTTAATTAATCTGGCGAGCTAATTAAAATATGTGAAAACAGCTATAGTCTATATTTTTGGTATTTAGCTAACTCTCCTGGAACAGAAAAAAAAAAAGAAAACGGAGATATATATTGGCTGGAAGAAAAGCGCGGAGAAGCTGGAAAGAACAGTGACATCTTGAGCATAACGAATACAATATTACGTTGAAAGTACTTACGCACGACCTAAATATGTAATCCACACCACTGAACACAATTTTTTTTACGTATCAGTGGTCACGCCCACACCGTGGTCACGCCTCAACTGAGCACGGCGGCGTTTGCACGCACCAGCGCGCGCGAACGTCGTAGCACATGCCTGCAGCGGCGAACTCGCAGACAGGAGGCTCTACCGAAGAAAGCGCCCGCCAGATGAGGTCACAGGCTTTCCTCCTGAAACATTTTTTCCTCCTGTCGCGCTGGTTCGGCCCACGGCAGTCGAGGTTCAGACAGGCTATGTTTGACACAGGAAGACAACGCCTTCCTTAGTGTCAAGCGGTTTCCTCGTCATACAATTAATGGAATACGCGATGCACCGCAGCTAGAGTGACTGAGAAGAGCCGTGCGACGCTCCGCAGTGCAGACTCGCGTACTCTCTTCCGCGGCAGCAGGACAAAATTTAACGTTCATTACAGTGGACAATAGTAAATAAGCTACAATACCAGATGACATTTACACCGTACGTACTTGCAAATAAAGCAACAAAGAACGAGTGCACGGTTACTCGGCTACTGCTGCAGCAGTGCAGGGCGTCTGCTAAAGCTGCAGGGGCTCGCAAGGGGCGCTTCTAGTTTCGGTAGCCAGCCGACGGCCAGCTGCTCGAAGCGCCAGCTGCTTCCTAGCTTGCCTTCTCGTTTCTATTATACTGTCAGACGCTAGTTAAATATGTTAATAAACACAGATAGACGATAGCTTAATGAAACGACACACGAAGTTCAATTTTCGAACAAACTTACCTCATGGCATTGCGGATCATGCTGACGCTTGACAGATGAGGTAGTGACTTCGAAGAGAAAAGAGAAAGAAAAAAAGTTTTATACGTTGACCATTTACGTCACTGGCATTTCAATCTTGCTAACTTTGACCTCTTTTTGATTCGCTGAGAACACAGCTGCGATGAAGAGGACGCAAGCGCCCGCCGCCGTACAAGATGCACACACTAGTGGAGATCAGTGGATGCACAAAAAGAGGAATAAAATGCTATGGATGCATCACAACAAAAATGCCATCAGCATTATTCTATTTCTTCTATTCCATCATTGAAAAATAAAACATAAACCTGGCCGTATATGAGAGAAAGAAACAAAAACAAGCACTCTTACTAGTTATTACTGCTTACTAGTAATAGTTATTTTTTCTTGACGATTAACAAGCAATAAACCTTACGGTGGTAACAATTTTTAAACTAACGCACGCTTGAAGTAACATGTAGGCTAGCGCCATTATGTACTTGTAACGGTTATTAATGTTACGTTTTGATTTTTTAGGCGTAGCAACAACTGCTGCAAAAGGAATTAAACAATAATTAGTTTGTCTGTGTATTTAATAGCAAAGAAGAAGAATATCAGCGCATTTGTTGAGTTTGAGCCGCAAACATGGCCGCTGCCTTGTGATCTCGACCGACGCTCGGCCGGTGTAAACAGTCACTCATCGAAGCAACGGTTGTTATGCGCCGTTATTTCCGAAGCTGCCATGCAAAAATATGAGAAGCTCGAGAAGATAGGAGAAGGTAGAGCTTCCTTGTTTACTCACAACACATATCTCTCTGATACCTTTAATACGATATCACAACTCTTTCGTTTCTCACTTTCATAGTTTCAGTATCGAAATCGGTCACTGTGTGACGTGAAATCGGTGTAACGATTCTTGTAACTATATCCATGATGAATCTTGTGCAATGTTTGTTAGTGTTGTTATTTGCATGCGCAACAGGGTTGGGGTGCACTACGCTTGACACATCGGAGCGGCTGCTCAAATCGCAGTGTTGTGAATTCGTTCCAGGCACTTACGGCACTGTGTTCAAGGCAAAAAACCGAGAGACGCAAGAGATTGTTGCGCTAAAACGTGTGCGGCTCGATGACGACGACGAGGTAGGGTAGAAGTTTTGTTACCACATTTGTATGTGCTTTTCTACATTCCGTTTGTGCGACCAACCCGTTATATCGATCGCAAACTTGGGCATTCTTACTGTCGGTTTGCACAAGTGCAGGCGTTACATCAGATTGATTCAGAAAATAACTGACATATGTCGTCTATACGGTCAGTAATGGGACGTGCTATATTCAAACTGATTAGACGCCTCTCTGAGACGTGTATACAGTACCCATACGTTGAAATTCAACAATATCGCTTGCGAGAAGTGCCTTCATGGGCGAAAATGATGTCCGGTATAACTAAAAAAACAAAGCGTGCTTGCGCAGGCAACTTCACCTTCGAAATCGTTATGACATCTCTCGGAACGCCTCGAAATCTTCCTTCATATTTTTTCTCAAAAGCAGTCTTGTAAGCACATGTCAGTCAGTCACATGCTGTCACAATTTCGTTCTTTTCGTTTTACCAGAGCAGAAAAAGGGTACATGCATAGGGCGAATTTCAGTTATTTGATAGCTTTATTTTCAGTGTAAGCTCTTGTTATTGATGGTGCTGTTGCAATTTACACAATGCCCCTCGGACAAGTTATGCACTGTGCAAAGCACGGGATCACACGAAATTAAAACACCTCTGTGAGTGTTCTGCCTGTTCCAAAGCAAGCTACATGGTTCGACCTTTTGTTTGTTCTGAATGTGCAGAGTAGGCCGTTTATCAGCTCAGTAACCCAGCTACATCTCCGTAGGGCTTTGCTGCGCTCCTTTCCTTCAATTCTGGACGGGGAATTTGGGAGGCCGTGGTTTGAATGTTTAAACTTTTCATTGCAGGGAGTACCAAGTTCTGCTTTGCGAGAGATCTGTCTTCTTAAAGAACTAAAGCACAAAAATATTGTGAGGTGAGTTCTTGAATTGCTTTTAGTTATCTATGCCCTTAATGCCTTTTTCTTTTTCCCCTTTTATGCACAGTGCCAGGACAGCCATAATTTTTGTTCTTCTTTTAGAAGCTTCAAAACGTGCTTGAAATACATGATGAACTTGGAAAACTTTGCGGGCAAAAAATAGCTTTATTTACTATTATGAAGCACCTGCTTCAGTCCCTGAAAATTTCCAGATATGATTGTATTGCAGAGTGACTGTGTTGATGCCGTGTGAAGGGCTCCAGACTCCTAGTCAAATGATGTCATTATAGGAGGTATGCACTGAGCCTTGATCTGCAAGGAGGCAAGACCATTGCTATGCCATTTGCACAGTCTGTTCGTACGTGTCGTTTATGCTGTCTGTGCGTTGGTGTGCAGAAGATGCTTAAGAGGTCTCTGGTCATCTAAATTGCCGTAGGGATTTCAAACACAATGTCTGCAGCAAGTTTTTTTGGGGATGTGGCGAGAGCGTGGGCCTTCAAAATGGTGACCCTCGTGGATGACGTCAAGGGCGTACATGGTGGTCTGAGTTGTGCTTTTGCTTCACCTACTACAAATCCTAGTTTCCTTACAAATTTTCTTACCACGGCTGCCCAGTTTCGGCAGCAGACTATGAACAGCTTTGCTACAGCTAGATTTATCTGCAATATTGGGGAAAAATTATAACTTGGTGAAAATTCAGATAAAACAATTATTGCTCTCTTATTTTGTAAAATGAAAACTGCCTTTCATGCCTATTTTTGATGCAACTTATTCAAAGAATGGCAATCGATTGCTGCAAAGATTGGGGCCATCCGTGAGATGATTAGTTATATATAGGTGACCGGTAAAATGGGCAATCGCAGGGAACTGTGGAATACGATGGCTTCCGGTTCGATGCACCACACGAGTCAGCAGCGGCACGCGCGCATTTTTGTACTGCTCCGTTGAAAAAAGCACCACGCCGTGCAATGTCAGTGCATTACAAGTTTTTTTTTTTTTTTGTTTTTTTTTTTTTTGCCAACCGTGACTGTGATGATGACAAGCTACGAAAGTCATGAATGGTCAGGAAACTTTTTTATCGCACAAAAATGATCTGCAATGCTTTTAGGCTGCTCGGGGGTATACCGTCAGTTTGGCTAGCAGATCAGTCGATACACAAAACAGTTTTTATTGTATGATACGTTACTGCAGATAAAAGGATCTCAGGGAATGGGGATGGCTGTAGCAGTGTGCTAAGAGTTCATTTCGGGATCGCTGTTTCGGCCGACATCGTCAGTCGATCGGCATGAAGTGCAACACTTATTGAGCGCGTTGAGATAATTTTTTTTTCTAGCTTTCAGTGTGCTATAAGATGCATTTCTTAGTCGAAGCCAGATGCTTAATCGAACGCTGATCTTGGTCAAGCTGCACGGCACGGCGGCTCATAAACAATACAGTCAGACCTAGACGACGCCGAATAATTGAAACCATGCGCTTGTTTAACGCACTTCTTCCTTTGGGTGCTGTCCTGGCGCACAGTTTGACCAAGATTAACTTAAATGAACTCGTCCAGCCCTTCGTGTAAAGTTACCCTTGAGTGAAGCTTTCGCGTTTTTTGTCATATATATATATGGGTGCAATGGCCGGCGCTAATCTCGTGTGGCAGGTAGATTTCGCCTGCTCGTTTCCATATTATCTTTGCTAGACGCTCCAGCACCTAGCAGAGATTTATTTCTCAATATTTATCTCTCACAATTTATTTCACAATAATATATTCGCAACAAATTCATGCGTAAGCTTTATTTAATGTGGAATATACATGTACCTGCGATAAAATGGTTTTCGCACACTCTGGCTTCAAAGTTCCGTACTCAAAGGCTACCTGTTGCTGTGGCTCTCTTCACAGTCGCGTCCCATCTCGTTTTTCTGTCTTCATTACATGGAAATTGATACCTGTGTTTGCCTTGCACGCTCGAGTTGGAGCAGCCAATGGCTGAACAACCGACCATGGTTTATCAGGACAAAGATAAAAGGGTGACCGCGCGCGAATCCCGAACAATCTGAGACTTGCGGCGAAGCGGTTTGCCGTCGTCTACTCCTCTCGAACCGGAAGCCGGTAGCAGACGGTGCATCCCACAATCCTTCACTCTTTTACTGGTCACTTATTGAAGCAACTTCCTTACAACACTTGACTATGTTTTGTAACCGTACACCAGCACTTCAAGTAATAGATTCTGCATTTGAAAGAGGGCGGTATTATGTTCTTGCTCTAGAAGTGGCAGAATCTCGTCATGTCCTGAAAACTGGCCATCGAATGAGGTGTCAGTGGATTCCAAGGTATTGCGGCCTGTATGAAAACAAGCAAACCAATGCAAAGGTGAAGGTGGCCCACGTTAACACCATGCTTTCGTACATCCCAGTTTTGCTACTGGACACTAACGTCGTTGTGTAAACATTCCTCCCCGAAACTGCTGCAGCATATTGGTCTTAACCAAGGCTGCCTTCACTAGCTTGACCCAAGTATACACGTTAGAATTCTGTCAATCACAAAAAGGTGCAGTACAAGCTTACTGCACAGATTGCAACTTGGTGTGGTGTTCAATCGCCGTTACCTACACCTAATCGGCTGTGCGGACAGTCTGAATTGCGAGGTATGTGACACTCCTGAGACCACCACACTCCTCTTGTGTGTCTGCCTTCAATATGCCATGCAAATAAAAATGATGGCCGCCTTCTTGTTGAAATCTACGGAGCAACAAGTAGTATAAAAAAGGATGTTGGGACGTCCAACTCACTACAGTGCAATATTTTGAAATCGCTGAACAAGTTTCCGTGCAAGACAGAGCTCGACAACAGGTTCCAAATAGTTTTTGAACATTAAAGGTCTTGCTTCATTGCCGTCTTCTTGCTCCTCATCATCTTCAACACCTTCTCTTTATTCTCTTTACCACCACCTTTACCAAGAACTCTGAGTAGCAGGTCAAAAAATTGATTCAGGCAAACTGCCTTGGCTTTTTCATAATCACCTCCCTCTCTCTCTCTCAAAGAGTGGCAAAATTCACTGAATCAGGATCATGTCCCAAAGGGTAACAGTTGTTTGTGATGAACTGATGTTACAGAAACAAAAGGGTTATTATGCTCCAGATCATTGTTGTCAATCATAGGTGTTTCAGGAGGGCCTTAACCCCCCTTGTATTCAGGCTGATGGGGACACTTTTTGCTAGTGTTTTTCTTCTATATTTATTATTCGAATGTCATATTCGAATTTCTTGACAGGTAGGGATTGTGCACTCTCCGTAAAACGAACTTTGAAGTCTCAAACTTTTTCGATGAATAGAATCAAAGTACAAATTTGAATGCTGCTTGTCATTTCAGAAAGTAGTGTAGAGCACGAACTTTCTGGAACGCTACGGGGTACTTCTGAGGCGGTGCAATTGATTGCAACGTGAAGCCTTAAAATGCAGGATAAAGAATCCCCGACCATCGTCCACAACTTATGTTGACAATTTGCTGGAAGCCATTCATAACAAATGCAATTGTGTCATATTAATAAAAGTTGGCGGTGAACTTAAAATTTGCACTGTGGAGAATAGAGAATGATGAAAGAAGACAATAGTTATAGCGCGAGAACAAAACGACGACACAGAGACAAGAAGGACACGAAAAACACGAGCGCTCTGTGTCGTCGTTTTGTTCTCGCGCTATAACTATCGTCATGCCATACCAACTAGCCAAAGCTGCCACACTTCTAAAAGAAGAGCTGCGACTTTTACACGTTAAGGCACAAAAAGTGCTAGAATTTGTCTTTCTTGCAGAAACCCAAATGACATGGCCGGATGGAAAGGAATTCAGGAACAGGAGATGGGGTTAATGCAGGCATCTAAGCCGGTCTAGCAAAACTGGTATGAAGTTTGGAAGATTGAAAGAAAGAGAGGGAGCTGAAAGTGGTAGAGTTATGCTTAGCAACTAATATCGTTTCTTTAATTTCATTCTAAAGTATAATTTGATTTTCATGAAACACAAATGAAACATTTTTATAGAAACAAGGTGGCCGCCATCGCACGATGTGTGTCTCCTCTCGGGAGTTTTTTTTATTTACACCACTGCTTCTGACACAATTTATTTATCATGAACTATTGAGACTATGCTTGTGAGCCAAAGACGGAACCAAGTGGTTGCTTCAGTCTGGCTTTAAGCAATGCCAAGAAAGCTTTTCCAGAAACATTGTTTGCCTTTCTTTGTTACTTTTGTTTTTGTTATACTAGTTACCTTTGTTCGAATTCGCTGCCAAGTTGAGTAACACAAGATTAGTGCAAGTGGAGTTAGATCTCTCGTAATCTCAGTGTAAACTGCCAGAAGTCACTTGTTTCTAATCACTGTTTCAGTGGTATACTTCAGTATATTTATGAAATACTAATCATAAGATACTTTATTTAAGAGCTTGTTGGCAATCTTGAAAATAACACTTATAATTTCTTGGTTCTTATTTTCCGTTTAAGGCAACATTGTTTCAAAACACTCGAAATGCATTTGCCAATGAATTCTTCTGAGGTTGATCTATCAAATTTGCTCACTTACTTATACCTATGCACACTGATTCATAAAACTGCTGTTTGAGGGCAACCCGGACGTTGTAAAACGTTACTTGAATATTACAGGAATGTCAGAAATATTTCTGTTCATCTGTGAATTATTGAAGCTGCAAATGTAGACCAGCATTTGTTTTCAAAACCACCTTCATAACATGTCTTTAAGTGAAAACATTAACTCACTGAATATGAACCAGTAGTTAGTTATTTAAAATTAAATTTTAGCGATTTTTACCTTGACTGTAAAACCTTAAAATGACAGGTTATGTGAAGTGTTTGCATAATTGCATTAAAATCTGGCTCTAATAAAGTAAGTATTTGCTTTTCAAAGTGTTAGTTTAACACGGCAACTTTGAACATGCTTGAGTCGGTGAAAAACCCATACAATTCTTGCCATTGCAGGCTTCTGTTACCAGGCATATCACACACCTTTCATAAAGGCTAGGTACATGAGTTTATGTTTACCCACTTGACAGATGGTGTCATACAGAGGATGTCCTAGGTTCAGTGGCGTTCAGTTGTCTCAAACATGGGCCACATGTGGCCCGTGGACCTCTCGCTAGCAGCCCGGCTCACACGTGACTTCCTTGTCCCATTATATATATACTTTTTGTTTTTGTTAATGAAGTATGTACATGAGCTACACAGACTTGATTGGTCTAAAGTGTTTTTTCATGAGGCGCTGCCTGTGGTCTTCATTTGTTTGTATATAGCCATGGCACAAGGTTCTACATTTCATAATCGGTGTCCACATTTTAGTCAGTTTGGAGGCCGATATCGATGTGTTGGAATTCTGGCGCCAAGTCCCCTTCGGAGATGAATAATGCATGAGACAAAGGAAAGGCCTGCTTTAAGTGTAAATGTTAGCGGACATTTGGTACAAGCTACTCTCCTCTCCCCACTCCTACCTTCACTGTCCTGGCACTTGCAGAAGTAAATTTTTTTTCTCTGTAGCCCACTGGGCTGAGGTTAATGTGGGACACCTGCTCAAGTTTCGACAGATTACAAAATAAAAAAAGTGTTGTGTATCAGCGAGAGCACATTAAACGAAAAAAGGGGTAATTCGGGTTTGTTGGACACAACCTTATGGGAACCAACGGACAATTAAGCCGAGAAAATTATATAAGACATTATTTTGTAGTAATTATGATATAAAAGTTAAGAAAGCAAAGTTGACAAAAACTACAACTTGCCACCAGCAGGGTCCAAACTTCGAACCTTTGAATAAGGTTTTCAATTATCTACCAATTCAGCTGTGCAGGCAGCCGTCCTCCCGTCTATTTTATCGAGTTTACCTGGGCATTCTTTCATTCATTCCTTCTGAGGGTCTCCTTCTAGCAGACTTGATGCCTCCAAGTAATGTGCAAAGGATTTATTGGTCAACTGTCAGCTTGCAAAACTATCACGTCCTGTGTGACACCAGCAGGAAAAAAAAAAAAAGATGTACGTTTTTAATGTCATTGCAATTAGCAGCGCCGACTAGTACTTCCAGGATTTATGGCGCATCTCTACCCGATGGAACGGACTGGAGGATGATTGCCGCCATAGATCTAGTGGAAGAGAATCGGGCACATTTTTCGAAGTTTGCAAGTTTGGTTCCCTTTGGTGGGAAGTTGTCATTTCATCCACTGAAAGGGGCCCTGGGACACAAGTCGACAGGTCCTTTTTATCACTTCCTCTGGGACTGTGGAATTTACCAATACTGTTGTGTGAGTGGAAAAACAATAACAAAGCTGTTATAAGATTTTTTCAATGGAGGAACCACATTACTTTCAAACTAGAGTGACACGTCTTGGCTATTTTTGTGATCGGATACGGCGTTTCATCATGTAGCAGCCACCACATTGGCTGGGTGCTTTAATCTGTTTGGCATGACCAGTCACATTTAATATTCATATGGTCCAAGCTAGGTCAGACTATTCTGTGCTAAAAATGATAAAAGCACTCCTTGCACTTCTTTGGATACAAAATGATTTCTATTTTGAAATTTCCAAAACAACTGCCAAACGACGTTAGACACCCTTCACAACTGCTACGACTAGGTGTCTTCCAGTATGTCTCTGTAAGAGGTGTGGGGATTGGAACCAGTCTTTATAGCATCACTCGGAGAACGAAATGCAAAAGGGAACTTTTTTCTTATCATATGCTGGTGTATTGAAGTTTGAAAACTAATAACTTCCATTACTGTACACCAATTTCAATAGTTATTATTGCATTCATCTCAGTATTCAGCACTACACTCACTGCACTGCTGCAGAATGGCGACAAAAAAAAAAAGATTGCCAAGCTAATATAAGTTTTTCAAGTTTACTTCATAATCAGTACAAAATAATGTTCTTATACTTTCGTTCGCTTGATTATCTATTGGTTCTCATTAAGCTAGAGCACATTGCATTGCATAGATGACTGCAAAACAAGGTGGCACTCTTCAGCGGTAAATGAATCCATTTCAATCATTCATAGTGATGGCGAATTGCGATGTTCTCTTTTCAGGTTACACGATGTTCTTCACAGTGAGAAAAAATTGACTCTCGTATTCGAGCACTGTGACCAGGATCTGAAGAAGTATTTTGACAGCCTCAATGGGGAAATCGACCTTGAAGTTGTTAAGGCAAGTGTACTTTCAGCAGTAAAAGAAATTCAGTGCTGTCAAGAAAAAGGGTGTAATAAACAGTCCTACATGTTCAGTTAACAATTGTCACAGTTTAAGAATAAAAACGTCACAGTTTTGCTAGAAGTAGTTTAAACCCTTTCATTTTTGTCTTGACCTGAGCCTGCCTATGAGCACAGTAGCATCATTAGGTACGCCACTCCTAAGCCACTACAGTTTCATTATGGTTGCTCGCACACAAAAAATACAGATGTGTGTGATGGAATTTTATAACGTCCAGTGGAATATCAGTTGTCATCCTGAAAAACGTACTGTAGTTTACTTTTCAGCTAATGCACCTATCCTCATAAATGTTGTGCAGACAGCTAGAGAAATTAAATAGTCATTTCTATGATGCACACTTGCATGTGACGAGCTCAAAAGTGCATGGCAGAATGATTTGTTGTTGATGTGCTTCTAATAGCATTGGCAGTGTGGAATTTCGAAAGTGGTTGATTGTTTTTAGAATGATAACATATTCAGGACTTTGGGGATAATGCGAAAAAATACAAAATACTTTATCATTCCTCCAGATTGTTTTTCTTAAAGGGACACCAAAGGGAAAGAATGGATCTGTTTAGATTGATAATGTGTTCCCCGAGAACTCTCCAGTCATTAATTTCACCATAAAAAAATTGTTATTAGAAGAGACAATCAAGGTCAAAGTGCCGTTTTCGAATTTGACGTCAAAATCTCCGCGTGTGACATCATGGATTTCAAAACGTATTTTTCATATTTTCGTGACATTGGCTCAATGAAATTTACCTATTAAGAGCTATATAGGGCTTCTTAGACACTGCTAAAATATGTGTCGTCACAGCATTTGATGCGGGAATTGCAAGGTGGTGTCGCTACCTGCATTTTATTTTTGCTCGTTTTCGCGCTTGCTGAGTGTTTTCACGTGGCAAGCGCATCGATTTTGGAATTGTGGAAGAGTAATTAACTGATAACACAAAAATCATTTTTCTCTTTAGTGTTGCTTTAAAGTTTTGTTTTATTATACTGGAATAAGTAACTTCATGGGAAAGGACTTCTTTCTTTTATTTGTCATGGTAAAGCTACGGTTTCAATAAAGTTCAGTATCATGTCACGAATTTCATGATAATGCTTACCTGGCCTCTCCCTTTTTTATTTACACTTGTGTCTTGAGGTTTTGAGAAAAGTTTCAAAAAGTCTTGATATAAATTTCTGCTTTCAAGTGCGATGTAATATTACATGATTCACAGGTAACTGTCCTTGAGGAATTATGACCATTATCTTAGTGCTTATTAAAAAGATTTTTTTCATTCATTTTGTCCCGTTTTTGACTTCATGTGAAATGAGAGTGCGACAATCGCATCTTGTGCTGAAGTTTTGAATCATAGGCAAGCAAGAGGCACTAATCAGGCTTGGAGAATACAACTTCCATTGAACATACGGACACCCATTTTGAAAGCCAATCTGTTATACATTTCAAGTTATATTAAAGAAGTATTGGCATGATTTTGAGGCACCCCTAAAGGCACATATTTCATTCCCATGGCTTGCACTCTCAACGCTCTTCACACACCGGAGTCAGAGAACACGTGCAATATGTTTTATTTTGATTTTAAAGTTTTTGTCTTGACGCAGCTGTAAACCAGCTCCACGGTAATAGACATTATCACGACAAGTCAACACAGTTCACTGGTTTTGCGAAATTTACATCCTGCATGCAGCCTAATCGCACAAGTCGCTGGCACAAGTTGGTGGATGATAATTCACTCACTGTTCACGTGAACCACTTGCGACTGACAGCAAACAGGCAGTTGTTGCTAGTATTCCGTGAGTTGCAGTACTTCCGTGACATCAGACCTCTCTTCACATGTCAATGCGAAGCCACCCTCTCGATATCTGAACCAAAATTGCTGTTTTAAGGTGGCAGGGGTGTTAAAAATATATTCAATGCATTCCCAAGCACCATGACACTCCTTTTAGGATTCTCGACAACCGTGTTTTTATTTAGAGCAACGACCCAAAAAGGTTTAAAATTCTTGTCAGTACTCCTTTAACAGCGAAAGAATCATGCCCGAGTAGGGCTCGTCATTTGGAGGTCTCTCTCGTCCTCAAAACTTGGGCAGCAACATGCATCAACGATTTTCATTTTATCACTTTGCTTACTTTATTGGTGCCAGATGTTATGTTGTTGATAATCATTTCTTGTGATAATGAACTATAATCAGTTGATTGCTTGTTTTGTTCTCGCAGTCTTTTATGTTCCAACTTCTTCGTGGCCTTGCATTCTGCCATAGCAATAACATCCTGCATAGGGATCTCAAGCCGCAGAATCTTCTAATTAATAAAGTAAGTCATTTAATATTTGTAACAATGGCTTTCTACAAACGTGCATGCCAGTTATTTGAATTGTAGCTAGCAATCCTACCCAGTTGGGATGTCATCAAGTAGCACTAGATACTGCTCCTCAATTTACAGTTCAAAAGCTGTGTTCTCACTCTCCAAATACTTTGCCATTCCTCTCCTTCATCTAGTATCGTAAATGGTATTCTTTTGCTTGAGCCTCACAATCATTGGACCTTTATGTGTCATTTGAGAAGGAATGAACTGCTGTAAGGCATCCTCCTTCATTGTGTGCTTGGCACTTTTTTCTTTCAGAATGGAGAGCTAAAGTTAGCTGACTTTGGTCTCGCAAGGGCATTCGGAATTCCTGTTAGGTGTTACTCAGCTGAGGTATGTTGATCGTCATCTGCAGCAGTCGTAAAAAGCTGCTGAATGTTGTGTGGCGCTATTGTAAGTGAACTTATCATCTTCTAGGTTGTCACGCTTTGGTACCGGCCGCCAGATGTTCTGTTTGGGGCGAAGCTGTACACAACATCCATTGACATGTGGTCTGCTGGCTGCATTTTTGCAGGTTGTTACACTCGCTTCACATTGGTACTGTGTTTACTTATCTGTCTGTATTTGGACTTGCTTGTGTGCTTTAGAAGCACTCAATATTCGCCCAGATGATGCAGGAACTCGTAGAATTGTAAGTAAACATTTATGATAGAGACGAATAATATGGTTAGAAAAGGACCGATAATGATGTAATTATTAATTGATAGCTGTATGCAATGCCTCGAAATGTTGAACCACAATAAGGAAGCAGACAATATGTATGTGTATTTACTAATGGTATTACCCTGCCTTTATTTTATACACTGTGTCATTTGTGCATATAAGTTTTTTTTAAGGTCAGCTTCTGTATTGCTTTGTGTACCTGAAACATCCCAAGTGTAACTTCACAAGTTCTTGCACAATGTAATGATTACGAAGCTGTTGTATTTTAGGACGTTCACAACACTTTTTGAGTATTAGACAAGATATGTTTGCCGACGTCTAGCCAGGTCTTCTGTGAACATCTGAGCCAAATATTATTGTACTGCATGCAGTAGGTAATCGACAGTTTCATGTTAGAAACACTTGAATATTGTTCATTTTCTCCTTCGAACCGTTGCCACCAACTGTAAGAAGCAAGCGGGCTTGATTGGTATTGACGAATGGTGCACTGGAGGACGTTATTAAAGGCCACGTGTGTGCAACTGACTAGCCATTTAAAAAAATGAAAATTCGTGTGAAACAGAGAACACTGTGAAGTAGAAACAGAAAACAAAAGAAAGACTATAAGACGAAAAGGGAGTAAAAAAGTGGTGACAGTCGTGATGAGGGAAACATGGGTGGGCATTCAGCTCACGTTTAAGAGAAGACAGTGAAGTAACGTAGCTTGCAGACCTTGTATCCTCATCAAAAACGTCAGAAATAATGTTTGCATGGCAGGGTTAGCTCACTTTTTTGCTTCACATTACAAAATTTCTGTCTGTTTGTGTCAAGTACTACTAAGCTTTCCAAACGTATATGCAATTGAATGTCCCTTTTGAATATTTAGTGCACATCTGAAATTTCTTGTGGGGCCTTGCGAGTGATCTTTCAGTGATGTGATCTCAATGCCCCTGTTCAGTACCTCACATTTTATTTTTTTTTTGTTAGTCCATCTTTTGTTAGTCTATCTTTTCTGTTTAGTTCTATGTCACGGGTCCCGTTAATTCGGGAGGTGATCGCCGGGCTAATTCCAAGGGCCGAAGTACCGGCCCCCCGAACCGCACCACGAAAACGTGGACAATTTAGAAGTGGTCCTATTTGGTGCGCCAGCGGACGCCCGCTGTGGCCCAAAGAACAAGTCAGAGCCGAGAGTTGATAAACAAAACAAAATTATATTCTCAATTATAGCAGATCAAAACTATACACAAGTATGCACACTCGACAATAGTTGAATACAATGTGTCACCAATCAAACAATCTACTACACAGTACTATCAGCCACACTCGAAACAACGGACACAGACAACAATACGCACTACAATGCAGTCGCATGCATCGAACAACCAAGACACTTAAAGACTAAAGAGTTAGGAAACTTATTCAGTCCAAAGTCCTTGGAACAGAAGTCTGAATGATACTCTTCCGAGAATCTCTCACTCAAAGTCCAGCGTTGTTGTGGTTCCGCTGCTCCCGAAGTTTCTCTTCCAGAAAACCTCGCGTCTTCAATTGGCCCCTCTCCAAGCTTCGAACTTCTTCGCCGGAAATACGTCGGCTTCCCACACGCAGCTGTTGCCATGTGTCTTCGCTTGATAGTGGTAGACACACACTCTTGCCTGTAGCTCGAGTCTTCACCTCTCAGGTGGAAATCCTCTTCTTCTCCTCCTTTGTCACGGAAGACAAAAGGCTTCGCCCACAAGGCGGAACACCCTATGCACTCTGGCGCATATTTTCTTCTTCTCCTGGTAGGCCCGTGTGCTCAGATTTGGGCGCACGTTAAAGAACCCCAGGTGGTCAAAATTTCCGGAGCCCTCCACTACGGTGTCTCTCATAATCATATAGTGGTTTTGGGACGTTAAACCCTACAAATCAATCAATCTTCTTCTCCTGCTTTGTCACTAAGGACAAAACCTTCGCCGACTACACGGCGGAATGCCCTACGCACTCTGGCGTTAACTTCCTTCTTCTTCTGATCTCTCATCCCGGCTGCTCGAATAAATACCTTCTGCGCGAGATTCCAGAAAGTTCTCATCATTTCGTCGGCGCTAGCAGGAAGCTTGGACTGCATGCTCTGCCATATAGTGAGAAATGTTTCAATTTATTTGTTGAATTAACCTTCTTTATTTTTTTCGCAGAGCTTGCAAATGCCGGAAGACCACTATTCCCTGGGAGTGACGTTGATGATCAACTAAAACGGATATTCAAATATCCTTTATGGTTGCCAGAACTGTCTTAGTATAGCTATTGCAAAAGTGTGAAATATTTATTTCTTCAGAAGGGTTTTGCACAGTATTGTTCTTTTTATTCCTACGTACTTTTATAATATATGAAATTGTACCTGCTTGTAAAACTGGCACATGCAGAATCTTTCATTTTTCCAAGTTACGTATATTCCATTAACTCATCGTCATCACAAGGTGCTTGACACAAAATACATCTACGTGTACTGAAGCTTTCCTAAATAGTGTTGCTAATACTGTAGTGAAATAATTCTGCCTGATAACATTGTGTGCGCAAAATGAATGGAAGTGTATGTTCTGGAACATAAGCGACCATGATAGATTACACCAAAATGCACAATTAATTAAACTTAAATAGTCAGCACACCTTATGGCCAAGAAATCAGATTTTTACATGAACCACATTGGTGCAAATTACTATTTCTTTATTTATTTACACTCATACCCACAGCGCCGTTCAGGCGTTACGCAGAGAATTTATACATATACATTTAAAGAACATTGGTGAAGAAAGGAAAAAGAAAAACAATTACAACCATCATTACTATTGTGCTTTGAGTTGTCTTGTTATTCTGAGCACAAGTTTTCTTAATATTAAGATTCAGGACTCATTGTTCTGGCACTGCTTTGTTCCTCACTGTCATCTCCTTGTGCCAGTGGTATGTTCAAAGTGCTCATTATTAACATTAGACTGTGTCTTGTCATATTGCTCTACAAAACCAGTGTGATCGTCATGATTGCAATCACCCCTATTGTTAGACTAAAGATTCTTCTGAAAATCCAAGGTTATATTATCCTTGTGACTTCAACCAAGCCCACCTCGCACCTGTCAGCAAATTTTAAGTCTCGTTGTGTTACTTAATTTGCAAACACACTCAGTCGCTTGTTTTCTTTTTCGCAAAGACACATTTCTTAGTGCATCATCGTTAAAGGGTCTTCAGAAGCAGCACATCTTTCACGTTTTATAGTGGCTGTTTAGCTGCCATCTCTGTTTTCTTGATGTGCTAGTCCTGTGTTTAATTGTGCGTGACATCAAGTGCTTTCTAGGCTGCTTCTTAAATGGTTGTCATTCTTTAGGTGTGGACCGCCATCGGTTCTTGTGTGGTAAGTGTAACCTTGCACACACTGCTACAGAAACCTAAATGAAATAATATTTAACATCGTATGTAAATCAAGTAGTAACCTCCTTGACATGTGGTACGCTCTTGGGTACACCAACTGAAGACACCTGGCCTGGGATGACACAGCTGCCAGACTACAAGGTAAAAATGCATAGTGATGTTGTTTATTGTCTATTCTCTTTTTAAAGCTCCTATAAACAGGCTCCGTCTTTTTTTTTTCCACATCTCATTCGTAAGCTCGCCAATTCGTGCTGGAACCCGTAGCGATCATATTTTGCGGATGTTGCAGCACTGCGTGGCACACTGACACTCGCTTTCGAGAAACAATCCTCGATCCCCTTTTCAGTGCCTGTAGAGTCCTCCACAATCGTGAAGCGACGTAAAGTTGTCCGTGGGCAAATTCACATAGCACTGACTTTGTGAATTGGCCCTTTGCATACACAAATATAGCTCCTAATCCTGCAGTGTCATCGTTTCGGCTGCACGCTTTACCGCACTTGTTCACCACGCTGCACTGGCACAAGCAACACGAGGCGGAAGTTTCCCTCTTTGTTGGACGTACGCTGGAGATATTATCACTGACGTCATGTTACATTGGTGAAGTGGGCGCGGTCATGACGATGATCCATGCCTACTCGAGTCTCTTCGCTGCCAAGAAGAGTGAGGAGACTAAGCGAGATATTAAAACAAGTCGAAGTGGCTTGTTCTATACCCTCATAACTTCCTTATTAGAATGCTTATTTGCAAAATTTTTGTTTTAGCATGCTTACATTGTACAAGTGCATGCTCATTGCTTCATCTCACATTTTGGACTGCAGGTTTGTTTATAGGCTCTTTAATGTGCCTACTCATGTTTTTGTCATGTTCGTCAGAAAGCAACCATGCAAGCATAAAATGTAGATCTAAATATAATAAAACCGTCCACAGAAATGTGGTGTTGAGGCCCTGATGGAGAAATTGATCAAGATAAGAATGTATGTTTGCGTAGTATGGTAAACTAATTTATCAGCTAAATCTAAGAGTGGGCATTACGACCTTAAAATCATGCCCATGTGATGGGTCCATCCGGCATAGTGTCAGGTTTGCGGTCGTGTTGGGAGGTAAGTGCAAGCTTGTGCATAGAATGAGGCGCATATTTTGTCGCCGAGCCTCTTGTGTTTCACCAAAGGGCTGTTCAGCTTGATCATCATAATTGCGGTCATTTGTCTGCTGTGATCTATACGGAATGCCTGGAGAGTGGACAGGGTGGGCACAGTCTTCAGATAAATAGATTGGCCAAGTGCACAGTGTGCAGGTCATTAATGGGAAAAACACAACTGACTGCACTGTTCACTCTGTATACTTTCAGTTACTATCGCTACTGGTGAGAGTACGGATATGTTCTGTTAATTCTGGCACGGTTGTATTCATTCCATTAGAAGACATGAGTTGCACCACTACCTGCTGAAACTGATTTTTCGTTGCTATTCATTGCCTCCTTAAAGGGGCCCTGAAACACTTCTTTAAGCAACCATAGAATGAATTTACTAGAAAAGCTTATTGCCTCACGAATTCAACGTCGCAAAAATTTTAAGAATCCGTCCAGTGTGAGTGGAGTTACAAAGGTTTGTCGCCTGCTTCAGTTGCATTCTCTCTTCTCTCGTCCCGACGAAAACACTGGAAGCTAAGCAGGGAGGGATGACAGGGCCACAGAAAAATGTCACGCACCTTGTGACTTTGAGCACTTTTTTCTTTTTCTTTTTTTTTTCAAATGCGCTGCTTTTTCAGGCTGCTGCTTTTACATGTGGACAAGCAGCGGCCTTTCAGCGTGATCTCTGTACTGAGCGAGCGTGACGTTCAAATCAGCCAATGGCTGATAGATGGGCTTGCTACGTGTGATTTTGGGGTATATTCCCTGATTTGTCGAGAGAAGAGAAAGCAATTTTTAGCTGACTTTGATAATTTATTGTGAATTCCAGGCCGCGTGCTGCACTATAATATTTGGCTTGCGTGTTGTCGAAGCCTCTATACCGATCGGTAGCGTTTTCTGACCATGCTCAAAAAGTGTTGCAGGGCCCCTTTGAACTATGTTAGTGTGGGTAATAGACTATTACCCATCGTAAGCACTACCATTAATAATAGTATTGTCGTTGTAGAACCTGGTGGTAAATGCTTTTTTTCTGGCCAATCTGGTTCTGATTGCTTGCTTAGTTCCTTCTTATTTCTCTCTTGCAGTCATTCCCACTATACCACCCAACGACAAGCTTTGCACAAGTGGTGCCAAAGTTGAGCTGCAGAGGACGAGACCTGCTGCAGGTATGTGTCCTCCACGTTGACTATAGCAAACACTTTCTCAAGTTAGTACTTGACCTTCACTTTAATTTTGAAGCATCACATACTAATATTGTTTAAAGTTTAACCTGCCAGAGGCAGTTCAAGAAAACATCAGTGAGAGCTATAATTCGAATATATTTGGCTTCCACTGCAGCCTTCTCTGCTTTCACTGATTCATAATTTTGCTGGTGTAGTTTTACTACTTTTTTTTGTGTCTAGTGACTATAAATTTTCCTGCCATCTCATATAGTGCATTTAAGGATTGAAGTCTTTGTATGTCACAGGCCGACCACAGCCTTTGCTCCTAAGCTTTTGGCAATAGACAGCAGAAAGGAAGCATTGGTTGAATTCCTGAGATCGACAATTCGCTCTCCTCGAAAAGTGAAGTGGCAGCTGGTTTAGTCTTAGCTACCACCCCAAACATCAAATACCATGGTGGCTTCTAAAATGCCCCCTGTTGCCTCATTGCCTGCCCAGTGTGCCTTGGTACCATGTATGGAGTCAAGGTCACAATGGCTTTTCCTGTGTCACTGATTTTCTTCGTGCCGAACCAGTCCGTTGACACCCTTGTTCACGTTTGACAGAGAGATAATCAGCCTGTCTCAACTCCACATTCTTGGCTGGAATGCATCGAGAACTTTGTTAGGTTCATAGCCGCCTAAAGAATTCCAATGCTGATGATGGTCATGACATTACATCAGAATAAGGACATGTACTGTGCATTCGTGGAGCAACATTTTGGTGGACACGAGTTTGCATTGTGTTGTCGGTAATGGTTGGAATAGTATTTGAAGAATGTCTATCCACCTGGTCAAGAAACATGAAAGCTTGCTTTGACCAGTGAGTATATTTGCATCACCTGCGAACCACGCGCAAGAAAACCACTCTCTTTTGTGCACGGTAAAGTTGCCAAAAGGGCTATTGTTTGAACTTGCTTGTCGAATACGTTGACCAAGTCCGACTGCCTCAGAATAGGCTGCAGTTTTCAAGCAAAGGTCACTCACCTGAAAGTCTCATCACGGCGGATTACTAATCTGAGTAGCTGAGCCAGTCCTGCAGGAAACTGAAAGTAGGCAACGCATGTTGTTATTTACCACCCTACAGAAACTTTGCTGTTTATCAAAAAGAAGCATTCCTACAAGAAATGAAGAAGCTCTTAGTGAAATGAATCACTAGAACCGATTTGTGGTATGTTACAATGGGTGTCGCTTACAGAACCTCCCAAAGCTTTTATACTCGCAGATCTTGGAATGATCGACTGTGAAAACATACCAATCTTGAAGCTATAACCCATCTGGAATTCTTTCTCGTTGTATAGTTCTAGGATATTCAACCGATCCCTCCTGCTTTTCATTGAAGGTGTCACATAGCAATACAGGTCACGGTACAAGAAATACTTGCTCGTTGCTAGAAGTCGGCCTACGACGCGCAGTGCGTGATTCTGGTTTTTCATCTGGCTGCGGCCGCGGAGCGGTGGTGTAGCTCCTTTACCCCCTGTCGGTAGACCCGAGAGCACTGCAGAAAAGCACCCTTTCAGGTGCAAGAAACGAGGTAAGGACGCACGAAGGTAGCCTCAGCGCTACCTTACCTTAAGGAAGCACCAAGGAGGGCCTCGGTGAGGGAACCTTAATAAGGAGCATTCCAGAATACACAATAAGGCGTCCTCAAGAAGTTGAGGCCTGCACACTAATGTAAGGACCATTTCAGAATACAGCCCTTAATATAACACGTTTTAAGGTTTCCTGCTCATTTAGTGGTCCTTTTATATCGATCGTCGTGACTTTACATTCTTTTCGGGGTATGTGAATGATTGGGTTTCGAAGTTACATTGAATAATACCGAGTGTACTAATTCGATTCGACATTGGAATCAGAATCAGAAATGGCTTTATTTAGTCGTGAAATCAATACAGTATTAGTGTATACAGAACAGTGTGTGTACGTTGTGTATGTGTGTGTGTGCACGTGTGTGTGTGTGCGTGCGTGCATGTGTGTGTGTGCGTGCATGTGTGTGTGTGTGTGTGTGTGTGAGAGAGAGAGAGAGAGAGAGAGCTGAGGGCTGTGAACTTTGTCCTCACTTCGTCCTAACTTCGTCCTACAGGCTGAGTATTTTCCCGGAAAGCTACTCATAAAAACATTGTTCAAAAGAGTTGAGCAATGACTTTCTAAAATTGCATTGCCGAAAGATTAGTGAGACTGCAGCTTGCAGTGATGCTTTGTGATGTGTGCTGCCAGGTTTGGTTTGATAATCGGTAATTACGTTGCTATTTTCCGTGGTGATTTCGTATTGTCACCATGACGCACCTTCCAGTTCGTCTGATATAAATGGCGCCACATACCATAGGGATCTGGTAGGCTACATAACCACAAAGACATGTGCATGAACATTATTATCGAGCTCAATAAATCTTCAGTTGTGAGCCTATGGTCTGTTTGCTGTGCGTGTTGTATTTGTGCACTACACAAGTCAGTTCCAGACGATAAAGACACCTATGTTCTGGCATGGTATTTTTTAGGTAGTTTTCAGCCACAGAAACTATACCAGTTCGGGACATGTTAGCTCTTGTTGTCAAGTTTGGGTTTAATTTTTACCACAAAATATAAGCTGGTATCATCCGCATGAATTGTAATTTTAGCGTTGTTGTCATTGTTTCGATCGCACCAATGCCAATTGTTACGAGAAAAGTTCCCAAAACGCTTCTTCGGGGCCTGCCACATTTAGTCTCTTTTGGGACTGACCATTTCATCTGCTAAGTATAATCTGAGTTCATCATTGTAAGTAGGATGACTATGGAGAACGTTTTACATCCTAATTGCCTTAAAGCCTTAAATTTTTACTTTCTAAACAAATCATGTAGCTGACATAGCTAAGTACTCTGGAGAAATCTTGAAAATGATCCGTGCGCTAATTTTTAGCTGTAAGAGTCCACTAGTACAGTAAAAGCTTGTTAATTCAACACACATTAGTTCGTAAAATTGAATGACTCGATCGGATGTGTTCTCTGGCATGGTAACGTATGTACAGTAGACTCGCGATAATTCAAACTCTGATAATTCGAACTTTCGGTTAATTCATACAAAATTCAAAATTTTGGTTGGCTCGCTATGCTTTCAATGTATTTAAAAGCCGCTTAATTCAAACTTCGTCATTCGGTTAATTCGTACTTTCTGCCTGTCCATACCAGAAAATTTCTGCTGATTTGCCGGCAATATTTGAAAATTTGCGTGCTTATGATTATCATAATAGTCTGATATTGAAAAATAAGCGCCTTAAAACTTCAAGGGAAAAGGTTTTGCCACACAATCATTTCTCAGCATTCCGCGCCGCGGTGGAAAAAAAAAAACGAAAAACAAAAACGGCCCGGTGGTTACGAAGCTGGCTCGCGGCTTATCTCTGCTTTTCCGGCGTGCCGGTGGCGCCGGCCGACTCCGAAGCACGTGACCTGCCCACAGAATGCGTACAGGTCTGCCCGTCTTTCTTACGTGCTGCGCATTTTTCGATCGACCATGTCACCGCGAGGAAAATATCGGACACTACCCCTAAAAGAGAAATTGGCCGCTATCCAAGAAGTCGACGCTGGGGTAAAGAAGACCGAAGTGGCACTGAAGTATGGAATAACCAAAAGTACTCTCACAACCATTCTGAAAGCCAAAGACAAACTGCAGAATAACGCGAGCCGCTTCGCTCCCGATCGGAAAAGGCTTAGGGAAGCTGCGTACCCGGATCTCGAAAACGCCATGCTTCTTTGGCTCAAGCGCGCACGGAGCTCCAATTTACCGATAAATGGGCCAATCCTACGAGAGAAAGCTGAAGAACTTTCCTTGCGCTTGGGAATTGAAGATTTCAAGTGCAGCGATGGCTGGATTTCTCGGTTCAAGGAACGCCACGGTCTCTCCTTAAAAACAGTGAGTGGTGAAGCAGCAGTGGTCGATGAAGCTGTTTCTTCTGACTGGCGGCAGACTAGACTTCAAAGCCTGCTGCTTGAATACTCCCCGGCTGATGTATATAATGCCGACGAAATGGGGCTGTTTTTTAAGTGCCTGCCCGATCAAACCTTGTGTCGCAAGGGAGAGCGTTGCACTGGCGGAAAGCTGAGCAAAGAACGGTTAACCGTCATGGTTTGCGCCAATATGGACGGAAGTCACAAGCCAGAACTCTTCGTTGTGGGCAAGTCAAAGCGTCCCAGGTGCTTTAAAGGCGTCCGAACGCTCCCAGTTGCATATGACGGAAACACGCGAGCCTGGATGACGCGAGCTTTGTTCGAGGGTTGGCTCCGCAAACTGGATGGGCAAATGAAGCGAGCGAAAAGGAAAATTTTGCTCATTGTTGATAACTGCCCTGCGCACGGCGACGTGGAGGGGCTGGAAGCAATTCGCTTCGAATTTCTGCCTCCTAACACTACAGCTGTCCTCCAGCCCCTGGATCAAGGGGTAATCAAATGCTTGAAGCTTAATTACCGGAAAACACTGCTAAAGAGAATGCTGATATGTATGGACAATTCCATGCCTTACAGTGTCACACTACTCTCATCGTTGGGCATGCTCGCCGACGCATGGAATGCTGTCACATCAGCAACAATAAGGAACTGCTTCGAGCATGCCTTCCGCATACCTGGCTGCAGCATTGCCACTTCATCTGACTGCTTGCAGACTGAGGGCGACGATGAAAGCCAAGTGCTGTCTGCTCTAAAAGCGCACAACATAGCTGCCGACCTCGACAGTTATGCAGCTACTGATGATAACCTGTGCGTGTGCAGGGAGGACACACTCGATGACTTGGTGGCAGAGGTGCTGCCAGCACAACACAGCAGTGAAAGTGAAGAAGAACAGGAAGTGGAAAATGTGACAACTGCACAGGCTTTCCAGTACATTGCTAAAGTGAGAAAATTTCTGACAACAACAGAAAACTCTCAGAATCAACTGGCAGCACTTACTGGCATCGAGAGCTTTGTGCTAAATGCGCATGTGGCAAATAAGCAGTTGACCATCCATGATTTTTTTAAAAGGTCTAGTCAGCAGTAGATAGTCAATAAACTTGTTGATCATACATGCACCGCTCTCTGTTTTTGTGTAGTTAGGATCTAGAGATGCTTAAAAGTGTGAATATAGATGTCTGATCATAATTTGTGCTGTCACCTTACCCAGAGTCGCATATATGAGAACTTCTGATAATTCAAACAGCCTGATAATTCAAACAAAATCCAGGGGTCCCTTCGAATTTGAATTAATGAGAGTCGACTGTATTATTTAATGGCATGAAAACTCGTTGATTTGGTCAAATTCGGACTTAATTCAGGTAATTCATATGTGCCTCGGAGCGCACCGAGCGTGCGCTCCAACATATATTTGTTTTTTCAATAAATTTTGATTTCGTAGTTTGCTCCTTGTCCGCATTATATTCTCGTCTGTTATTACTCTTCTGCACCGCCTCATTAAGATGATTGTTCTCTAATGGCAAAAAAGTGTGTGTTTTATAAAATCATAAAATTTTATATATTATAAAATCTGCAAAAACTTATTGCGTCAAAGTTATGTGTGCACAATAAACATTGCATTACTTACTGTGGTGAAGTTTCTTTTTTCTTATTGCGGGACAGTGTTTCCTTCGGAATGTAATTCAAGAAGGATTCCTGGCGATCAGTCTGGCGGTGGCTTTTATGGCAGTTGCGACGTGAATTTATGTGCCTTTAATAAATATTTTCAATTGTAATAGTATATCCATGTTGAGCCATTTATGTGCATGTACAGCTCTCTGTGAACTATTTGCAAATATGGAGAAATAAGCATGATTAGAAACAGATGCAAACCTTTGCAGGTGGGCAATTTTCGTAGTCCAGAAAAGTGTGGACTATCTGCCTGCTAAGGACAATCAAGTCGCGGGGCAAGCCTCAAAGCTGGGCTTCCCTCTGTGCTCGATTTGACTGCCATACCTATAACATTGTTGCAATCAACGACGATTGTTTCAACCTACCATAATACAAGTTAGGCAACGCTGGTAAATTAGAGACAAAAGTACATTTTTAGCTCTCCCGACTCGGACCCCTTCAAATACAGTTCTATGCCCTCGCTGACTCATGGCGGCTAAGATATAGAGCCGCCGCGATTCAATTCGTTTTCTAATAAACATAATCATTTTTTAAAGGTGGGAACAGCATGGGATCGGCCCATGAAGCGTTTCCTAATCGATTTCAGCCTGGACCTGCGTCACTTATGTAAATTTCAGGTGACGCCAACCCCCATAAAGGCATGATAGAGTGGTCTGACGTTCTAGAGCCCCTGCTGAGCGGTAGCTTCCTCTGCAATGTCCGAGTGCAAGGCGTGAAAGCATTGCATAAGCTTTTCAGCAGAAAAACCTTTTCAGCAGAAAACTGGGAAAAATATGTTATGAAATCTTGTTATATATATTTATGTAGCTGCTGGACTGAATTACTACTATTCTCAGTGGGGGGGGGGGCCAGTGCCCCCCTTGCCTCCCCGAGAGATACGCCTATGTCCCATAGTTACAGACAGAATCGGGACCTCCTACAGCAGGGAATATAGAGGAAAATAATTGAAGCAGCAAACAGTGGTACAGAAAACAAGCAGCGTAATACATCGCAGGCAAAAAAAAAGCGAAGTTCTAATCAAGAAGCACAATAGCAGGAAGCAGCAAAAAAGATTGAAAGTGAACATCATAAGAAATAAAGGTTATTCTAATCTTCTAAACAGTTTTCAGATAACCACAGGAATAGCTAGAATTTAAAGTTTAGAATAAATTAACAGGACAATTATCTAAAATGCAACAAAGTCCAATAGTGCTACTTTGTTAGGGTGGGATGGTTAAAAGTTATGCTAACGTCGTTACAGTAGGCCTTTTGTTTAAACTTTCTTCATCGATATCCTAGTTCAGAAGTGAGCGCATCTCTATTTCAAAAGAGAATGTCATCTCCGCACAAAAAAAAGAAAAAAAAACGCATGAGAAAAATTAGGCTCTTCACAACTTCACTTCCAAAGTGAAGGCACGGACTTATTGCGTAGTTCAGTTGTGTATGACGCATGTGCCGAAAAACGTCCCGACATCTTGACTTTGGCCCTGAAAGCTCTCGGTGATTGGCTTCACATGTGAAAACTTGTTCATGCTGTGCAGTCACCACTGCCACATCGCACCGCTCCTTCTGAAGCTTGCATTGTTGGGGCACGTAGTTAGAACGCTGCTGTGAACGGGAACTTGAAGATTTCTGGTCCTGCTGCACACCTAATGACGAAGTACTATATTACTGTTTTCAATACTGGCTGTGGCGGTCGCATTTTGATGATGGCGAAATGCTAGAGGGCCCCTGTACTGTGCGGTGTCACTGCACATAATGAGCACCAGATTGTCAACATTTCCAGGAGCCCTCCACTACGATGTATTTCATGAATCATATTGTGATTTTCGGCACATGAAACCCCACATTTTAATATTTTTACCGTTTTCAAATGAGCCGTAAAATGCAACCAGTAGAGAGAGAAAAAAAATCCAGCTGCCGTACCCTCTCTATTAGCCGTCAGGTGATTAGGAGCGCTACTGCTGACTGAATAGCGGCTCGTCCGTTAATATGCCTGCACTCCCATAAGAGCTGAAAAATTTAAAAATCCTTCCCAAAAAGCACTTAATGAAACTATCATTATGCTATAGTGTAGGTGTGGTGCCATTCAATTTCATTTCTTTGTTCTTTATTTCGATAATTTTTGTATTTGGTATTCGATATTTTTGGCCACTGTTTGACTTTGATTCAATTCAACATGAACTTCACTATCCACTCACCCCACTTTTTTTCTTCTTCTCTGTATAGCGTCCTCCTATTTTATTTAATCCAAGAATATTTGTTTGAATACTTCTACGAATTTCGTGGTGACCGTTGAGGGGCCTCACTTTTATTAAAATCATGCAATACAAACATATCATTGTTAATGTGTACAACCTTCAATGTCATGTCAATTGTTGTGGCGGTTCAGATACATCCTAGAAAGAGAACTCACCTCCAGAATGCATACAAATGACAGTATACAATTCTTCTTGTTTCCGAATTGTGTCATAACGTCATTCCACGTGCACTTGATTTCCAGAAACTCCTAGTCTGCAATCCATCCATGAGGCTCTCAGCGGAAGAGGCCATGCAGCACCCATACTTCAGCGATCTCCCGAGCTCGATAAGGAACGGCTGATCGTCGTCTTCTCATGAGTGGGTCATAGTAGCCACTTCAGAGACATTGTCTGCAACCATTTCACTTCATTTGTTTCATTTGAATTCAGATATGTATGTACAGTCAATGTTGCGGCTCCTTCATTTCAGAGTTGGTGCGTTACCCTTTCTTGCCTTTAAGTGTCTCTTCTTAGGGGAGTTGATTGTCGGAATGGTCAGTGACATTGGTGGAATTAAGAGAGTGCGTACCTGATAAACTATGGAAATGTGATAAACAATCAACCTGAGGCAGCTCTAAATGACAAACTGTTTTTTGTGTTTAATTGGTCTAAGACAAGTGAAGCATGCCACAATCATGCATTGCTTTTAATGCTTGCTGTTGTGGTGCCTGTCAAGGACAAAAGTTTCTGCACTCTGAGTGCAGTTGTCTTGAGGTCAAGTTGGCAGCCAAGCATTGAAAAACAAAATAACACGCCAAGTTAGGCTAGTGAGTGCTTAGGTACTATAAAGATGTGGTCACTAAATGTGAATTTCGGTGTTTGTATGAACCACCGAATGTGGTGCCTGCCATTTCCACGCTGGATGCCAAAAAGTGCGATAAAAGCTTTCTGGGCGCTGATGGTTCGTAAACGTTTGTCTTTGGTAGCACAAAATTTGTCACTTAGGTTGATGTTCAACTAATCTTTTCTGTGTGCATTTAATGCTCGCTCTAAAGCTGAAATGTGGTTAGTCTTTTTATTGTGTGTTGCTGCTTTTTAGACATTTTATGCATGTGCAATGCAAAATAATTCCTAGTTTTTATGTCATATATATACAATGGACTCTCAGTGAACAGAAATCTCTTAAATGGAACTGCTGATTAAATGGAACAACTGCCTTTGATGTGATTGGTTTCATCCCTGCATACTGCCCCCCCCCCCCTACCCCCGTTCACCTCTCAGTAAGTGGAACTCCTGTTAAATGGAACACATTTTTCTGGTCCCTTCAGGTTCCGTTTAATGAGAGTCCACTGTACGTGCGAATTTCAGCTACACAATATATTATTAAAGATGAGTTGACATATATATATATATATATATATATATATATATATATATATATATATATATATATATATATATATATATTTTGTTACGGGGAGAAGGCGTCTGAAAAATACCTTTACTTTTGGTAAACCGGCAGGCATACAATATGGAGCCCAGTCAGCACGAGCTCGCCCTAAACATCGTCCTCCTTTCTACAATGTTCGTTTGTGGTGCCCCGTAGCATCACCCCCGGCGGCGAAGGCACCGTCTCGGTGCTTGGTTGGTCCGAGTAATATCGCTTCAGCCTCGTGACGTGAACAACGTCAGAACACGATCGCGCGCTGGTGGCGTTAAGAGGTTCAATTTCATATGTCACGTCGGTGACTTGGCGCACCACACGGTACAAACCCGAGTACGGTGAAGTCAGCTTTTCGCACAGGCCAACTCGCCGCGACGGCGTCCAGAAAAGGACTGTGTCGCCTTGACTGAAGTCGACATCACGATGGCACGCGTTGTAGACCTGTCGTTGTCGTTCCTGCGAATAGCTCAGACGCCGGCGAGCAATCTCACGAGCCTCTAGAGCTCTAGAGATGACATTGCGGGCATATTCTGACGTGTGGCTAATGGCAGGAAGGAGCGTGTCAAAAGGCAATGTAGGTTCTCGTCCGTACAGGAGGAAAAATGGCAAGAAACCTGCAGTGTCATGCCGAGACGTATTATAGGCAAATGTTACAAATGGAAGGGCGGAGTCCCAGTCACCATGGTTGGAAGAAACGTACATGGCGAGCATGTCCGTGATGGTTCTATTTAGCCGCTCCGTGAGTCCGTTGGTTTGAGGATGATAAGCCGTTGTGAACTTGTGCTTTGTAGCGCAAGAGTGTAATATGTCTTGGATAACTTGTGATAAAAAGTAGCGACCCCGATCGGTAAGCAGTTGCCGAGGAGCGCCGTGGTGTAATATGACGTCTTCTAGAAGAAAGTCAGCGACGTCAGTCGCACAACTGGTAGAAAGGGCTCGCGTGATGGCATACCGCGTGGTGTAATCCGTGGCTACTGCTATCCACTTGTTTCCGCTGGCCGATAAAGGAAACGGTCCTAGTAAGTCAACACCTACCCTATAAAATGGTTCAGATGGGATCTGAATGGGCTGAAGGCGTCCTGCTGGAAGGGTTGCTGGTTTTTCGCGGTGTTGACAGGATTTGCATGAGGCGACGTAACGGCAGACGGATCGGTAAATACCGGGCCAAAAGAAGCGACGTCGAACGTGGTCATAAGTTCTTAAAACTCCCAGGTGACCAGCTGTCGGAATATCATGCAACTGTGCAAGGACAGTCTGACGCATATGTTGTGATATGACCAACAGCAGCTCAGGTCCATCAGGATGCATTCTGTAGCGATATAAGACGCCATCCTGTAGCATGAACATACGGAGAGACGGAGGAGTTGTGGGACCACTAAGCCGAAGGATTATATCTCTGAGGTGAGGATCACGGCGTTGCTGATCTCCGATGTTGCTAAACGCGGAAAGTGCCAAAACGCAAGTAGGCTCATCGCTCTCAGAAACGTCTGCTGGGTCTACTGGATGATGCGACAAGCAATCAGCATCCTCATGGTGGCGACCTGATTTGTAGACAACCGTGTAGGAATATTCCTGTAGCCGTAGAGCCCACCGGCTGAGACGTCCACTAGGATCTTTTAAGGACGACAACCAGCATAAGGCACAGGTGATCAGTGACAACCGTGAACGGGCGTCCATACAAATACGGCCGAAATTTAGCCACTGCCCAGACGAGCGCGAGGCATTCGCGTTCTGTGATTGAGTAATTTCGCTCTGCTGGCGATAAAAGACGGCTAGCGTATGCAATAACGCGCTCGCAGCCATGCTGTCGTTGTGCCAAAACGGCTCCGATTTCGTGGCCGCTGGCGTTGGTACGCACTTCCGTTGGAGCGCATATATCAAAGTGGCCGAGAATCGGTGGCGTCGTAAGTCTACTCGTCAGTTCAACGAATGCTCTGGCTTGTTCAGGTCCCCGCACAAAAGTCACATTTTTTTGTAGTAGTTCCATTAGCGGGCGTGCGACATCAGCGAAATTCCGCACAAATCTACGAAAGTAAAAACAAAGGCCCACAAAGCTTCGAACCTCGTTCGCAGAGGTCGGCACAGGGAAGTCCTTGACGGCACGGCTTTTCTCAGGATCAGGACGAACACCAGAAGAATCGACAAGGTGTCCAAGGACAGTGAGCTGCCGGCGGCTGAAGTGACATTTCGACGAGTTTAGTTGCAGCCCTGCTTTGCGGAAAACCGAAAGAATTGTTGAGAGATGCTCGAGGTGAGTTTCGAAAGTTGGCGAAAAAACAATGACGTCATCAAGGTAGCATAAGCACATTGACCACTTGAAACCGTGAAGAAGAGTGTTCATCATTCGTTCGAATATAGCCGGGGCATTGCATAACCCGAACGGCATTACTTTAAACTGATAGAGCCCGTCGGGAGTTATAAATGCCGTCTTTTCACGGTCCAGATGATCAACTGATATCTGCCAGTACCCGGTACGAAGGTCGATGAGTTTCGAAATACGAGAATATTGAAGGCGTCATCAGCGATTCCTTTGAGGATGTGCGCGACCTTTTCAGATTCCGGCATCTTGTCATCAACCTTCCGGCAGAGGGCGAGCACATGTTGTATGTACGTAATGTACGTCTCGGTGCAGGACTGGATTCGGCACGCTAGTTCTTTCTGCGCAGCACGACGACACCCGATGGGCTTGCCGAAGAGATCGATGAGTTTCTGCTTACAGGTGTCCCAACTCGTGATATCTTCCTCATGGTTAGCTGTACCATCAAGGTAGAAAATAATATTGGCCAACAGGAGCGTCGGATCCCAGTTGTAAAGAGCGCTCACCCTTTCGTACAGCTGAAGCCATTCCTCCACGTCAGTACTGTCACTGCCCGAAAAGGTGCCTGGGTCACGCGGTTGAGTCAGAACGACGGTGCGGTTAGTAGCAGCTTGATGCGGTGCTGTTGGTTGCTGTGTAGTTGGACGAAGCACCGTTGGGGTAGTCTCCGAAGAATTCTCGTTCTCGTCTTTATCAGGCATCGCACAGGCAGCCAAGGAACGTCCGCTGCGTAGAATGGTCGTGGTGTTGACTGTGGGAAGACCCGCAATCTCCACCAAAATGTTACGGGGAGAAGGCGTCTGAAAAATACCTTTACTTTTGGTAAACCGGCAGGCATACAATATGGAGCCCAGTCAGCACGAGCTCGCCCTAAACATCGTCCTCTTTTCTACAATGTTTGTTTGTGGCGCCCCGTAGCAATATATATATATATATATATATATATATATATATATATATATATATATATATATATATATATATATATATATATATATATATATATATATATATATATATATATAGTAAGGCCGCATTGTTTTGAACCACTTGTGTCGGTATTGTGAGCAAACTTCTTGAAGGTAAATATTTACCAAGAAGTGTCAAGCAGCTCTTTTATTTTCAACTGTTACGTAAAAGAGTAAATAATACGTGGCAGGTGGCTTTAAAGACCAAGAGAAAGTACGCATGGATATAGTGCATGGTGCTGTTTCTGCCAGGAGATGGTTGGTTTTTTACATATTAATGTACTTGATATGCTGACAAAGAGAATAAAAGTAACCTTTGGCAGTCACAGATGACTTGATATTCATGTCCTGGAAACAAGTTGCTGTGTTGTTCGACTCTATAGATAAACAGGGTGTGCACAGGTCCTTAAAATCTTTGAAAATTCTTGAAATTGAAATTTCGTTTTCAGAGCCCTAAAGTCCAGGAATTATGTTTCAGTTCTTAAAAACCCTTGAATATTGAAAATTTTCACAGGGCCCAATTGTACGACTAGGAATTCAGGTCAGTTGAGCGTGGTCTTGAGCAAACCCCATTGCTCATCGTGTTCCGTGACACCGCGATTTCGAAATCAGGCGTGATCAAACTGCCTGTATTTGATGGGCGAGATCGAGGCATGTGCGCTTGCTTTGGCTTTGGTTGGCCAGAAGCCATAAGCTGTTGTTCAGAATGAGGCTACGGCATCTTGAGCTCTCTGGAAAAAAGAAAAGTTGTACAAATGTGCTTCTTGCAATAGACTACTAATAATGTTTGAAAGGTTTTCTTTTGGCTTCACTTCTTGTGGTATCCCTCAGCAAACTGCTACAAAGAACAATACAGAACACTTTCACTGGCCTCAGCTACTAGCCTAGTGTAGTCCGACAGCCTGCAAAAGACTGTGAAGGTTAAGACTGATCAACTTGACAGCCTTAGGATGGAAATAGAAAAAAACAACAACTAAGACCTGCCCTGAGCTTCAGAACTTCTAGTCTTTTAAAGCTATGCAACAAGTGAACTAACATCCTGTGTGTTGTGATGAACTAACATCCTGTTTACTGTGGACTGCTATCATGCTCCTTAAATTTTTTTAAAGGTCCTTGAAAAGTCTTCGAATTTTTCTCTTGGAAACCTCTATGTACCCTGATGTAGCACATTTATGTGTTTGGAGAAAGACTAAAAAAGGGCACTTTCATCGGAATAGTTTATTCTCGCTATATGTCTCGAAAGAGCCCTGCAACACGTTTCCGAGTTACAATGGAATAGTGTCACCATTATCGCATGAAGGGTCACGGATCACATGCCGCGAAAAATTCTGGATCCATCAAGTCCGAGCAGAGCTACTGGTACGCCTCAAGCGCTTTCTCCTCACACCAGTGAGCATGCTGAAAGCTATGCAGGGAAAGGGATTACAAGGGGCCAAATGATTCATCAGTGCTCGTCAAGGCCTTGAGCAATTCTTTATTTTTTCTTCGAATATGCGGCTAACTTTTAGTGCGATCGTGAATGCATGCGTGAGCACGTGGCGGCATCAGCCATGGTAATTGTGCAGTTCGTAGTGCTCAAATTAGCCAACGGCTGCGACATTCGGTGTATGTCACTGCAATTTGGGTATATGGCATTATTTGTAAGGAGAAGAGGAAGCAATTTTTAGTTGATTTTAAGAATGAGTTGCTAATTCGAGGTCGCATGCTGCGCTATAATGTTTGGCTCACGTGTTCTCGGAAGCCGTGACTACCAATCAGCAGCATTTTCTGTCCATGCTCAAAAAGCGTTGCGGGGCCCTTTTAAAACCAACTAGTGGTGTGCTACATGTCTGAATGAAATAAACTTGTGTTGCTCTACATTTTGAAGGTACACTAAAAGAAAGGTTGCTATAACTCTAATAGCAATTTTTTATTCTGCAGTACCCAGAAAGCTTGTTTTTATCTTGAGCACAGTACATTGCCTATGCTTATCACTCATTGGTACGCAAGACAGGCAGACTAAGAACTTTATTTAGACAAAGAACAAAAATATTTTTACTTACAGTGATGCTGCATGAAGCTTTTATCAGCTTGCTACAACATGGATTTTGAATGCACCTGTTTTAACTTATGTTCTTATTTCTTAACATTGATAGCATTTAAAAACTGGATTTATAGTATATACGGGTATAATCCTCGCACTCGCTGTCCCGCATTGCCTAACAAAAGTATGATTTTTTTTTTCACGAGTAATTATTGCACTCCTGAAAATTGCAGCTGTAAATTCATCGGCATCTTCTAACCATTGATGATGATAGTGCACCATCTCTTAAGCATCATGCATACTACCTATGCAAGGAGTCCCAATCCAAGCCAAACTAAAGTCGCAAGTACACGTTACGGTACACTGTCTAGAATATACTTTTGGGCACTGTAGTTGCAGCGTTTTAGTACTAGCAGTGCTAGTCCGTGTAGCTCTGTCATAGCGTTCGTCTGTTCTGTGGTTACACTATGGGTCGATACGGAAGCTACACGGCTGTTTTCAAGTTGTAAGTGATTGACCATGCACTAAACAGCGGCAACGGGGCCACTGGCAGGCACTTTAGAGTCGACGTGTTTTGCGCTCTAGGCTGGCGATGGCAGCACGAGCAGCTGGAAGCCACCAACAGGATGTATCAGGCCTTCTGTGGGCCTAGGACAGGAAAATATCGGCAGGTTGAGGTGTGCCTACTTGAGTATATTAAGGGTCTCTACACGAAGATCCTTAAGACACTATTTGCTGGTAGTTTTAGTGTCTGCAAATAGATTTTGCTATGTGTTGAACCTGTGGCTTTATTGTTAAGGTAAGTCTTGATTAGTATATTGCAAAGCTTGTAGTTAGTTGCTGGTGTTGGAACCTCAATTTGTGGCTGCTTCGTTTTTTTTTTTTTTGCTTTGTACATTTTCAGAAAAATTTACCCTGGGTAATTCGTGCACCGCCGCACTACTCATCGGTTCTCATCAAAAAAAGTGCGAGGATTATGCAAATAAATACGGTAACTAAACTGAGGTAAACTAAATTTCAGAATATCTAGGAACCTTCACTAAACTGCCACGGACATGGTTTGAAAAATATACACTAAAATTCATAACATCACAAACAAGCTAATGCTGGCATTTTGGTGCTAAATTTTATATTTGAAACTTCCTGAAAATATAGTTGTCATAAAAGTATAAATTGATGCAGAATCGCTGGGCCGTGTTCCTTCAAAAGCAACAGCTATAAGCTCTTGTGTCAAAATGATTGAATTCGCATGCCTTTTATGACAAAACTACCTTGCTATGCCCAGGTAGAATGTAACTGTTGACCTGGTACAGGATGCATTATTTAATGAACAGCACTCTGAGGGGTGTTCTTTCATTCAAACACCTGTCAGTGGTAGCTAACCTTCAGAATCGTTTTGTTTTTTGTCCATTTGAGGGACTAAATGCACTTAATGTTCCATTGTTGTTGTGTTGGAGTTTTTCACTTTGTGTTCACTGTCCTCAATCGTGTAAAATGAACCCAAACGCTTTTTCACAGAATTTATAGTGGCTGTGATAATGCATATGTTGTATTATTCATACAAACACTAAGACGCTCATGCAACAGCAGCTATATCACAAACGCAATGCATGTTTTATACTTTTATTGCACATTGCTCAGCTACATCATAAATGAAAGGCACAAACCCAGAAACCGCTATTTGCTTTTGTTTATTATCATGAGATGATAGGGTTGATAAATGAGTAGGTTATAAGTAGCTAGAAAGGAGTGTGGCTTGTCTGTGTGGAAGCAAGCACAAGAGGTGTCGGCACAGCTCATTATAGTCAACATGTGGGTATACAACAGCTGTGGTGTGTGACCCATTCAACTACCGTACATATGCCACAACATAACTTATACTGTTAAACAGTGAATCAAGGCTATTTTTGCGATAAGTGGGATATGAGATAGGGCACATGATGGGCCACACAATATGTGCTTTGTCAGAATAAGGGGTATGAAAGGGGAGCCATTTTCAGAGGTTCATTCATGGATGATTGGTTCGATGCAGCAAACAGTTCTAATGCATCTCTCAACAACAACGGTCAGTGCGTGCATATTAACTAGCCCAGTTCTCCACACTAGTGCGAATTTACGCTGTTGTCTTATGAACAAGTCGTGTTACAGAGGTGCGACAAGCCACACCCTCTCGATTTCGAGTAGCTGTGCATTGTCGATCATTGTGGCGGACTAGAGGCAGCAGATCGGGAGGCATGCACAACATAGACGTCAAACTCGGCACTGAATCCAGCCGGACTCTTGCGGCAGCGGCGCAGCATCTCGGCAGACATGGCCTCGGTCAGCTCCTGCCTCTCGTTCTCGGGAACACTGTCTGCTACAGGAAGCACAGCTGAAATAGAACCTGCACGAAACCCGAACGAACAGTGATGTAAAGTATCACTGGCAGTAGTATCTACTTGCACAAAATGTCTATGCCGATCGGAGTAAAATCATTCATCAACAATAAATGTGATCAATCTGAGTCCATTTCATTTAACACACACAGAAGAGGAAGAAGGGCAGTCAACTGAACTGGTTCCTCAATCAATTGTCCACAATGCAGCTTTCGGTGTTTTTTGGCATCCCCAACAAAATGTCTCTTTTCTCCTTACCGCCGTGAGAAGTAGCAAGCTAGAAACCCGCTTTCCAGGCTGACCTCTTCTCTTTCTTCTCATTAAACATTTTCTTGTTCCAACACAGTGTCCTCTTTTGTGGGCATTGTCGACTAGACAGTTTCATTGATCGCAACATAGTTTATGCAACAGAGACGTGACGGCCCTGTTGGCTGGCATGCCGTTGTAAAAAACCGGGAAAATAGTCATGCCAATACCACTGTAGCTGACATTGCATCATGGATGCTGCAGATTTACTTGTATGTGTTGTGTTGAGGAATTTCACCAAACCTTGCACTTAACACATTACAAAATTTACTTCCTTGTGTTTTACGTGTCCAAACCGAGGTACAATTTAGGCGCACCATAGGAAGCACTTGTGAATAATTTTGACCGTCCAAGGTTTCTGTTTTAACATGCACATAAGCTTTGCATGAGGACTATTATTTTGGGCCCATGAAAAGTAGCTGCATTGGGTGTGACTGAACTAATTCAATAGGGCATTGGGATGTATGAAAGTTGCAGGAGGGTTTATTCATGTTGAACAAGTAATGTGCTGTGTGAAGCAAAAGTATGCTGAACATATTTCACTGCAAACTAAACGTATGAAACATCTAGTTGGTTTCTCGTGCTTTTAGTTGGCACTTGTGGCAAGTATGCCAGGAAATTGTACCTCATGTAATCAAATGGAATTAATTTTGGTAGTCTGCACTATGTGCTGTTATTTTTTCCAATCTTCTTGCCACTTTTGCAGTATGAGACTGATGTATGCATGTCTTTTCTTACTAGTAAAGATTTTTTTTTCCACAGAGATTGTGTTGGATCGCAACTCTTCATAAGCATAGTGGTTACTAGCACTTGGCAAGATGACTCCATACCTGCAAGGTGCCTGTTCGCTAGGAAATGTCCACACATTCCGCAGAACTTCGCATGTATGTGGTCTCAATGCAGAGGCAGCCAGAATGCTTTCCAAATAAGAAAGCCGGTCATCTGCATCCTGACTGGGTGGTATGAAGTCTTCAATGTTCTGAAAAAAAAAAAGAAAAAAAGAGAATGTTGACACATTGCGTGTAAGTCCAGACTTTCCCAGAAATCCTTTTCTCTTGTTTGTAAGAACCGAGCATTGCAGAAGGTTTACTACAGTGATCGAGATGTCACGTGTTGGCAGTTTCAAAATAACTACACACTATTCCTTTCGAGGAAGCCCTGTTTCATCAGAGTGGGATTGGTAAAAACAATTTAGTCTAATTAGCTCAAACGCTAAATAGCTAAGTAAGGATAGGTTTATTATGGGTGCAAGCTAATCGAGAGCAAACCTCTAGCACGCAGTTCGACGAATTAAGCTAATTAATATGAACTAATTAAGTCACATCTATAGGCGTGTAAATGGCGCTGACCATGACACGTGATCACACCTATATAATGTTGCTACCTCGCCGCTGAAAATGGCTTGCGAAACAGCAGGAAAGAGAAAGGCGGGGCTTGTCGCGTGTAACTTGGCGGGCTCTCGCTGAAGAAAGAAGCATATTAGAATGCAGTGTCATGCGATTCTGCTGGCCTCGACTGCCAGCCTCCTCTGACTCCGCCCTTGCAGCAACTGCAGCAGATGCAATCAAAGCGAGCCGACCAATAGTAGCGCTTTGCTGTCACGTAGACTTGGGTCGATTTCTCGCTCAATTTTTTTATCACTGTATCTAGGCTTCGAGATTCCCAGCTGTCACCTAATTTTTTTTTACCTTCCTACGTTGCAGGGATGATACTCATCTCCATGCTGAATCGGTGATTGGAGGAGTAAGGTTTGAAGCTTAGCTTCTTGCGTGTGCTAGCAAGGAAGAGACGGGCAGAATTTTATTTTGTAGCTCACTTCCTGAGGGGTATAATAAGAGAACAGTTTCATTTCTGCGATCTTGTTCGACGAAGTGATTTGAAAATTGACCGTCTGCCCGTCCCCAAGGGGCCTTTCTAGCAGGCGCAGTAAACCTTCAATTTTCGGCCACGAGTGGGTCCCAGTGTCGGAGTGCTCAGCAGCACAATGCCGAATCAGTGTTGGGCTCTCTGTTAATGGTTTCAGTATCTAAAATGCCCGAGAATGTGCATGCTCCAACATAACCAACCAGGAAGCTGAATATCGTGCGAGCTTCTATCTTGGCAGAGATTGTAAACGATTGATTGATATGTGGGGCTTAACGTCCCAAAAACACCATATGATTATGAGAGACGCTGTAGTGGAGGGATCTGGAAATTTTGACCACCTGGGGTTCTTTAACGTGCACCCAAATCTGAGCACACAGGCCTACAACATTGCCGCCTCCATCGGAAATGCAGCCGCCGCTGCCGGGATTCGAACCCGCGACCTGTGGGTCAGCAGCCGAGTACCTTAGCCACTAGACCACCGCGGCGGGGCGAGATTGTAAACGAGCTCCTTCGCAAGCGTATTCTGTGTTCCAGGATTTATTCCGAGGAATATTCAGAAGTCTGGCCGGCCGACTACCAGCCGCGGCGGCTTGCGTACTAAAAATTGGCAGACTACTTTGTTCAGCTCGGACCCCTATGATATAGCATCAAATCGTCCAGTGAGCTCAGGTGGCAACCAGGACAATCTTCTGACCTATTCTCGGCGTTGATTCTTGGTTACGACAGTTTTACTAAAAAGAAAAAGGAAAGCCCCCACCTCCCCGAAGGGAATCGAGAGGAAATGCGAATGCAATTCTTGGGCCGAGAGAGGGTACCGTTGCCGTCAGACATTCGCCTTCGTCCACTTCTGCCATCGTCTTGAGAGGCGCCCAGCTAGCGAACAGTTGACAGTGAGGCGCGAGCGGATGGGAGAGTGGGGCGAATGGAGGGGAGAGAATGAACGGCGAAAGACAAAGCGGCGAAAAACAGCACCGACTCTCTCCTACACTCTCGCACCACATGCTCCGGTTGCTATAGGGGGAGGGATAAGCTCGCGCGCCCGCAACTGTTGCTATGGGAAAGGAAGTGAAATCAGAGAGTTATATAACACCTGCCGGCGAGCGGACGCCGTGGACAACGCCGGATGCCTGATATAGCCCGACTAAAAAATGCATTTGCATTAAAAAAATATTAGAGCCCATCCACTCCCGTGAAGATTGGACATACGCCAAAAGCATCACGTCAATTTCGCAACCCATGGCGAGTCCAAAATGCAACTAGTGCCGATACCAGTGCTAGCACGACTTTTATGTCTCTCTCTCACACACACACACAAACTCTCGCGTAGGCAGGCAAGCGGGTGCGACGATTGGTGGGAAGTGCCATCTCAGTGTTTCGCTATAAGTGTGAGTGGCTTCTGCAGATGCGAGGGGAACCTTTAGAAAGGGCGTGCTGTAAATTTCTGATCGAGTAGCTTCGACCGTGCATGCGATAAACCAGAACCTAGCCACACTCAACTTCGCTGTAAAAACATAGCTCTTTTCACGCTAAAAATAAACAAATTTGCGACCCCATGGCAAAGTGCTTTAATATCGCATGGTTTAGGAGATATGCTGAGTGTTCTGCATGGCGAGTACACTCACCGACATGCGGTTCTTCCAGCGGTCCATGAGGGCAAAGTCTCTCCAGAGTGTGTAGACGGGCGTGCGTGCGCAGAACTGGAGCAGGCACTCGCCTTCGGGCGTCATCAGGCTGCGGATGTTGCGCAGTGCGCCCACCTGGTCGCGGATCCAGTGGAGACAGAAGAAGGAGTAGACGCGGTCGAAGCGGCCGTACCGTTCCACGAACGGTGACACGTCGTGGGAGAGGTCCAGCACGTCGTATGTGATGCGCGGATGCGAGTAGAAGCGCTCTGCGTACGCTATCATGGAGCTCGATACGTCCGTGCCCACGATGCGCCAGCAAGGGGAGCTACGCGGCAGCAGCACGTCGCGCGTGAAGTCGCCCACGGCACAGCCGACATCCAGGAACTGTTGGTCCTCGCTGGGCGCGCGCCGGAACGCAGTGTTGAGCAGGTCGAGCACGAGCAAGTTGTCGCGCTTCTGGAAGGTGTTAGCCGAGACGTACAAGTGCGGCTCCAGCGTCCGTACGCTGGATCCCGCCCGCGACTTGACGTCCGACTGTGTGGACTTCCCATGTTCTGTCTCCGTCATAAGTGCAGAAGTATCGCGGGGCCGATCAGCCGAGTTCGTCAACCGACGCTGGGGTTGCGGAATGCACTGCTCATTCCCCGATCGTCTAGAAGCGCGAACGTGGGGCTTGATGGTTGAGCTGTATCCGAGAAACCGTGCTGCCTCCAACTGACCGCTTAGGCTCCGATGCAGCGCCATGTAAAATATCTTCTTGGCTGTACCAGCAGATCGGAGCAAACGAGACATTGCATATATGAGAGTTTACAATTCACTGTAGACTTTAGGAGACGCGGCCTAGTATCGCTACGGGCAACTCTTTTGACCGAAGATTGCACCGTTGAGGAAGAAATAAAGATTGATGGAATTGTTCAGCACCGCCCAGGATATAGTAACGGGACAATTTTTCAATGCCCAGAGTAGCTTGGTCCCGCAAAGGAAACTGCGTGCGTCTCCTGTCGCATGGCTTTTCCTCGAGCTCGTGTTAGCACGGTCAAATAGACATCGGCAACTAGTGCCACCAAACACGTTCGGAAATCCGCGCCTGATCTTGTCATGAATATGCACGTCCAAGAAGGGGCTCGATAACTGCATAATTATGGTCGAATCGAGCACCAAGTTTGTTAAGATGCACGCGCTATTGCTGAGCTGTATTTGCAATGTAAATGATTTTCGTAAGGTAAAGGACACGATGCTATGAATGTCTGTACTGGGGACGCTTCTGCATTGTTGTGCCATGTCTGATGGAAGGTTTGAAGCCACTGCAATGAAAGGTAGAAGCACAAACTTTGGGTGTTCTTTTTTTTCTTTATTTTTTTCATAAGATCACGGAGCCTGGCCACAGCACGAAAGCGCATATCTTGTCCACCACTAAGAACAAATTTCTCGCACTTCACTGTCACATTATGTGATACGCACGAGCTATGGGACAATCATGTGCTGCCCTAATGTGTGTTGCAACAACCGACACGCGTTTGAATAAAATCGCATAAGAAGGGCTAATGTGTTGACGCATATGAGAGGCCATACAGTGTGCTTGGTTAATATTGATGGAATAAAATAAAAAGGGAGACAGTTTTCAAAGGTACATCCCTGAATGACTGGTTAGATGGTGTAAAGGATGGGTTAGTTGAGACGTCCCTTATTAACCAGGATGGCTCGCGTGTGCAAAAATAAGATGTTTGCACATCAGTACTCATTTCGCGGTGACCGACATAGATATGTGACGTAGGTGGTGCAAAGTTGCAATATGTGGGGATGCGGGCGGGGCCGACGAGCAGCACCCTGTCGAAGTCTAGCCGCTGTGCATCATAAGCCATTGCGGGGTACGAGAGACTGCAGAGCGGGAGGCGTGCACCACGTACGCGTCGAAGGCTGCGCTGAAGCCACCGAGACTTTTGCGAGAACGCAACACCACCTCAGCCGTCATCGCCTTGGCCAGCTCCTGCACCTCGTGCACAGAAGCTCCTTCCGCCACGGGCAGCACGGCCGAGATAGTACCTGCGAGCGACCCAGATGACCGTCGATTATGAACGGCGCCACCAAAAATACTAATGAGACAAAGCTGTTACGCCCTTTGGTGTATCGCAATAACAATCAGCTTTTTCTTATCCCTGTGCTGCCCTGCAGCCGCATTGAGGGGCAGAGCGGCCAGGGACAATGGGTATCGCCAGAAGAGAAGCCTCGAAAATTGAAAAAAAAAAAAAAAAAGCTTGCGGAGCTCTTACCGAAGTGTTGCGTCACTTTACCGCGAGGTCAAGGGCGCATGCGCCGGGCAAAAGGACGGTTGCCCACCAATAGTTGGTCTGCTGTATAACAACATACTCGCCACACCCCTGAAGAAAGCGTTGCGTCGTGTGTGAAAAGCGAGGAACACGAGCAAATGCGCCATTGCGGTCGAGTGCTCTGTATTCCAAGCGTCCACTTGATACAGCTCTAGTTTTAACGGTCGATCGTGCAAGGGTTTCGACTGAGTGTTCTTTACTGCGAGCACTGTCATCTAGAGGCTGTAGCTTACATTTTGATCGACATTTTGTGCAATAGGGTCCCGATTACTGCATGGTCCTGTGCTATGGAAAAGTGAGAGGTGCATTAAACGTATGTACAGACGGGTCCATTGTTAAAGGGTACACCTGCATGAGCAGCATGTTTAGATTTCGCTATCTTACGGAATCATAGCGGATTAGATATGCACAAGGCTACTGGTGGTTAAAAGTTTCGACTTCTCTTGACAGACTATTGACTTGCATGAAGATTATTTCTTAATCCACTTGCTATTAGAAGGCCAAGAATATTGATGGTGTGCAATCGAGTGTCCCCTTTAATAATAGACCATACTGTACATGTGTGTACACCACCGCAAGTGACAATAAACCAGCGAAGCAGCGCAGGCATCCAAACGCTAAACCCCGTGCTGAGCATCTCGCATTTTGGCAATGCTTACGTTTGCTTTCCGTATGCGCGTACAATGGTCGCGCATACGAAAAAGCATACGAAAAAAGTTACGTGTCTCCGTAGCTTGTTAAAACTCGCTCCTTACCTGCAATGTCCTGTTCAGTAGGAAACGTCCACACGTTGCGTAACACTTCGCAGGTGTGTGGCTTTAATTCGGAGGCTGCCAGAATATGCTCCAAGTAAGACAGCAGGTCTTTTGCGTCGTGGCTGGGCGGTATGAAAGTTTTCAACGTCCTGTAGAAACGAAAGAAGGACAATTTTCTGTTGCTCTGTTCGCCCGAAAGCAAGGCATGTTAGGAAACTATAGCTTTTGCTCCAGCTTACGAGAAGTGAGCGTTGCGTAGGTGAGACTGATAACTGCTGTAATCTAGAAATCGCAGACCAAGTAGCGTGTCATTTCGCGGACACAGCACCACGTTTGGGCATTCAGAAGAGAAGAATGCGACGTGAGTATAGAAAAGTCTGCTAATAGTATCTGCGAAGTTTGAAACCACTTCCTTTCGTGTCCTTCATTTCGAAAGAGCAGCGATTGTAGGGTTCAAGAACAGTTTGGTTGGTTGTGAAACTAATGAAAAAAGAAAAGAACAGGTGCCTTCAGTTTTCAATTCTGTGCGTTAGGCTACCGGAACGTGAAAAATGAATGGCGAAATTGCAGTTCCGCGACTGGAACTGCAAAAAAGAACCCCAGGTGGTCAAAATTTCCGGAGCCCTCTACTACGGCGTCTCTCATAATCATATGGTGGTTTTGGGACGTTAAACCCCACAAATCAATCAATCAGCTAAGGTCCTGTATAGGTGGTAGAATTTAGAGTCTTTCCTAACGTGAAGGTTGATTTATCGGTCGGTGAGAACGTGACAGGACAAGACTAATTATCACCAATCAGAAATGTGCAACAGTGCTTGTGCAGCAGCCGTTTTAAGCTTAATAATTTCTACTGTAACCACGAAGAATTCTCATACGTGCACGATGCAGTTCTTAGTAGCAGAGAGTTCTCTCTAAAATGTGCATGACAACAGTAAGATCTGGTCGCTCCAATTCGGCATGCGGATGCTTGGTGCGCAATACAATGTGCCAATTAAGTTTTATTACCGCGTCAAATGTCTCGGGAACAAGCTGTAGGAAGGTTCAGGAAAAATGGACTTTTGCAAGATGTTCGGTACAGCGAATGCACTCACCGATAGGACATCCTTCCAGCGGTCCATGCGGGCAAATTCTCGCCAAAGTGTGTAGGAGGGAGTGCGCGCGCAGAAGTACAGCAGGCACTCGCCCTCGGGCGCCATCAGCTTGCGGATGTTGCGCAGCGCGCCTATCTGGTCGTGGATCCAGTGCAGACAGAAGAAGGAGTAGACGCGGTCGAAGCGGCCGTACCGTTCCACGAACGGCGAGACGTCGTGGGAAAGGTCCAGGACGTCGTACGTGATGTACGGATGCGTGTAGAAGCGCTTCGCGTGTGCGATCATAGAGCTGGACACGTCCGTGGCCACGATGCGCCGGCAAGGGGAGCAACGCGGCATCAGCACGTCGCGCGTGAAGTCGCCCGCGGCGCAGCCGATGTCCAGGAACTGTTGGTCCTCGCTGGGCGCTCGTCGGAACGCCATGTTGAGCAAATCGAGCACGAGTAGGTTGTCGCGCTTCTGGAACGCGTTGGCCGAGGTGTACAACTGCGGCGACAGCATGGGAGCGCTGGAAGTGGACCCCGTAGATTTGCCACGCGCCGGCCCTGTTTCAGGTGTAGTGGATTCGTCTGGCGGATTGGTCGAGCCCGACAACCGACGCATACACTGGAGTACTGGAAGGCGATGTTCATCATCGACAGAACGTCGGAGAACGGACGGAGATGAGAAAGAAATGCTTGTTTTGCATCCCAGAAAGAGCTTTGCGCCCGACCGGCTGCACAGGCACCGACGCAGAGCCATAGCGTTACTTGGAAAGGCGAAGGAAGCGGCGTGTGCCTCTGAAGTCCAGCTTTAGTGACGCTTCGCTCGCCGACGGCCTGAATAAGTATAGGTGACACGCGTCACGTGACTGTAAATAATCTATATATCTTTAGAATCATGCACTATACTCGCCGCGGTATATCGCGAAACATGTGGCACGAAGCGTGTGGAGTTGCGACAGACTCGAACGCTACTTTTGTTTTTCTCCGAGCAGCGCCCACGTGCAGTGTCGACTTCCAGCATGGTCTTTCGCGGCCGTTGCGATTAAGTATCGTTAATATCATCTTTTTCCCAGGAAACGGCATCGATGGGCTCTCGAATAGCAAAATGGTAGACCTGGACTGACCTGGACGCAACATACTCTGGCAGAAGAACTTTAAACAGCGGCAGCGATTCGGTTATGCGCAGAGCGGCTCTATATTGTCACGGCTGTTGGATAGCGGCCATGATATTCTCTTCGAAGCGACTGAACTTGAACATTAAAGAACTTACAATATTTTGATAAGACTTGTGCCTTACCTCACTGTGAAACTACAAATGCATAGCCGCTTCCGGAAGCGCTTCAACCGAAGTCCACCTCGAATCCAGTGGTCACTTACAAGGGATTACGTTTCTGTAAGAACCACACTTGCACACTTCGCAGAAAAAAATGTTACTTATTACGATTACTTAAAAATAATTGATCACAGTGACTATTGACTACCCAAAAAAGGTAATTAAGTAATTGTTAAAGTAATCGAATACGTGTGCGTTATTGTCTAGCATTTCGCCACCATCTAAATGCGCCCGCCGCGGCCGGGACTCAATTCTCGACCTTGTGACCGCAGCGAAGTTCCTGGAACATTCACGATGTCAAAGTAGTGCTCTTTGTTAGATGCTCGTCCACCGCGGTGAGGCAGTAGTTAAGGTGCTCGGCTGCTGATGCGAAGTCGCGGGTTCGATTCTAGCCGTGGCGGACGCATTTTGACGGAGGCGAAACGGTACTAGCCCTTTTGCTGTGCGATGTCAAACACCAGATTGTCCAAATTTCCGGAGCCCTCCACTACGGCGTTTCTCGTAATCATGTCGTGATTTGGGGACGTAAAACTCCAGATACTATTATTATTTGTTAGATGCTGTCGTGAATAACAGGTTCCGTATAGGTTGGCAAACTCACTCACTCGTACTCACTCAGACTCAGATCAAGCCAAGAGTCGGAGTTTTGCTTGGACTCTTGGCCCGTGTGCTCAGATTTGGGTGCACGTTAAAGAACCCCAGGCGGTCGAAATTCCCGGAGCCCTCCACTATATACGGCGTCTCTCATAATCAAATGGTTTTGGGACGTTAAACCCCACATATCAATCTATTGATCAGAAATAGAAAGCTGTGTGGGCGAGGTGGTGTCGAGAGAGGTCGAAATATTTGAAGATCGCCTGCAGTCACGCGGGAACATCGCGGAATTGTTTAAAACAAACAAGCTAACAAACACGGACGGCAGTTGATAAGTCGGGTGGTCGAAAAACACGAAATTTCAAAGCTAATGAACAACATGTAGTGATAATACAGTTGTCTGTGTGAATGTGAACTGAAAATTTGCATTTTTTTTTTTTTTTGCGGAGCTGGCGTTTGAGTTGAGGCTATAGTGCGTGAGCGTTGTCCGCGGTATTGTGCTTACCCTTTATTCCTTCTATACTTATTCGTGTATGATATTATTCTATTTCCTCATTTTCTTTTTTTTCCGCGATGCTTCATTCTTGCTTATTTGATATTTTTCGAACTTTTTTTTACTTTTATTATTGCGGTAGCAATTATTCTGTGACGTTCTGCTTCTTTTTTGTTTGAGTGTTTCGTTGTTTTCAAACCGTTGTTTGCTGAAAAGTGCACAGTCTCCGGTATTGGCTCACGATTTCTGTGACATGCTGATAATGCTTGTGCATTAAAGACATCAAAATTCAATGGATGGCTCCAAAGTAACTGCAGTGAGTAAAATGTCGTTATTCTATAGACGTCGGCAGTGAACTCGTCGAAGTTGTGATGCACACTGCCTTGACGATGAAATAAAAGAGGGCGCGTAAAGTGCTGACACTCTCTGAAGGAAAAGTAAAAAAAATATATTTTAATATTTCACTTATATTACCCGATCCTTAGCCAATCCCTTCAAAGTGGGTGTGAGCCAGCAATCTTAATGCGATAGCGTTAAACAGCTCTTCTTGCAAAAAATTATGTTGGTTGGTTGTGAGCGAAAAATCTTCTTTGTCCGTGACCGCAAGATCGAGAAAAATGCAAATAACAAATAAACAAATTAATTAAACTGGTTCATTCGAGTAAGAATCAAAGCAAGGCCATCTGCGTGGCAAGTATAGATGTGCTACAACAGAGCCATGTTATAACTTATGACTGTTCCGGCAGTAAAGAAAATATATATATATATATAGTAATTGGAAGTACACTGGAAGAAGTCTCTTCAACGCATGTATCTTGCGTGGCTGTAGCGTATAATCACACCAGGTGTTAAAACACGTGAATTGAGCATGGAGTGCTTGTTTGAAAGGCCCACCCATTACAAAGCGTTCAGACATGCTTTATCATGATCAGCTTCAGAAGCATCAACGACGTTAGCTGCTGCGTAGTGTTCACGTGTTACCTTACGGACGCGTATACTTCACTGATCCGCGAAAAGAAGAATTATGGCGTAGTGGGCACTCCGTAACTGCATGCACACGCATTCTTAAGGTATTGATTGATTTCTGGGGTTTAACGTCCCAAAACCACCATATGATTATGAGAGACGCCGTAGTGGAGGGCTCCGGAAATTTTGACCTCCTGGGGTTCTTTAACGTGCACCCAAATCTGAGTACACGGGCCTACAACATTTCCGCCTCCATCGGAAATGCACCCGCCACAGCCGGGATTTGATCCCGCGACCTGCGGGTCAGCAGCCGAGTACCTCAGCCACTAGACCACCGTGGCGGGGCCTTAAGGTATAGTTAGGTATAGTTTGAAACGAGCAACGTTACGCGCCGCGCAGTCGTTCGTTTACCTAATCGCATGCACTATCGAGGCGTTAAGCGAGAACCGATATCAGTGACCGATTGCGTTATCAGGTTTTGCTCTTGAGTGGGAAGCTCAAGCGCCGTGCACGATTTTTTTTTTAGTAAGCATTCGCATCAAATAATGAAAGTACGCTCAGTTTGGCATTTCGCGTTGCCTCTTTATGGCGCAATTCGGCAACACCACTTTGAAGCACTGCTCCATTACAGATATACCATATATAGTTTCTCATTACTTTTAAGGATTATGCAACTATACTTATTCAAGTGAAACGCTTTCGTGTTCTGATCTCCCTAGAATGCGCCTAGACATATCATCGGTCAAATTTTAAATGCGAAGTTGTTTAAGCCGACCGTAAAACGTCGACCATGCCACCACCAACATAAACAGGTATGTGCCACAGATTCCGACAAACATAACTACTCATCGCGTGGCCTGTAATAACCCTGATATGTGAGAGAACAAGTACAGTGAGACAAAGAAAGAAAGAAAGAAAGAAAGAAAGAAAGAAAGAAAGAAAGAAAGAAAGAAAGAAAGAAAGAAAGAAAGAAAGAAAGAAAGAGATAGAAGAGAAAAATCAAACTCGCGTTTCCTAGAGGACGAGCATCCTAACCACTCGGATATCCAAGCACGCCAGCAAAGCTTAGCATAGTATTGTACAGCGTCGCGAGTGGTTGGGAGAGGGTAGGGAACGTATAGAAAGATGTCATGGTGAGGAGAATGGAAAGTATAGGGAAGAGACCAAAGCGTAACGCTGAAAGAGTGAGCACGAATATTAACGAAAGGAAAAAAGTTCGCACTAGCCGTGTTAAGCTTATGAAACAGCGATGGTGGTCGATCCTATAGGCTCAGCATGGCCTTCGTCTTTGCTGGGCGTAGACAGAATAGAGTATTAGACCACATTCTGTCGCAGACCATGTGTAAGAATGTCCACACTTCAGCTACAGAAACTAACGTGCAATCCTGGCTGTACGTGGCACCACCCTAGGTAGAAGCGAAAGCCTTTCGTCGTTCGTGGTCGGCTCGCGCAACACCACGGAAATGCGGCGCGGCCAGTCCACGCACTTCGTGGGCGTGCTTGTGCAGCGGCTGCCCCTCTGCACATGCGCGGCTAGGCGTGGTTGAAACCAGCTGGTACGTAGCTCAATGCTAGGCGATGGCACGAAGGGTTCTTTTGGGGACAACGGACGTTTTACTGCGAGCTTTAAGAGCTTCGTTTAAGAGCAGAAGGAAGGAGGAACAAAGCAAACTTCGCCCACCAACGGAGACTTGCCATGGAACGTTCTAACAAAGTGCGTGCTCTGAGGACGAAGCCGCACAAGCACGCGCTGCGACATATCTGTGCTTCGCCGAGCCAAGCTTTGAGTGACTTTCTAGGAAAATAAAAAAAAAAAACAGGCCTGCTTGGAGCGCTCAGCACTGTCACAGCAAAAGCTGGAAGAGCGGCCTTTCAAAGCCGTTTTTAAACGGTTTTTTTGGTAACTCTTTCAACCACACTTGCAAGGTATCCACTACGCCATAAATCACAATTTTTGTGCAGAAGGCAAGGATTAATTATGCCATGCTTCGTCATTCTTCGGAGAAGCCTTATAACCGCTATACCCTTGCAAGAAGTTTTGTTTGTTTTTGATGCTGTGGCTAACGAAGACGAAGAATTATTGCCTGAAGATTTAGTCATGGGTTAGACCATTCGATGACCCACTCGTTACGCAACTGGAATTGTGTGACGCCTGGTTGTTTCTTGGTTGTTCTAAAACGCTTTATTGCTTATATAAACGCGATTCCTTTGCAGACATCAAGCCTGCCTAGGGTCAGTTGTGGCACACTGGGCTGGCACGCAGCGGACCCGGGTTCGAATCCCATGGTGTTTTTCCGTGCTATAGTGGTTACGGACACCGGCGGCGGTGCACATCTACGGCGCACGTGACAATTGTGACCTCATAACAGTTTTCGCTGTAAAATATCTAAAATAATAGGCTGGGAGGTGGCAGCCCCCGCCCCCCCCCCCCCAATCCCCTCCAGGAGCCCATGAGTATGTCATGTCGCTAATTGCCATTGGTCGCTCTTTATTCTTACTTTAAACATTCCACCGACTTTTTTCCAAGTCGCGCTCGCTAGCTTAAATGATTTCGACGTCGCAATGTGAATAGGAAAACAGGTGGCAGTAACTGATACCGCAGCCTGTCGAGATTTTTCTTCTGATTTTGTATCGACAGCCTGCCGCAACCACACCATGTTCAGACGCTGTCCTATCTGCACTATAAAAAGCACGCAAGGGCCTGCACGCATCGCAAGCGGACTTGTCTCGGTTGTGCGATCAACACGAGCAGCGATGGCAACAGTGTACGATGCGCGCCGGCCATGGAGCATCGGGCGAACAGGCTGCACGCAGCTTCGGTCACATCGATTTCTTGCTCGTGTCGGACGCGGTTCTGGCCGGCGTCCACGGCTGCTCCTGGGTCATCATCGTGATGGCGCGACTGTCCATGCTGAACAAGTGCCACCCTTTCTCGCGCTCCTGGTCCATGCCGCCGTGCCTCCTCATCAGGTTGATGAAAGCCTCGTTCTTGGCCGACACGTGACAGCTGAGCTCGTTGCACTTGCAATGAGCCGCTTCCTGCAACAGGAAGCAACACGACACTCACCGTTTGCGTACAAATGGGAACGTTAAAATTAAAGACGCCAGGGCTGCGCGGAATACCCAGTTGAATCGCAACTTAGGGCTTGACGTCACATGCCGAAGCAGCGCGTGGCTTTATGACGTGGCGTTGTGCCCTCTCGCTATAGAGAGAGGGTGCGCGACTGCGCTTAGCTATATATACGCGCTCTGGCACCGCGTCAAAAAGCCAAGCGCTGACGGGCTGCGGCGCGTACGTGTGGTCAGGCCTATACGTACCCGTCGCAGCGCGTTTGCGCGAAGCCTTTTGACTCGGCGTCACTCCCCCTTTTTATGTAGAGAGAATGCGCGCAACCACGCGTAGCCGCGCTTCCTCTCTCTCTACAGGGAGAAAGTCCGGCACCGCGCCAGAAAGCCACGCGCTGCAGCGGTTACGTGCAGTCAGGACCGTCAGGCAGGAGAGGCCTTTATGCTTTAAAGCCGCTTGTAAGCTTTCCCATACCCATGTCGCACGTGCACCCTTGAAAATCCATTCTGATGATGACCTTCGAAACGCTTACGTTTCTGTGATTCGATCACACTAAGATATGCATCGAAGGCTTGATGGTGAGGCTAACCTTAAATATAGACCGGAGTAGCGCCGAGCCGACGCCCTTGCCACGATACGCGGGTGCCACGTGCACGCCATCGAGGACCATGCTTTTGCCGCCCCAGGTGCTGAAGACGAGGCTGTACAGCGCGCAGCCGACCAGCGGTGGCGACGGCATCAGACTGGAGCACAGCGGGGGGCAGGGAACGCCGATGCCTGCACGTAAGTGATGCGTCGAGCCATTCTGTGAGTTCTAAGACAGATATGGTTGATTCTTCGTCTGTGCGCATGCATTTCGTCCTGGCTGTTTAGCCGCTTCGAAGCACTTATATACGTGCTTATGCACTTATGCATAAGCACTTATGCACTTATAATCTTTATGCACTTATATACGCGCTGATGAAAGCCATTTTCAGTGATAAGCCACGATACAAGAAGGAGTTCTCCGAAAAGGAGCTTCTTGCGTGAACGTTGTCAAATTTCGCGCTTTCCCGCACTTAATTGTATCCGAATATTTTCAAAAATAAGTAGGGCATATATAATCTTATTTGTGTATCTTATTGTTTCCCTCACTACTTACTGTACGTTGATGTATTGTTTCATCTCTTGTCTAGGTTCCCGCTGTGCATAGATAGTACATGCATCTAAAAAATAATTAAACCAAATAAAAATTCGTGCTCTCGACCTTCGAATTAAAGCCACTTCCGGCTGTTGAAGATCCCTTAAAGCACACCGAGTTCAAAGACGAGAGATTAATTTCTTTTTCAATGTTGTAAGCCCATGTGCTCAGATTTGGGTGCACGTTAAAGAACCCCAGGTGGTCAAAATTTTCGGAGCCCACCACTACGGCGTCTCTCATAATCATATCGTGGTTTTGGGACGTTAAACCCCACAAATCAATCATTTCTTTTTCGTCATCACTACCCTTCGTACAAGCTCTGTGTCCTCCTCGCCACTTCATTTCTCCATAAAGCACGTGGAAAGTCAGCAGCACTAAGCGGTGAGTCAGGCATGATATCGCCCTTTTCGACCGCACGTTGCTATGTACTTACGCTTGCGCAGTCGCAAACGCAAAAAACGAGGTCAAATTGGTTTATCGCGCATAATATTCATGCGCGACAAGGGCACGTGGCTGCATAATGAAGCAGGGTAGGAGACAATGCGCAACAGTCATCTCTCGTATATTTACCAATCGAGAGCCTATTTCATCCTGACGTCCGGAAAACCTAATGCTGCTGGCGTCATTAATTGAAATTCAAAGACGGTAAACGCCAGAAATCATTTCTCCGTTTCTTGGTATTTAGATGGCAGTTGCCGAACACTGAAAAAAAAACAAACTTTCAAGTGGCAATTTCTAATTGCTTCTACGTATGCCGAACGACCGCTGAAATTCATTCGCGAATTCGTACTCGCGCTCTGTGAAAGTACTTCGTGCACTTCCCATTTGCGATTGCATCTGTGTGCGTATATATGCAGGAGCGGTGTATCGATGATGAGGCAGCCACGGTGGACTTACCTCCACTGCCGTCTTCGGCCACCAGAATGTTCACCAGAGGCCATTCTCCGAAGGCGTTTTCTTTGAGATCTGCGAAGTCGGACATTGGTAAGATGCTAAAACGTGCGATGGTTTCTTTGGCATTTGTCTAAACCTCGACATATGGCAATTCCTTATATAAAAATTTTGTTAAATGAAAATTAAACCTTAAAGTTTGAGCATATTTTCCAAAGGCTTCTTTCCTTCTTTTTGTTGAGAAAGAGGTGAAAGAAGGAAAGTCAAAGAAGAAAAAAAAAGGACAAAACTGAAGAAAAGAAAGAAATACTAATTTTCATAACGCACGACAAAGTCACTTTTCTAGAATTTGAGTTCCGCCGATCACAGCTTTATGGTGCGCCGGCAAAGTCCTCTCTACAGCGGCCGAGTGTCACGTGTGAACCCGAAATATACGCAAGTCCAATAGTATAAGCGTTCGCAAAAACCACGTGCAACCACTCGCCTCAGCCGCTGTTGCAATTTATCGCCTCACTCTTCCTCTGGAGTATCCTATAATGAAACGTTTTTATACTTTAACCACGAATAACACGCTTTCTTATACTGATGTTCAAAATACATGGTCCTGAATTAACATGAAGTTGCGAAGAGTTGTATACTTTATGTAGAAAACTTCGTTATATAGAGGTTTAACTGCGTCAAACTCGTTTTTTTTTTTATTACGAACGCGTACAGTAGAAAAGTTGCTCTCACCAGTCATTGCCGTTGTGTCGTCCCTGAAGTCGAATTCCTCAGCGCCTTTCTGAAAAGTGAACAAATACTAATTGTTTGTCACTGTCACTCGCCTCAGGTCATCGATTAACCTGTGCGTATGTCTTTTCCTTAATCCCCGTCCTGTTAGCTTGGCGTGTGACGTAGTATAGCGCGATGACGTAGCATTCCGTGAACAAATGTTAACTGTAATATGCTCAGTGGTGTCGGGATTTCTATTGTCGCATTCGAAGCCCCCCCCCCCCCCTTACCTCCTCTTGTTTTGCCAATCAACTCGGTCACGTGCTTGCTGATGCCACGTCATCCCCACGAGATTTTTAATCTCATCTGCCCACCTAATTTTCTGTCTCCTCCTCGCCGCGCTTGCCTTTTCTTGGAATGCAGTTTATGACTCCAGCATTTATATTGCCTACATGCTACACCGTCCACCTATACCCATTTTTTTTTCTGATCTCGAGTAAAATTTTATTAACACCCCTTTGCTTCGTGACCCATTTTGCTCTCACGTGGTGTTACACCAATCACATTCATTTCTTTGGCTCGCGGTGTCGTCCTCGATTTAAAGTGAATCCTCTTCGAAAACCTCCAGGATTCTGCACCGTAAGCAAAGTACCCAATAATATGCAGCTGTTATAATGGTAAAGTACCCTTCAAGATTTGAGAATGCCTGCCTGATGTGTTCTGCCCCGTTCTTATTTTTCTAGTTGTATACCCCCTCTCTGATTGTTCGACTCTGGGATCACTACCCGTTTTGAACAACGTTTCTAGGACTTCTAAAAACGCTGGCCCTACCCGTCCCGCAGCTCTACGTATAGTGTCCGCGAGCAACTTCGCACTTACCATGAGTTTCTTGAGTGCCTCGCAGTCTGCCGGCTGGGCTTTGCGGATGTGGACGCCGATCGTCGAGCTCGACATGATGCTGGACGGGTGCGGTACACTTCCCGGCGGCGTATCGGGAATTTGTACGCGATTGAATTTTGCGGTCCGATCACGGCTTCATTGCCGAAGCTGCACTGCGCCGTACTGTGGCGTTCGCGGCCAAGGGCACCTCTCGCGGCGAGCTGGCGCATGTGCTTCCAGAATGAGGAAGAAGAAAACAATTTGGGATCTACTAAATTTAAAACTACAATATCCTGGCCAGCCCCCTGAGTGGTATATGTGCCGTATTCTGTAAGACTCAAACAAAAATTAAGTGTTTTAGGATACGCTTTCGACTGTTCTGTGTGCATTCAAAAATTGTCTCCCATTTAATTATTAACCAGTGAAAAAGAGAAAACTTTAATTTTTGTACAGAGAGTAAGTGTGAGATGGCTTGGTGTGGGACTCCTCACCACCATTAGGTGTCGTTACAAACGTCCATTGGCGACCACCGTGACCAAATCGTGCTGTGGTCGCAGCCTAACTGTGCAACTCCAAGCGATAATACATTCGTTCATGAAAAAAAAAGAACGGAAGAAAACTTTGAAATAAATCATTATGAGTTGGAACCTTAGTCGGGGGTCCCACTGGATTTAGCCATCTGTTCAACATGGTAGATCAGCGTCTGCTGGTCAGCCAGGTCAGAGCGGGACAGTCACGCACCCCGCTCCTCCAAAGTGCGTGTTGGTGGTGGCATTTCTGTTTCTGTCGGGTGTATGGAATACTTTAAGCAGCCCCAGCTAATGTGGTAGAGTGTAGGAGGGCTATAGAAACGTCGAAAAAATGGCTTGTAGTCTAAAAGGCGATAAATCCCAGTTTGAATTGTTCTCCATTTCATGGCCTCATCACCTGTTAGGTGTTTGTGTTCAAGGCAAGGCTTGAAGGGATGAAAGATCATTGAGCATGGCGTATAGCCACTGTTGCCTTGAATAAAGCGAGATCATATGTTGAAACGTTAGCTCCGGCCGGCTGCACGCCACGTTGAACAGTATAGTGACTCACTCACACACACCATAATATTACGCTGCATTAAAAAATGATGCCTCCGGTATATATACAGGTGTGAAGGAAAATTTTAACAATTTTCTTGATGAATGTAAGGTTTCAGGCTCGCTTCCCTTCCACAGCAGTCGCATTTTGCTGTCGGTGGCATGCGAGTATTTCAGGGCACTCAGGAAGGTTAAATTTAATTCGCTTTTTTTAGCCATGTTGTCTCTCACAAACATGCTGCGCTGTTTTGCAACGTTGTACTGCAGCCGATTTTAAGTTCATTGATGTATTTATCATGTTACGCTCTCATGAGTGCATTCTACCACGTGGTTTTACCCTGTTGCACGTTCTTGTTTCACATGCGATTCTATATTTTATTTCGATAGCGATTATATGGACACTCTCCTTTGTATTTTGCCGCCGGCGTCGGGGTCACTCACTAAATGCGTGTACGTATCTATATATATGTAAACGCAAGAAAAATAATCGCGAAAAATACTCCGGCATGCGGAATCAAACGTGGGACCTCTCGATCGTGAATGTGAGGCATTAACCACTGAGCCACGGAGGTGCACACCCTTCAACGTTCTATTGGCGAGCTATTTATATCTACCACTTACCCCTGTTGACGTGCATCTCGGGGGTAGCTATGGTGTTTTCAGAATACCAGCAAGATGGCGCAATGGGCGAACATGGCAACATTGTCACGACGAGGCGGCGCGCACTCTCATCTCCCACGCGTACTTTGCCCCGCGGAAAGGATGGGGGTGGATGCTTACTCGCACGCCCTTATCTCGCGCTGGGGAGGATCGTATGTTTTGGCTGGTCTTCGGCTTTCACCGGAACAATTCTGTTGTACTTGCGTCACTGCAATCGTTGTAGTCCCCGTTTGCGAAAAGGGCGCGCTTTTCAGACAGAACGAAGTAACAACCGAGACGCTGATTCGCGTTCATCTATATCTGTGAGTACATTTCAGGCGTCATTTGTGCGTGAGAAACGCGGGGCACGTTTCGATCTGCTCGCGATTCGGCGCGTGACCTTCCAATTTGTTGCTATGGCGTTATTTGCTAGGCCTTTGCGGCAAAGCTGTGACTTCTTTTTTTCTTTTTGTTAAGTCAAAGCTGCTAAGGTATTGTTGGTGCCTTTTTTTCTTTCTTTTTTTTGTAGGGTAGCTCAGTACCCATGAAAACGCTCATAATTATGACAGGCCACACCTTAGGATTAAGAGTTAAAAAACAGTGTTGGCCACCTTGACGAAACTAAAATGGTGGATGGCAAAATGGGTGTGCGGATGGACGGCACTGCGTCCCGAATAATCACAATTAATGTGCTACCCCACCTAGCTCTGGGCACGCATGCTCACATATCCACATGCCACGGCCCGGGTTATGCTGCTATGTGCCGCCGGTGAGGAAATATGGTCCATATATCAACCCCAAAAATACAAAACAGATATTAAAGCTTTACAACTCAGTTCGTCAGAATTTAACAAGAGGAAGACATACCAGTTCATATAGTTGGCGATATTAATATGGACTTACCTCAAACAAAGCAACAAGAATAGACTTTATCTTTAGTTCGAAAAAATTTTGGACTTTCGTGCTGTAAGGAACCCGCGGTAACCGACCGCGCTGTGCATATCGTATTACACCAGCTGTTGTGGTGTCGAGTGCGTCACATTAGTTGTAGTCGTAGCCCCTGACTGACGTCGCTTGCGCTGGGATTGACTGTATGACAGCTTCGCTGTACCGGCACTTCCACATGGTGAAACGAAGGCGGACTTTTTCTTTATTTCACTTCTATTCCTGCTAGCTTTTGCATATCCTGTTGAGAAAGCTGATAATAGCTCCAGCCATCTTCCGATGTCATGTCCTTGGCTCCGTGTTTTTTCAAAAAGGAGATTAGGGCCTTGTTCACTAGCTGTGGACAGCAGTCGATGCGCCGGCAACCTTGGGCTTCACACTCCTGAGACAATAAGGAAATGGCGAACGTTTAAAAAATACGATGAAGTTATTCTGACACGTATACTGCATACGGAAGAAACGACACTCCGGCATATATATATATATATATATATATGTGTGTGTGTGTGTGTGTGTGTTTGTGTGACGAGGTGGCGCGGGTTTAGGAGGCCTGGCGGCGTGCGGGGCTCACAAAGATTCGAGGCTGACCTCGTCGGCAAAGTTCATCAATGTGCGCAGAACTGGACCCTGCAGGGTCAAGATTTGAATAGGAGGTCATCCACGGTGGTACGAGGCAGACGCAGCATGTATGACCTCTTTATAGAGTCTCTCGAGCCGTCCAGAGTTGGGCTGAAACATGGGATGCATGTTCCAGCGTTTGTGGAGATCCGCATATCTCGTACGGTCTGGTGAGGTACTGCGGCCCTTACAGTACCAGTGGTGCCCTTAATTGCGGCATATATAGTGAGCACATCAAAAATACAAAAAATCATCTAAAAAGCTACGGCTCGTATATATTCACAAAAGCGTCACACGCCGAAGATTATCGTTTTAGATAACATTTCAGCCAGTCGAGATGCCGGACATATCGCTAGTGATGCCCGCTTAGGAAAGAGAATTTATAGTGAGTGCAGCCCAAGTTTTTCCCGTTGCGCCACCGCGGTGGTCTAGTGGCTAAGGTACTCTGCTGCTGACCCGCAGGTCGCGGGAGAGAATCCCAGCGGCGGCGGTTGCATTATATACCGATGGAGCCGGAAATGCTGCAGGCACATGTGCTCAGATTTAGGTGCACGTTAAAGAACCCCATGTGGTCGAAATTTCCGGAGTCCTCCACTACGGCGTCTCTCATAATCATATGGTGCTTTTGGGACGTTAAACCCCACATATCAAGTTTTCCACGTTCTGTCAAAGAAATTGGCTTCCTCACAAGTTTGGAAATTGTCATGGATCGGTGTTCATATCACTCTTAAAAAAAATGGAGTGACGTACTCTCCATTTAGGGAGGAACGGCGATGTCCCCAATGTTCGTCTTCAAATAGAGAAACGTTGCTCCCTCATCCACGGAGAAACACGTTTCTCCTTATGAAAATCAACATGGCTGCCCCCCGGCGAAGCGAGTAGGCTTAGCCAATGCAACGATTCTCGACTGGTAAGGAGTACTCGGCACTGAAAGTTACAAAAAACGGTCCCGCTGAGCTTGATATTGAACGAAATTGTTATAAAAACAAGCAGACGAACCTGTGGCGGTGAACACATCGCGAAAGAGAACGATGGAGCAAGTACGTTTCGTTCGGTCAGCGAAGCCACGTTCACTCCGAAAGACACGGTTTCTGCAGAGCCCTCACCTGAAGAGTGCATGCTAGGCTTGCTGTATTTATTTCTCGCAGATTCACATAGTGTAGCGACGTTATCCATGCGCTTACGGGTCCGCAGGTCACGAGATGTGCCTCCAAACCGTACACTCGATCGCAGCGAAACCATCCCGAATCCGTAGTGCAGCTTTGATAGATAGATGTTCAACGATATATAAATGGCTGGAGGTGTGAGAGCGTCAAAGCAATAAAGTAGGGGGTAGGTGGCGCCATCTGGAGGGATTGATCAAAGTTAAAAAAAAGTTGACTGCCGCGACGTTTGTTGTTATTACCCACTATCACGCCTCCCTTGCGGATATTTTACGCATCAACCCATTCAAGACCACTTACGGACACCGAAATCCTATTACGTGCTGATGCAATCTATATAGCTACACATGCACACATGGTCACATAGTACACAAATAGTACGCAACAAGTACACTAGCTTATACGCTAACAAGTACGCAACAAGAGCACAATCAACCATTCAAAACCAACGGCTCACACCTCGACGTGTTTACTCACACTCTACTGTGAAAGCGCGCCAGCTTATATAGCGATGAATTTCAACTGACCTGAGTGGCACAAGTTACAAGTAGGTTTTCTTACACTTTTTTTCACGTTTTTTATCAATACCACAACATGCGCACACGTAAATATATTGTATCTGATGCTTAGGTAAACCTTAGTTAGTCAATGGTTGCACAGTAATGAACGGAATAATTACTAGAGCTTATCAGGTTTTCACGAAGGCGGATGCCCCAAACCGTGCTTAGAATGCCCACGGCAATTCAAACGCTGCGCCATCTGTCGACCACTGCCACAGTAACTTTTTTTTTCTTGAAGCCTCTGAGAGTGCAAACACTTGCCACGCGTTAGCCATTTCGGAGGTCACGTTTTTTTTTCTTCTTATTTGGAGAGAGCGCAGCATGCAGAGCAAACTTTGTCTCCGTCGTGGTAGGTGTTCTGTGGTCACGTCGACCTCGTTTAGTTGTTTCGTCTTAACGTTTGCTTATATTCTTTTTACATGCGTACCACAAGTGTGGCCGTTAGCCATGGATATAGTACACCACTAGCCCTTCAATGACAATGTTTTAATGCGGTAACGACCGTCCTAGCAGTGTATACGTACGTTACAACGCGGGTCTTGCGAGATAAATAAGCGATGACCTCGCATCCGACGGTATTTTTTCGTGAGCCATGACAGTGGCTGTTGGCGTCGCGGGAGCTCTCATACTTGAGTGGAGGAACTATCGCTGCAGTGCGCAAGTTTACTATAACTTTATAGAATGTTGTGCCTGCATACTTTTCTGCTTCAGATGCCTCTCGCGATTCGCCTCGCGTGTCAACTTGCAATCATAGTGCGTGCCACAATTTTGTTGTTATGGCTGTGGCTATGGTGGTTATTACTCTGGATTCGGAATGAATGAATGAATGAATGAATGAACAACTTTATTTATCCCTTGTTAAAGGGAAGGGGGCAACAGGAAAGGGTGTGGTGGGGATGAACTACTTGAAGTAGTCCTCCTCTACCCTCTCAGCCCACTCCAGGATGGCCTCCTGGATAGCGGGCCTCGAGCTGCGCAAGGCAGCCTCCCACTGCTCCTCACTAGAAATTAGGCGTTTCAGGAATGGGGGAAGAGGGTGCTTAGGGCAGCGCCCCATGATGTGGTTCAAGTCTGCTGTGGAGGAGGCACAAAATTTACATGAGGGGGAAGGATAACAGGATGGATGAATGCGGTGTAGGAGGTAAGGCGAAAGAAAGGTGCGAGTCTGCAGCTACTCTTTTCACAAAGGTGAGTGAGCGTTAGTACTTACTTGCTGTGCACAGCTGCTACTAGAAGTGCATTTTGTGTTGAGTTTCTCACGACAAAGGAGAATCATGGACGAGAAAGACATACTGCTCGCGTGCATAATTCCTTCCTACTTCTCAGTGCTGGCATGGGCAATTCAAAACGAATGCGGTTGAGAATTTGGTTTAACCTACAGAAGTCATTGGTTCACTTTTCACAAACGTTTAGTTATGATGATGTTTAAAATGTTTCTGATGGTTTTAATCTAGTCTGGCGAATAAAGGCTCGGTGAAACTTCGCAGCCTGTTTCCCTTTGTGCTTTCACCTGCCGGAGTAGCATAGCCTTATTGGGTGTCGTGTGACTATGCTGATGGACTTAGGTACGACTTCCAGCCACGGCGGCCGTATTCGAATGGGGGTAAACTGCAAAGAACATCCATATGGTGGTAGTGGCACGTATAACTCTATCAATTGTATATGATCGTACTTTCACGCATGGACTGTAGAGTGGTATCAGGTTTCCTACACTATTGAAAAAATAAGTGTGATGCTTTTTTACGCGCCTCGTTGAATTCATGAGTGCTGTTGGTGCCGTGCGAAACTAAAAATGCGTGGGCTTACCAAGTATGTCGACACCGAAAAAAATCATTATTTTTTTACACTCTAAGGTAATCGATAAAGCAAGACTGCTTGCGAAGCAGAGCTCCTTGTATTCGTGACAAATTGGTAGTATGAAACAACACGAGACACACATGGAAGTGTGCGGAGCATCGTGCGAGTGCCTGACGATAAAAAAAAAAGAGAGGCTTTTACTCTACACTAATAAAACAAAAGAAAACGTCATTCCTGCATTGCTTACAACAATCTTAGGTTAAAGCAATCGCTCACGACTGGCCGCAGGCGGCTATAGGCTTGGCGTGCGCGTGCGCGCGAGCAAGACCCCCGTGATTGAGGAGTAACTTGAACGCTGAAGGAGAAACGTTGCTCCTTTGGTCCTTGCCGCGAGAGGGTGCGACAGGTAAAGCGCCCGAAAGGGAGGAAGTCGCTGCGCCGAAGGAGGAACGGAGCCCGTTTCTCCATTCTCGCTCCCTTTTTTTTAGAGTGTATAGTCACGGTAAAAAGCGCTGTCATACAGCACACACGAAGCCTCGACAGAACATGGCGTGCATTATGGAGCTGCCCGTTTGTGGCTCATATTCAGTCTTCAAACAACGCGTTACGTATGGAGCCGAATGAGATTCTGTAATGGTCTGAATAATGAGGGTATAGTTGCGCATTTACTTTTTTAGCTTGACTGTCCGACGTTTCCATAGTGCTAACAACTTGCGATGCAGTTGCCAATTTTGTGCATAGTGTAAAAGAGTAACGACTTCTATCGATTGTATTTTAAATGAAGTAGGATGACTGACAGGGCGAGATGGTTGATACCTGAGCGCGAAAGAATTAAAAGAAAACAACATTGCTTGTCTTTTCTTTTTCTTGATACCGTCTTTGCGCTGGTATTATGATTATTTTTATTGAGTAAGTTTGCCCTACAGCGTCAATCAATATTACACAAAATTGTGAAGCTGCGTTTTCTCCGTGAAGTCTATTCTAGGAGAGACCTGTGGTTCGGACAGTAAACCCATTGCTGCAAGCCAAGTAGCCTGAAGTGCTGAAGTTCCGCACGGCGCATTAAATGTGTACCAAACGAGCCACCTTCAAGCTATACCACTGAGGTTATACCTGTTAATTGCCAAATGGACGTATACTGTGAAACATAGGCCTAATGAGGCGAACAGTTTGATTCGCTGCGGGGATATATGTCATGAAAACATGAGACATTTGTAGCATGCATATACAGCGTGAATATGTCAAGCAAGTACACAAGCTCATCGTATATAGTGTTCAATGCACGACCTACTGCACTCCTGACCTGCTCAGATAGCATGGTTCCTATACGGAACTTACGGAAGTGCGCGTCTCCGCTCTCGTTCAACCACTCACTGTTGGTGGCGCTACCTATAACCTGTTCGTATGCTACTTTACGGTTGTTTTGAAGGCACCGGGAGTAAGAATGCCTGCATTATATGGTGAACTGCCGGTATATATGTCAGTATTTATTCACTTAGATGGCTGGTCAAGTAAGCTGTTCAGTGCGCTGAAGTATTTATTGCACACTGGTTGACAAACGTGGGAACCCGTAGACTCACATGGTGTAGGACAGCCCAATGTTACGAGAACGGACAGCCTACGTGGTGTCGCATCAATTTAATTGCAAAAAAATTCTGATTGACTTTTAATATATTTATTTTTTAATTCTTTTTAGTTTTTCATATTAATCACGCAGTATGAGTGCTTCGTTGGCCAAAATATGACCACAAACGTTGAAGGTGACGTCGGCGAACAGGTGCTGACTAGCGCCACGCCGCTCGTAGGTTACGGCCCTAGCGGCAGAAGGTATGAAGTAGAACGTTGGCGCTGGAGAGGAGCTCTCTGGGCAGGTCAGGAGTAGAGTAGGTCGTGGTTCAATGCATGTCTCAAAATTTACCTTCATAACTCTTCTCAAAAGCTGCGTTCCAATGCCTTTTCTTCTGTGGTCTTGGGCAACGTACAGGTCGCCAATACGCAAGCTCTTCCCTTGCCAACTTGAGTAGATCCGTGAAAACATGACGTAGCCGATTATCCCGGAATCAACTGTAGGAACAACATTGCTGACATTGCAAGAAAATGGAACGCTAATAAAAACGCGGGGGGGGGGGGGGGCTATTTGGCGATGGCCTTACCTGTGACATCGTCCTCGGCGACAAAGCAGACGAAAACTGGATCTTCACCAAAACCATTCTTCTGGAGACCTGCGATAGAGACAAAAAACATGCGTCCATCTTTCCAGCTCAGTCAGAAAGTACGCTAAAATTCAGGTACTGGTCAGATAAGATACTACGATCCGATACTACGCTCTTCTATATGTTCCCACAGTTACGATGCAGTTGATTTCTCGATGAAGACCTTCTTGGACTTGGTTTCTTTACCTCTCTTTAGCCTATACCGTATGCATAATCCGAGTGCAGAGGAGACCATTGTCAGAATCATAGGTGTGCGCAGGGTTCCTTAATTTTCAGTGAGGGGGGGAGGGGGGGGTTTGCAGCGCCCTTCTTCGAATGCTTTGGCAATGTATGGGACTGATTTTTACGCTTCCTGTCCCCTCTTCAGAAGAACCTGTTCTTGGCCTAATATGAAGCCCGAAAATACAAAATAGACGCACAGAGCCACACACCACAGGTGCTACTAACAACTTTAATGGAAAATTGATGACACGCAAAATATATAAATTATTCCAAACACGCATGCGCGAAAGTGACATCCGGCAGGCTACAGGGGACGCTAGGCAAAGATAACACATCAACAGTACGACTGAAAAAAATGTATGTTCCGCGGTAAACAAGACAACAGACGTCTGGCTAATGCAATCACTATACCATTTTTTCTTTGATAAAAAAAAAACGCTTTACGATTTAGAGATGCTGTGTAGGAGTAAACATGGAACGGAACGATAACTTTTAGAAGCGTTGACTCCCCCCTTCCACCACCCCCTGTTTCTTTGTGCGCACGCCTATGGTTAGAACAGTTGTTTTTGCGACGATTAACCGTTCGATATGGAGACCCATGTTTCAAGAAGAAGACGGAAAATTTAACAGATAAGCGAGGTATTAGACTGTTATGGAAAACACGATTGATGAGACAGGCTATGAATAATGATTTACACCGCCCCGTCTCAAAAAAGGAACGACGATCATCATCATGCATTCCCAAAAAAGAAAAAGAAACATCTAAGAATTGCTACACTCTAAAAAAAGAGCGAGCGAAAGGGCGTCTTTTTGTCCCACAACAATAATCGTCATCTATATTGCGTTCCATCTTTGCGCTATCGCCCCGCGCCCGGTACATTCCGGTCACGATCGACATGCCTATTATCAGGGTTACGTTGCATTCTCGATAGGAAAGTGGCCAGCGCCGAGTTTTCAAGAAAGGAAGCGCACGCAAGCCTGATGACGATTATTGTTGTGGGACAAAAAGACACCCTTTTTACTCGAAATTTTTTTAGAGTGTATATGCAAGTACCGAAGGATGCCAAACAAAAACGCTCATCAGTTTAGGCCAATGAATAGTTTTAAAGTATCTTTCGTCAAGAATTTCGCCATAACAGATTCATTATCATCTGAAGAAAATGTTTTATTTTTGAATGTCGCGCCAGAACTCGAGCATTTCATGTGTGTGTGACGTCACGAATTACAAAAATTTTTTTCGATATTTGTCGAAGATCACTAAAAAAAATTCTCGTAACTCAGCCATATTAAGTCTTTGACTCCAACGGAACTTCATGTGAATGATTTGTACGTATAAATAATTGTGACTCACATAAGTTGTCGAAATCTGTGACCTCACGGCGAGTCGGTGCAAGAACGTCAATGTGGCGGCGTCACCTGCATTTTTCGTTTTTGTTTCATCGCTTACAAGGCGTCTTCTTTCGGCAGCAGTTACGCTTTTCGCATCCTGAAAGGGCTCTTTCCTAACCCGGGAAAATTAGTTTTTTTTTTCTCTCTTTTGTGACTTTTAAATTTCAAAGGAATTCGTTTCGCTGTTAAGCCGACGGCTTGCGTAGCCGTGTATCACGCTAAGAAGCGTACGAGGAAGAGAAGCGAACAGGTTTTAACATTCATTCCGCATATGAACGAGTGGCGATCAGAACATCGAAGAGAGGTCGGATTCGTCGTCTGGTCGTCACATGGTGGTTCTTCACTATCTTCACACCAGTTGGAACTTCCCCGCAAACGAGAACACCCTGGCGCAAATTTTGAAGGTTCCGGATGGTCGCTCAAAATAAAGGCACGGTGTTGAGAACGCTAAAAGTATAGCGGTGCCTGGGAATGCAACAATTGCATTTTGTTTTCATACTCCTACACACCATCAGATTCGATATCGTGGGGGCAGCTTCTCAGTGACGCGTTATCGCAGTGTGACGTCACGGGGAGGTGACAACTCGGAAGTTGCAACTCACTAGAGGCACGCCCGTCACGTAAGCAACTCCACGTACGTGCGCGTAAATAACTATGAATGATTTGTCGTCCTAGTGATACCCGCTATAGTGATTTCTGCGATTCAGGCTGCATGCAGGACGCCTAGACTGCCAAGTTAGTGGAATTGTGTTGACTCGTCGGTAAAATGACCAATTTCGGTGGCACTGGCTTGCCAATACTCAGTGGCAAAAAATTAAAATAAAGTATTTTACACGTGTTGTCAGACTTCGGTGTGTGGAGAGCGTTAACAGGGGACACCAAGAAAACCGTAAAAATGTCCATCTTACGGTGTTTAAAAATTGGGTTGGCACTCCTTTAACACGAGGCAATTGTGTTTATGTGAAAAAAACTATATCATGAAATTACACAGATAACAGGTTATTACATTATTATATATCGTTCGGGCAATCTTCGCCGCTCCATGCTCTTGTGTCTATATGCTGTCACGTGTACTCGTTGTGGCATAAATGGCAACAGACTTTGCTGAAACCGAGGCTTTGATTACCAGTCTCAACAGCGGCAATGAAGGAATTCCTAGAAACGATCGTCTTTATATTTAGGTTTTCTCGATTGAAAATTCGGTTGAACAGGAGCCTTTGATTCAAGGCGTCTCTCGTACTTTTACTTGTGTTTTAACACATTGATCACCGCCTCGTGCGCTTCCGTATTACCGTGTCGCTGTTTTGGTGCCCTGTTCTCTCCTTGCACTTCCGTTACCTTTTTAACTTTCTTTCTTTTTTCGGTGCAGTGCTTGTGAGGTCCTGCACCTTATAAAGAGCCCTGCAGATAGCGTGCTTCCTTTGCTCGTATACCAGGATGCCTCCCGTATACCCACCGTACATCTGCTAATCAATCGATCTCCATAAACTCCCATAGAAGTTGATGATCGACTTTCGGTGACCGCTCTTTTCTTTCAATGCAAAATTTAACGATCGAAGACTTTAAGTCAGTGGGCCTTTGAGGACATCCATGAAACACGTCTGCAAGGTTGTTGGCTAAATGAAGGAATAACACGCAGCAAAGCTAACATCATGCTAATGTATACTGTAAAATATATTTGTATATGTGCACCGATAACTTCTCGCGTGGTGGCTTAGCAAGTAAGCTCCTATCATAATAATCCTTCTGCGTATACCATCTCTAAAGCTTGCACATACCAACTCAAGCGGAACGCCCCAGCGTCAAGGAAGCGGGGACGCACGTGTACATCAAAGACCGCGGCTAATAAGGAAGTGGCACAGGGTCAACTAGACGCGCTTCGCTCCTGGTGCAGTCGCGGTGGCTGCGAAACGTGCCTCACTTCTCAGCCAGCAATCGCCGAGTGGCGAATAAGCGCCTAACTGGGCTCCGTGAAAAGAATCGTTCAACAATAACTTCAAAACGCGTAAGCCATGTCCTTATCGGAATGTCGACTCTATCTGTTAACCGCGCGCATCTAATAAGGTTGCGTCCCGTGAATGTGGGTGGCTCTTGGCGATGTCATTCAGCGAAAAGTGCAACAAAATCCAGACAAAGCATTCGACAAATTCCCCGAAGCATGCGCACGTATACAGTGACGCTATACGCGATCCCGCGCCACAGTTCATGCGAGAACTAATTCCGGCAGACGACGAAAAACGAAAACAATAAAATAGTGTGTAACTCACGTGAGGCTATGGCATCTGTGTCTGTGAATGCAATATCAGAACGGTCCCTCTGCAAATTAAGAAAGCCAGAAAATATTAGCAGTATCTGTGCCTGTGGTTAACTATCGTTGTGCGCGAAGCACGGCAGTGGTACAGCATAATTATGCACGCATCATTTTATTTAGGCATTATTTTATTTTATTTAGGGCAAAAAGCGACCGCCGGCGTTAGTGGCGTTAGTGGCGTTAAGACAAAGTGATGCAAAATATCGTTATTAGATGACATTATCACCCCTCTGGGCTCAGATTTTCCTGTTACTGCTTGCGAAAACGAGTTTTACGCGTTCTTGTTATCCCGGTTGTCAAATTCGTAATATACGTTATAATATAACCTATTTTGAAGATAAGTTAAAGAGAGAATGTGTTATCCGAGTGAGCCATACGTGTGCGACGATCGACTTGGCTATAGATCGCAAAGGCGACACGCGCAGCTTGAGTGACACACTCCGAATGGCGTATCGATAAGACGTTTCTGTATCCCGTGAGATAGTTGGAACGAGCGGGCACAAGGAGGCAGAGTGACGGAGAGCGAAGGCTGTGCATAAAGCGAGGAGGATTATCGGCGCACAATCGCGTGCCGTCGATAATCCTCTGCGCCACCAATCTTGACTGAGTAGTCAAGATTAGGCAAGATAGATCGCTGCCTTCAGCTCGCGTGCCTCTTCCCATGTCACAATGCAGAGACAACTGCACATTTTTTGAAACGTCCGAAGACACTGAAGCTGTATATAAATAGTGGGGTATAATTATTTAGGGAATTAAAAGACAGTCACTTTTTACTTATAAATAGTCGATGAAGCGGAGAAACACCACATCACATACACCATATCAATAACCTCACAATATGCCCGCAACCATAGAGTTTCTCACAAAGTTACTTAGATAGAAATCTGGTGCGAGGGAGCTGCTAGATGCAAGGAAATGCCGGGATATGTTAGCTTCGAAGGCTTGACTCGGATTTGTATATCCCGAAGACGCGTCTGGCTTCGCGTTAAAATGGCTGATTTCTTACTAAAATAGTACGTAATAAGCTATTTATTTTTGTCGTCGCACAGAAACGTGTTTCATTTAACACTGGAACCTTCTGCGTCGATGTACAATTTTGCGAAGCATAAGAAGTAACCAACGGCCGCGAAACTTGGCAAGCAGACGACAAAGCGAGTGTTCCTCTGCTACATTATGTAATCTGTTTTTTTTTTTTTCGCCGTTTGGTGGTGCCGTCAAGGTGAGTGGACTTTTACTTTAGAATATAATACGCGTGGATGAAATCCGTTTATAAACGTTTTGTTTTAGATAAGCTTTATTTACGCTGTCGTATTCACTTTTCAGCCGAATCCTCGCGGACACATATACCATCATTCTCGGCGCCCCAGCTTTTAAGAAATTCGCATAGACGGTGGCGCCACATTTTCCTCTATAGGTGTTTTGGTGAGAAGCTTTATGCTCGCAACTTCTCCCCCGCGATGATTATTCCTGCATTGCAGTCAATCTATGTTATATGCAGTGACAACTGGTATGAGATCAGAACAAGAATCAGGCGCGGTGCCGTAGTCCGCCGCCGTCGCCGGTGTCCGTAACCAGCATCGCGAGAAACAAGAAGAAATAAACCCAGTAAATAAAAAAAACACCTAGAAAATACTCGGATTTGAACGCGAGTCTCCTTCCTGGCAGCCCAGTATTCTACCACTGAGCCGGTGCTTGGTAATCGTTTCTAGGGCCACGCCGGCGAATGGTAATCGTTCCTAAACTGGCCTTAGGCAGGTTTAATGGCGAGAAAGGAATCGCGTTAACACGAGTAATAAATCGTTTTAGAACATCAAAGGCACAACCAGGCGTCACGCAATGTGAATCGCGTAACGAGTGGGTCGTCCAATACTCCAACCCATTACAAAAGCTTGTTTTCATTCAGCAATACTAATTGTGGCGCATACCCACTTCAGGTATAATTCTTTATCGTCGTCAGTCACTGCATAAAAAAAAACATTGCACGAATTCCTAACAAGTGTCTAGCGGATGCCACGCTTCTCCGAGGAATGATGAAGGATAACGCCGGCCTACTATATACACGAAACATATGATTATTCTTGGCGTAGCGGGTACTGTTGCGACCGGGGTTTCCAGACACCGGAGGTCCGGGATGAAGTTGTCGAGGCAGGAGGAAGAGAGACTTGAAGAGGGTTTATTTACAATATGTACATTGCGAACTCCCTACACGGTGAGCTCTCAAACGTGGCAGGCCTCTACATGTCTCCTAACATAGCGCTACATGGTGCTTGGTTCTACATGGTTCTGCTCGGTTCTGCTCTCGAAAAAAAGCACACACGAATGAGCCGTGGGGGCTCATTATAAAGGGTCTGTCCTCCCCAGATCCCTAGATCGGGGACCGCGTACAGAGGGCACCGTCCAACCACGGATCACACATTACCCGCGAGGGTGACGAGCACGCACGGTCCACGTGAACGTTCAAAATTGAAGCGTGGTCACTGCACGGCCATGTGGCACGAACGTGGCTCCTCCTCGTCAAGGGGTGTCGCTGGGCGAGGGGTCTGAAGTTGATGACTGCATCCATCGAAAGGGCCGCCGTAAACAAGCTTCAAATGGTCGCCGAACGACTCGTTCAATTAGCGGGACGATTTCCGGCCGCCGCCGCCGCCGTCATCTTCCAAAGAAGAAGCGGCACTTGTGGTCTCCCGAACTGCTCACGGTGTCGTGGCGGCAAGACGCCGCACCCTCCGGCCAGGGGGGAACAATACATGGCGGACACAGGCCGCCAGCCCGTTTGGCGACTAAAAAAGGAACATCAAAAGGAACGCCGATCCATTGTCAGACCTGGCGCCGGTCCTAACAGTAGGCAGCCGGTCGTTCGGTTACTTGTTTGAAGATTAAAGGAGCGCCGCTCCCTCTTCCGCTCTGGCGCCGGTCACAACAGCTCGTCCGCCGGCGGGAGAAGCGACCTGAGGGTGACCAGCTGCACAGGTTGCCCGAAGTGTCGCTGTGTAGTGCTGTCTTCCAGGCCACTGCTGATGACGCTCAGCCAAGGACTCTTTCCCTCTCGCTCCTTGTGGCTCCCCTCTGGGAAAAGCATTCATACACACCACCACAGGCACGGGAGAGCACCCTGCCCGCACTGAGACACGTCGAGTCCGACAAATTATCCAAAAGCAACCTTACTTAAGCGGTATTACCAAACACAAAGCAGCAATCGGGACGTTTCTCTGAGGTTTCACCAAAACTCCTAATCCCGATCCGATAATAATCTTCCCATCAAACTGCTTTCAAGAAAACTAACTGTCAAGTGATGCGCTCACCGTGGCATACCCGAGTGCTTGCGTGAGCAATCCGCCGTAACCCACCAGGTATCATACTCATAAAATAAAGCATTTTACTTCACGCTATCTTTTAGTTCCCGAAATTTAGTGCCGCCAAAGCCAGTCGTCAATTCCTTTTGAGAAGACGAAAGCATAACTGCCGTGCTGCACCTGCATTAGGAACATCTTTATTATATATCCGCAAACGCACATCACAGTGCTCCTGCCTGGATGAGATACCACCTAATCGTTCCCTTGCTGTTGCCACTTTCACAAAGCATACATATAAACTCACGAGCTAGCTTTTCTTACACACCGGACACATGCGAACAAAACATTAAATGAACAACAAAAAAAAGTTTCGCATGAATCCTGAAAATCTCGCAAGCAATAACTTTGCGTCTCTACGCTCAGTCATAATTAGTTCATAACGTTGCTCCTGCTCATTTACACGTATCTACCATGACGCAGGCTCCTATGCGTGTCGTTTATGCAATCGCACAACGCTTACCTTAGCTAAACGTACAACGCCCAAGAAATGAACAAAACCAAAATTGTGTTACCTAAACACTATTTGGTAGACGAGATTCTTAAAAAACACATTAAAATCCAAAACAACTTAAACAGTCAAAAGCAAATTTCAAAACAAATAAATCCACTAATGACCATCGTCAAAAGCTCACGGATGTCTACTCCTTTTTGGGACTAACGCGCGGTGTCGCGTCCTGTGGGTCTTTCTAGGCGAACGGGAAATGGAACAATGGCAAACCCATTCGCTTCGCCTCCGACCCCCGCAAAGCTCTGCGCTGACAACCTGCGTTCTTACTCTCGCTGAGTACCTCGCACTCCCGCAGTCCATCAAACATGCCGTCGATAGAGCGACGAAAGGGTCAGCCTTTCTACCCAACGTGCTTTTTTTTTTTTTCGTTTTGTCCGGCGGCTCGGACGCATACAAACCAACTCCGGTGCCGATGACAAACGCCTAATTCTGTACGCTCTAATGCGTGTCACTATCCTTCCAATAGATCTATACAACGTATATAGGCTACCAAAATGATAGAGCGCTAACGAAAACAAGGTACAAACGAGTTATTTACAAAATCACAAAAACAAACAAAATGTTCCTTTCAACAGTCCCGAGTCGACGTTTTCCGAGAGGCTAACAGCTGTTCGCAACAACTCTGAGTCGAACTCGCGGTGGTCGCGCCCGGAACGATTTTCTCGAGAAACGGGGTCTACAACACGCGTCAATCGCCCTGCTACCGAACCCCGCGACGTTCCTCGAAGCCGACTTGCTGTCGCTTCCTGCCCCTCGAAAACCACCGACTCTTTTGCCCCGCACCCGTCCAATGCACCGCGAGAACAACGGAAGGGTCTCTTGCCCTTCGACCACTTACGCACACCATGCGCTTCTCTTTTCTTTGTTCTCTGGCCGCTTGGACGCTTGCGATACGGCAACTTTCTTGAAATTTCGCTCCGCCATTTGAATACATTCCTCAAACGCGTCGCGATTTCTGCCTGCCTGTTTTTACGGCGCTTTCTCCGTTTTGCACGTCTCTTGGTGCCGTCTACGGAGCCTTTCGCCCATCTCTGATGCTCACCAGCACCCACATGCTCATCTGATTTTTCGCGCGGACTGTCTGGATAATTGCCTAGCAATCTCTCCTTCAAACACTGCCGCGTACGATGCGCACTTCTGTTCCTTACTCTCCGGCCGCTCAGACGCCTGCGATTTAAGCCAGTCAGAGAAGACAACGGGCCTTTTCTCGCAAATCCGCCACGCCGTTTGAAGGTCCTCGTCAAACGCGCCGCGCTGATCGCGAGCCTTGCCGCGCTTCTGTTTTTCGGACGCTTTCTCCGTTTGGCACATTCCTTGGTGCCAAACCTGGAGCCTTTCGTCCGCCTCTGACGCTCATCAACATGGTCTACAGGGCTGCAAGGTTCGATGGAACACTCTGTTAATCTTAACTTCGTTTCCCCCACCACGGAACCCTCACACCCTGCTGTGACCGCGAGCTCTTTTCCCTCAGAATGGGTTAAAACCTGTTCCATTCCCTTACAGGCACTAGCCTTCTCTTTGGCCTCAAACGGCACCGCCGCTATATCTACAGATATCAGACCCGCAGCACTCTCTTCGGCCCCAAACGGCACCGCTGCTGAAACGCACCGTTCGTGCGGTACATCTGCAAATTTCTGACCTGTAGCCCTCTCTTCGGCCTTAATCGGCACCGCCGCTACGTCGCACCGTTCGTGCACTTCATCTACAGATGTCTGACCTGTAGCCTTCGCTTCGGTCTTAAACGGCACCGCCGCTACATCGCACCGTTCGTGCGCTACATCTACAGATGTCTGACCTGTAGCCTTCGCTTCGGTCTTAAACGGCACCGCCGCTACATCGCACCGTTCGTGCGCTACATCTATGGATTGACCACTCTGCTGCAATGCCACCAATTCACAATTAAGCCTTTCTATCTCTTCATCTAATTCCTGCATCCTTTTTATATGTTCTTCATGCCTGCGCTCAGCTTCCAATTCCTCCTGGCGCCATCTTTCCTTTCTTTGCGCCCTTTGTACTTCCTCCTCCTGGTCCAATAAGTACATATTCCCGAAGTGCTCGATTTCCTCATTGTCACTATTGCTTTCGAGAATCACTTCGCGGAGTTTAGAAGCAGGCATATCATCATTAAAATCTAGCTCCAGATCCCAACACAGGTTCAGCAGGTTCTCTCTCGTCAATCTCGTAAGATCCATGGCGACTACTTTGCTTTGGCTCAGCTGTGACAAAACACAAACCCACCAGCGCTTCAATTCTGGGTCTAGAGAAATTGAAGCCTGGCAAATCTCACAGCGGAGACCACAAGCTTAAGCACCCAAGTAGCACTACGTGGCCAACATCCCTCTCTACTTTTTCTTGTTAATTTTTCACTCCTGCTTTTTACAACATCCTAAAATTTAACCCGCAACGTACCCTTAGAAATTTTGAAACATTACCCCTTGTTCCTATTGAATCATCTAAGCTTTCCTGCTTTAGCGTACTTGCTCAGATAATCATCCAGTGCTGCCTTGTGCTGAGATAACAACCACAGTGGCCAGGCAGTTGTTGGTTATATCTATCTTTTAACGAATTTAGGCTAAAAGACTCGATATATCTCAAGCACAAAGCCAGGCACTCACCCCATTACGTGCGGTGGTGGTACGCTGCTTCGATCCCGCCGAGTTCCAGGGCTTTCGGCTGGCCTCCGGTACATGTCGCTCTCCGTCGCAGACTCGTATCCCACCGCTGCCAACCAGTTGTTGCGACCGGGGTTTCCAGACACCGGAGGTCCGGGATGAAGTTGTCGAGGCAGAGGAAGAGAGACTTGAAGAGGGTTTATTTACAATATGTACATTGCGAACTCCCTACACGGTGAGCTCTCAAACGTGGCAGGCCTCTACATGTCTCCTAACATAGCGCTACATGGTGCTTGGTTCTACATGGTTCTGCTCGGTTCTGCTCTCGAAAAAAGCACACACGAATGAGCCGTGGGGGCTCATTATAAAGGGTCTGTCCTCCCCAGATCCCTAGATCGGGGACCGCGTACAGAGGGCACCGTCCAACCACGGATCACACATTACCCGCGAGGGTGACGAGCACGCACGGTCCACGTGAACGTTCAAAATTGAAGCGTGGTCACTGCACGGCCATGTGGCACGAACGTGGCTCCTCCTCGTCAAGGGGTGTCGCTGGGCGAGGGGTCTGAAGTTGATGACTGCATCCATCGAAAGGGCCGCCGTAAACAAGCTTCAAATGGTCGCCGAACGACTCGTTCAATTAGCGGGACGATTTCCGGCCGCCGCCGCCGCCGTCATCTTCCAAAGAAGAAGCGGCACTTGTGGTCTCCCGAACTGCTCACGGTGTCGTGGCGGCAAGACGCCGCACCCTCCGGCCAGGGGGGAACAATACATGGCGGACACAGGCCGCCAGCCCGTTTGGCGACTAAAAAAGGAACATCAAAAGGAACGCCGATCCATTGTCAGACCTGGCGCCGGTCCTAACAGTAGGCAGCCGGTCGTTCGGTTACTTGTTTGAAGATTAAAGGAGCGCCGCTCCCTCTTCCGCTCTGGCGCCGGTCACAACAGTACCCAACAAGTGTGCTTCTAGCAGTTAACCAAAGAGTGTTTATATATAAAAGGCTCAGAAAGGCCGTTCTTCTATATATAGCTTTCGCTGTGACTGTGCTGCGCGTTCCGCGCAAGTCGCTGGCGTTTTTTCTTTTTTTACCACCACATAAAAGAGCACGCAGTGTACTACGTATCAGACAATGTGCTTGCGAAACATCTACCAAATTCCAGTTGGATAGCATGCAGAGTGACTGATAAGGCGCATAAGTCGCCCACAAGCTTTGTCACACGCTTGAAAGCAGTTCGCCGGCTGCGTATACGAAGCATTGTTCTCGAAACTGCATTTGAAAGCAGTAGTACGTCTTGCAGCATGAAACTCTCTCACATTCACGAGTGTAACTAAAGAAATCACACGAAAGAAATTACAATTTATTTCACACAAACCGCACGGGAAGGACGCCAAATTTAGCGGAACTTTTCGGGCTCACTCTCCAAAGAGGTTCGAGACAGCTTTGTCTTGCGTGGTTCGGAAGTAAGTTCATTTGTTTTAACGGACCCATTTCGAGACGCTGGTCGGGACTGTTCCGTCGTGTCGCTTCGGTTCCGATTCGGTAGAAGTAAACGCCTTATTTTCGGTCGTGGTCCGCCACCCCGAAGCAGCTCACGCTGCGCAGTTTTGCACGGTGGTGTGAAGCGTATCATCTTGTCAATATCATCACATTAGATTGTTTAGTGACTTTATGGTCACACAGCTCTTCTCCCAGAACGTCTCGCACATAGAGGTACCGAGAAAATGCAGATGGTCAATAATTAGCATAAGCCACAGCTTCGCGATTGAATTTCACGTATGATTACTACGAAACAAGAAGGCTGCAGAAGCCGTGAGAAATTAACTAACTGCAGATTCTGAGCAAGCTCAGTTGCCACCACACTGATGCTTTGTTCGTCATAAAAGCTTACTTGCATGGCTTTTTTTTTTTTTTTGGGCAGGAGGCTATGTTCCCGCCTCAAACCTCTGACGTCGTCGGCAAACTTTAGCTTCACTCGGCTGCTGACCCGCAGGTCGCGGGTTCGATTCCCGGCTGCGGCGGCTGCATTTCCGATGGAGGCGGAAATGTTGTAGGCCCGTGTACTCAGATTTTGGGTGCACGTTAAAGAACCCCAGGTGGTCAAAATTTCCGGAGCCCTCCACTACGGCGTCTCTCATAATCAAATGGTGGTTTTGGGACGTTAAACCCCACAAATCAATCAAACTTTAGCTTCCAGCTGATAATTGCTCGTCATTCACGTGGACACGTTATGTACGGGCGCTAACGCAGGAAATATTTACCGTCTTGAGCCTTCAAAAAACACATGCTCGCAGAATGAACAGAAAGAGAGGAAAAAAAAAAAACGTTACCATAATCTCGGCAAGCTTGTGACAGTCTTCAACACGTGCAGTGCGTATCTTCGTCATTTTGTCACGTGCCGTTTTCGTCCGCAGTCGCGGCGAAAGCTTGCGGCGGGCGTTGGCGCCTCTGCTGGCTGACGCACAAGAACGGCGAACGAAACGTGACCCGCACGGAGCGCAACACGACGACGCCACGATGCGTCCACAGCACACGCGCTGCCACGGCGGCCGGCACTTCCGGGCTCTTGTTGATTAAGGGACTGTGGTAGGGGCATCCGCTGGGTTTCGGTCTGCTACAACGCGCCGTGCGCCATCTCGCGATCAAACAACGAGGCTATCACTTTCCCGAACACAAAGCGCTTTCATTCGAAGTTTCCTCGCTCGAGAGTTGCCCAGGTGGCATATGTGATAAAGGGAACGAGCCCCCTATCGAGCGCTGCCGATTGTCAACGTCCTTATCGAGCGGAGAAGTTTGTATAACGCACATCCTCGCCAGTCGTAGATCTTTCCAAGAAGGACCGACCTTGGTGACGTCGTTGATACGGGTAACCGACCCAGACAGGCGTGCATGGCTTCATATGTAAAGAGGAAAGGGAGTAGAGTAATTGGCTGGCTGCCTAGTTGGCACCGCGATGGTCAGGTTTTCACAATATTTCAGTATAAACTGAATTTATTACAGTACAGACTTGCGCACACACACACACACAAACACACACACACACACACACACACACACGCGCGCGCACGCACACACGCACGTACATACTCACACACACGCACACACGCACACACACACACACACACTATATGTATATATATATATATATATATATATATATATATATATATATATATATATATAACTTTGCCTAAATGTTCTCGGAACTATGTCAACCTTTATTCATTATTTGGCGATATTCCGTTCCCAAAAGAACTGAATTTGCAGAAAATACGTGCGTGCTTTCCTATCTATCTATCTATCTATCTATCTATCTATCTATCTATCTATCTACTATCTATCTATAAAAAAGAAATCAGCAAGATGAGAAAGTGCACTTTGCGATTGGTGGACCCCCCCCCCCCCCCCTAATATACCTTAAGTTTTCTGAGAATGAAACTTCATTAACATTAGCGCTCAACAAAGAACACACATATCGATCTTACTACTTTTTCATGAATTTATAGTTTTCTTCTTCCGCTACCGCCAAATTCGTGGCCCCGCAGTGGGTTGAACCATGACCATAAACCAACCAAGCTACCGAGGAAGCCACGAAGGAGGGAGCGGACATGGCGTCCGCCGCCCGCCTGGCGGTCGTCGCCGTTGTGCTAGCGGCGTTCACCGTTGCCGCCAACACCCACTTCCCGAACCCGACGGCCCAGCAAGAAAGTGAGTGTTCCAACGAGACAGGCGGGCGTGCCTCCTGCAGTCATGGCTGCCACCGCGCCATATGTCTCAGATACTGGCACGCTCAGTCTGCCGGTGCAACTACATATACTCATTTACAAACAGCAGGAATCCGACGAGCTCAGAGCCGTGACCTCAATTCTGTGCACCAGGGCGTACGGGCTTTCCAAATTATGATAAGGAAGACGCTGAACGCTATCATCACTTTCCCCAAAGCTTGTTCGTAAACGGGTTTCACGCGCGACTTCACAGAGCACTATGCGCAGATTAAAAAAATTGCCCGCAGCTTCCCTCGGGGGAACACTGAGGAGGATGCGGAGCATATAATTGGTTAACGGGGTGTTAAAGTGCGACTTACTTGGGTCGATGGCTAAATTGGTTAACGTGGTTGTGAAATGGGGTGTTAAATTGCGACTTACTTGGGTCGATGGCTAAATTGGTTAACGTGGTTGTAGGAGGGGGTGTTAAATGAGTGAACACGTACACACGTATGCGAAAGGGCGGCGCTGGTCGAAGGGACGTCGATCATTGTGTTTGTGGATTCGTTGGAATTCATTTCACCGCGACCTTGGACGTCGACGCGCCGTACAAACCAACCGACGAGCGGCAACTGAGCGAGCGAGCGCCGATTTTGAGTATATATACAGCTCGACGGTGCATGCACTGTCAGCTGTTGAATGTTCTCGAAGCGCGACGCCACATGCGCGTCCACTGGATTGGATTGGATAAACTTTTATTTGGTCCTCCAAAACACAGATCACTGTGTTGCGGGCAGCTCCCACGTGGGGACTGAGATGCCAAGCTCCTCAGCCGCCTCGCGGGCTTGGTGGACAGCCCAGAGCTGATCTGCCAAGGACGAGCTGCGGATTGCCGCCTCCCATCTGGCAGAGGTGATGTGCGATAAATGAGCGAATTTGGTGCACTGCCAGAGCATGTGTTCTAATGAAGCTATTTCGCCACAATGTGGACAAAGATTACTTGGATATAGGTCAGGGTACATGATGTGTAACATTTTCAAAGTAGGGTGTATCCGCGTTTGCAAAAGCCTTAATGTAAGTGCTTGGGGCCGGGTTAGATTTTTGTGAGGTGAAGGGAAAATCCTTCTAGACAGGTAGAAATGTTTAGTGAGCTCGTTATATGTTGTAAGAATTTCCCGGTTATCCCCTTCACCGGTAGAACGCATCCCCGGGGAGGCACGGTTGGAGAGTTCTCGCGCCGCCTCGTGTGCTGCTTCGTTGAGATTGGGAGGGGAATCGTTGATTTGTCCAAGGTTAGCTGGGAACCAACTCAGAAGATGATGTGTTATGTTCTTGCCTTGCAGTATTTTCAGCGTTTGTTCACAGACCATCCCCTTGGCGAACGCCCGTAGTGCTGCCATGGAATCACTGTAGACAACTTCAATGTTATCCATCTTGAGTGCTAAGGCGATGGCCACTTGTTCCGCAATGATTGGGTCTTTCGTCCTGACCGTCGCTGAGTTGACGACATGACCAGCCCCGTCGACTACCACTGCCACAAACGCTTTCCCATTGGCGTAGGAAGCCGCGTCAACAAATACGACCCCTCGTTCCTCGTTTGAGACTTGACGAAGTATAGTCCTGGCCCTCGCTACTCTTCTTCCGACGTTGTGTTCTGGATGCATGTTTCTCGGTATAGGAGATACCGTGATAGTCTCCCTGATGTTGTCAGGGATATCATTGTAATTGCGTCTGATTGCTATTGGGTGTTGGCCCAGCTCCTGTAGGATCATTCTCCCCGACCTTGTAGTAGATAACCTTTCAAACTGTGCTCTCTCTTGGGCTTCTGCTATTTCTTCGAGCGTGTTGTGTATGCCAAGCTCAAGCAGACGCTCGGTGCTGGTATGTATGGGTAGGCCCAGGACCTTCTTGATAACTTTCCTGAGGAGCACATTCAGTGTCTCGGACTCTGCTCTTGACCAGTTGTGCATTGCTGCCTCGTATGTGAAGTGACTTAGAACAAACGCATGCATCAACCGGATGAGGTTGTCTTCCTTGATCCCATTTCTTTTGTTGGCCACTCTGCGTATGAGGTGCACCGCACTGTCTGTTTTCCGAGTTAACTTGGCTATAGATTTGCTGTTGGCGCCGGTAGACTCTATCAGCATTCCCAGGACTTTGATGGAGTCGACCCTCTGGATGGCATCCCCTTGATTTGTACGGAGATGGATGTCTATCTGGTTTAACGGCTTCCATCCCCTGGGCTTCGGTCCCCGGCGTGCAGTCCGATAAAGCAAAAGTTCTGACTTACTCGAGGAGCACTTGAGCCCGGAAGGGCGAAGGTAGTCTTCTACGGTGTCAATCGCCTCTTGCAGAGCGCTCTCAATCTGCCCCTCGCTTCCACCTGTGCACCAGATGGTAATGTCATCTGCGTAGATGCTGTGCTTCAATCCTTCAATGCTCGATAATTTCTTTGACAGTCCAATCATGGCAATGTTGAACAGCATTGGTGAAATCACTGCCCCTTGTGGCGTGCCCCTTGCTTCTAGTTCGATTGCTGCGGTCTCGATATCTGCAATCTTCATCACGGCTTTCCGATCTGTAAGAAAGGACCATACGTAGTCATAGAAGGCTTTCCCTAGACCAAGCTTGGAAATTGCTTCGAGTATGAATGAGTGGTGGATGTTGTCAAACGCTTTTTCTAGATCTAGGCACAGAATGGCTCTCACGTCTCTGGTTTCATTGTCAATGACCTGGTGTTTTATAAGCTTCAATGCATCTTGTGTGGATAGCCCTGCCCTGAATCCAACCATATTGTGTGTATATATGTTGTTATCTTCCAAGTACTTGTTTATCCTGTGCAGTATGGCATGTTCTGCGACCTTGCCGATACATGATGTCAAGGATATTGGCCTCATGTTGTCCAAGTTAGGGGGCTTTCCTGGCTTAGGAATAAGGATCGTGCTGGCCAGCTTCCATTGCTCTGGCACCCTGCCTTCTTTCCATGCTGAATTGTTCACATCCCTCAGGGTTTCAATTGAATCGTCATCAAGGTTACGCAGGGCCTTGTTTGATATACCGTCCGGGCCAGGGGCCGACCTGCCGTTGAGATCATGCAAGGCTCTTCTGATCTCCTCGATGTTAAAGTCGCCCTCAAGACTTGGATTTGGCGTGCCCTGGTACTGTCTACTTGGTGGTGCTAATCCTCTTTTGATTGGGAGGTACTTATGCACGAGCTGCTGGACAACTTGCTGTTCTGTAGTGCGCCCTATCTCTTTATGCAAAATTCGAGCGATAACATGCTTTTGATTTGTTTTGGTGGTGTTTTCGTTGAGGAGATGCTTTAACATATTCCATGTCTTGCCATTGCGCATCTGACCATAGACGGAGTTGCAGATTTCGTCCCATTGCTGCCTCGATAGTGCGCGACAATGTTCCTCGACTGATCTGTTTACCTCAGCTATCTTCTTCCTCAGTCTTCGGTTCAGGCGCTGACCCTTCCAACGGTTCAGTAGTGCTTGCTTTGCCTCAAGAAGATGAGCGAGCCGGCTATCCATTCTTTCAACCGGCAAATCTGTGGTAATGGTGGAGGAGACGGATTTGATGTCATCTTTAATCTGTTTGACCCACTGCTCCAAGCCTTGTCTGTGGCCATCTTGTTCCCTTTCCATCCTTATCTTCCTGAACTTATCCCAGTCTGTGAAGTGAAATTCTTTCTGCTTTTTACGCTCCACGGAGGCGTCCACTGGAGAATCAGGAGAATTGTAGATGTCGAACGCGGTGTGTAGAGGAGGAAGGGTGCACAGATGGTGGAGGAGTGAAGCGCGCGCGGTGTGTAGAGGAGGATGGGATGCACAGATGGTGGAAGAGTGGGCGACGGCGCATGCGCGCGCGTCAGCTGT